CATGAGAGAACATACTGAAAATAATATATCACTATGTTCTTCTAATTAATATACTTGTTTATTTTTTCAATTACAATCAAAACAAATAAGCTCTATTTAAATTAATTCCGTTTATATTCACATTTTCTAATTTTGATTTTGATAAATTGCATTTGGCTAAAGTTCCTCCAAATAAAGAAAGTATTTTTATTCTAATATTTTCAGATTTCAGTATGTTAGATCAACCTACATTTCAACAAATATATTTATTGTATTATAACTACTTATTGTAAAATTATTTTCTGTCTCAGTGAGATGATCAAAAAATTTCCCAAATACTATAATCCTAACCTTTTGTGATATTTTATAAATGAGATATTATCTATTTTCAGCTTAAATTTTAGAGGATTAATAAACAGAATTAATATCATGCTCTTTTATGATTTAGAACAAAATAAGTAATTGAATCTTATTTATTTTCTTTTGACAACATTTTAATTATAGTTTTCAATATTTCTATATTAAAATCTTTTGATTCAACTGATACCTCGTATAAATCAGCCGCAATTAAGAACTGATTAATGGAAAAATTAAAATTTAGCACCTTTTGATTACACAAGAGAACAACTTAATATCTCTTTTCTATAAGAGCCAAATTAACAAAAATCATAAAAAAAGTCATTTTACAATCTTTCCTTTTCTCTTTCTTCTTTTTACCAAAATTATTTTTATTAAACTTAAGCCTTTTCATTTATGCTCAGCCCTTTCGCAAGTTTGGTTATATATTTAACTTTGAAGAAATAACTCTTTTAATGAAGCAATAAGTTCTTCAATTTTTTCTTTTTTTATTGCAACTTTAGCTGATAATAATTCGAATCGCAGAATAGCAAATGGTTTTTTTCAATACCTTCAAAAGTTAGATCATAAATGAGATGGTTTATTGCTACCAAACCATTTATCATATTATGTGGATACCCTTTTGTATTTTCAAAATATTGAATTATATTTAATCTTGTCAAAGCCTAACCTTAAAATTAGAATAAAAATTAATATTAAATAAGAGATTTATATTCTTTTTTTTCTTTTTAAGTCTATTTAAACCATAGTTTAAGTCTGAGATTTTTGGATTCATAAATAAATGTAAATTAAAAATTAGGATTAGTTTCTCAGTCATATCTAATAAATATATAGCTTATTTATATCAAATAAAAACTTGGTCGATATTTTATTGTGAAAATTAACCATCAAATAAAAAATATCAAGATTAAAGCTATAATAATGTCAAAAATTTATTTTCTTCACTTAATAGCACCAACAAATAATTTAGCTGGCTTTTTCTAATATTCATTTATTTTTCTTAAGCAGATCTGGAGTCAATCAAATTAACAAAACAGATGCGTTTATAGAAAATTATTAAATTTTTATCGAAAGTAAACTTATTATGGCAAAACACAAATGCCACAAGTATCACCTTATAAAAGTATAATGTGGCCAGCTGAACCCCAAACAGCTCCCCATGAGATTCTGATCTTCCAAACTCCATCAGATGAAACACCAACAACAAGAATTGCATGATTTGAATTTCTATCACATGTTGTTAGGATCCTACTTTTTATGCATTAATTGTAAAATAATTACTATAAAATTACCAAAGAGTGGCATCAACATAGACAGGAATTATTCTATAGGCGATATTAAAAACAAATCTTTCACAACCAGCTATCTTACTTGTACCCAAACCATATTGAAGATTATCCACACCCATGTGTGGATAATCTTCAATATTAGACAAACCTATCATTGAAACATATTCAAAAGCAACATCATCCAACCATCATCGCATTTTAAATTTCCATATTGTCTTGAACAATGAACGGGTTCTTATTCAGATAAAGTATGTAATGTCGTATACTAATTGAGAATTCTTTTCAATTGCTCCAATTGAGGCGAACGCCCGCATGAGCCACATTTTTCTTAGTGCTTAACATCGAAGTACATAATTTTCAATCCATTGGTCCAATCAACTGCTCCTTCTGTGTATTTGAAATTTTTGTCATCAAGATTTATATTTTTTGAATTTGGAACCCAGGGTTTTGAAAAATTTTTGATAACTTCATTATACAATAATAATGAAATAGTCTTAATTTTACAATTAAAAAAATATTATTTTCAATTTAATCTCATAATTGTAATAATACCCTAATCCTTAACATCATTAGAGAAGCTTTTAAGAAGGGCATAGTCAGAGTTTCAATAGTGATACGAACCCAATATTCTTGAAAAACAGGGACTCCATTTCGATTGACTTTTCTAATTATAAATTAACCAAAGACTATTAGAAACATCACTTTATATCACCAAGTATCATCCATTTATTCTTAGATAATATATTTATCATCATATGTCTTGTTATATTCGGAATAAACTGGATTTTTGTTTCTTAATAGGGTTTCCTTAATTAATGCCATTTACTCCTTCTCAAATCTATTAAAATAACTCTTAAATCTATCTGTTATTTTGGAATCTAATTTAGAATTAATTAATTCATTTTTATTTCTACCTTTGTAACATTATATTCTAGCTTTAGGTACTATTACAAATTTATCTACCAAGAGGTTAATCAAGGTTTTTCCAAAGTCAATAGAAAGTATATGTCAGGTTTACTTGACCAATTAAAACTAAATCAATTCAGCATTCCCATAACTTCTTAAGTTTGGAAAGATTACAGATTCATATCTACCTTAAATAAATTGTAAATTAATTTCATATGATGAAATTCCCCACTAATTCAACAGGATAACATAGCGGTCTGAAAGATGGTAGGAAACCATGATAGACATAATAAGAGGAATAAACTGTAAAAGTAATTCTATGGAGACTTTTCAATAATTTATTATTATATTATCCATGTTGATGTTGTGAGGAATCGGATTAAGCTTTACTTGCTTCCAAATGCGAAGCTTTTATCAAAGAGTTTCTACTCCAAAACTTATCTTATTCCCTAATTGCGAAGAGATAAATTTAGAAATAATTGTCTCTCTCTATATCCTCTCATTCATCCCCAAGATTTTTCTGAATTCCCCAAAGATTAGTGCTTATGATCCAAAATTTGATAATGAGAGATAAAGATCTTCCTTCTTCTAGGTTTTTCAAGCTGAACATCAAAGCTTTTAGACTAAGATTCTATAATTAATTTTTATTTGCCTCATTTTTTTAGAGATTTTTTGGGATTTTGTAATAAATATTAATGAATTGTTTCAATTGTAACTACTAAAATTAAAAAAAAATAATTCAAATTAAATTTTTTTTTTTTTTCAATTTAAAAATGTCAATAATTGTTATATTGGATATATTTTGAATTTTCGCTCATTAATAAATTATTTTATAAAATAATGTCATCTTTTCAATAACCCAAAGACCCATCTAATTCGGCCCACACAATTAAACTTCAATTTTTTTTTTTTTTAATTTTATCAAATTTCAAATTAATCTATTTATATCCATTCGAATTTTATGAAAATGTGATATTAACATCATCTCATTCAAAAACAAGAAATTCATTGACACGCATAATCAAATAGTCTTCATTATATTATAAAGATACAAGGCAAATTGCTAATTGATATATTAGTTTTATGTATCAGTAATCTTTGTTAAGTTTATTGATGTACAACCTCCGAATATAAAATTTAAAATTTTACTAAAGAATAACAACTAATTTATTATCCATATATAATCTTTTACTTCAAAAGTTATTTCTTTTTACATCCTAACCTTAATCATTTGATTTGCTTAATAAGTAGATTGGTTAGTTTTGAGGAAACTTAGAAAATTATTATTTGATCCTATAAAGGTATTATAGTAGATTTAGAAAAATGAAGATTCAGTTGAACAAAAATATTAATTTAGTTTATGAGTAGATAGATTTTTTTTTTCGAATCTAAACTATTCTTTGTCTGAATCAAACAGTCTGGTATTATTTTAAGAACAAAAGCACAAAATGAAAAGAAAATATTTTAAGGACAGCAGAAAAAACATTTAAATTTTTCTAATAAAACCTATAAAGATATAAATGAGAGATTATAAGTTGTTAATATGATAATATCCATTAATAAATCATATAGAACATTAGCTTTGACATTGATAACAATTAATTTTGCTAATATGCATTTTTGTGAAGATGATATATTAGTTTTGGATTTAAAAATCTGGATTGATTGTAAAGATTAATTCGCCATGATTAAAAATTGTGTAAATTTATTAATCTAGAAAAATTTGCATTGAACATATTTGGATCTTCAAGTCCCTTTCCTGAAATGCTTCCAAAATATCCTTCCTTTAGGAATTTAATTAAAAAAATCAAGCTATAGAAAATTAGGAAAAAATGAAATACGAATAAATTCCATTTTCTATTCAAAGTTTTTAGAAGTCTAAAAGGACTTCTTTAGATTGATTTTATTATGATTACTGGTTTTATGATTAGATTTATAATAATTAGGATCAAGATATGGATTTCTCAATCCTATAACTTCTTCTATTCCTAGCAAAAATGAATCTATTTAGAAATGCTAAAATATAAAATTACGGAGAAACTAAAAAGCTGATAAATCTTTTTCAATCTAGAAAATTAGGTATGATTACAATGAGTATATTTATTTTATATTCTTTATTCAATAATCCACGCCAAAATAATAAAAATAAAGAGATATCAATGTTTCTAATTTATATCAAATATAACTTTTATTTTCTTATTATTATATACAAAATAAAAATTATTAAAACAAATTTAAAATAAAAAAAGTAAAAATTAATTAATGTATATAATTATTAGATAGATTTCTATTTAAATAGAAAATCTTGTAAAATGAGCCTTGACCACTTCTTAAAATAGTAAATTTAATTTATGCTAGGAATGTCTTTCGTATGTTACAGCTTGAAAATTATAAAAACCCCTTTTTTGGGGTTTCAATTACTTTTATGTCTATGTATTTGTTTTAAACAAATAGTTTTATTGCTTTTAAATATAAAGGTTATTCAAATTCACCTTATTTATTTTTATTGAGTCTTTTTAAGACTTTCCATACTCATAAACAATTGCAAAATTATATTTTATTTTCAGTTCAAATTTTTTACCATGAAACCTTATCACTCAGATTTACCAACTTTGGTAGCAACAATATAATGATAATAATTAACTAATATGAAGCTTCTTCATTTTTTTCGATTATTTATTCAGTATAAATTCTTTTTATTATATATCATACTCTGATTTATAATGACATGTCAAATTGGTTTTGAAGTTATCAAAATATATGCCTATGCCATTTTGATTCAGTGAGAAAACAATATTTTATTCTGCATAAGTGTTGCAATTATTATTATGATTTCTAAATTTTTTTGACTATTTTATGGTTTCATTTTTTTTTTTTATGATAAAAAACATGATATATAATTATTTATTTTTATCATTATAAACTGTATTCTTTAATATTAAAAGCATCTTACATTAAAATTGGTTAGATAATTCATTCATTTATCAAATTATTAAATTAATAAACACCAATAGTGTATATATTAATAGTTAATTTTTCTTGAATCAATTGATTAACTAATTAAAAATTAATTACTTTAGTGTAATCTATATACTCGATCTCTTTTTGATTAAGAATAATGATTATCATTTTTGATAATTTAATTTTCACATCCCCAGAATTGACTTTAAAAAAAAGATTTAAATGAAGTAATAATTTATTCATTATAAAAAACTAAAGGTATATAAAAATCGACAAATTTTTATTAAAGCTACTTATATTATAATATTGATTTGAAAATAATGAAAGAATTCAATAATTTTCAAAATATTAGGCATATATTGAAAGAGTAAGTGTTCCATTTTTTATTTATGATAATTTGGTTTAAATAGGAAAAAGCAATTATAATTAATAAGCTATAATTATTTAAATATTGATTAATTGTATTGAATAAATTTAGTTGTCTGAGGAGCAATTAAGTACAATTTCAATCACTAATTTTATATTAAAACAATTTAGTGAAGAATCTATATTTACAGGCTATCTAAATTCCTTAAGATTTTATTTTTACATTCAAACAAACAAATGAGTATTGTTTGATGAAATATTGTTAATTCTATGCTGATATATTATTTATTTCACTTACTCCAAATTTATTATAAATATTCTAACATAAATAGATTAAACTAAAATAATTAGAGAATAATAGACTCTTTGCCAGGACAACTTAAAAAATATGCTATTTGCTTTTCATAACAAAAATTTATTGTAAACACTAATTTATTTAAATTGGATATTAATATTGCCTCAACATTGTTACCTTTTATGACTATATTCTTCTATTAGTAGTATGAAACCATATATTATCTTGGCTCTATTAGTCAAGACATCTATATTTTAACAACAGGAGAAGTATAATTACATTCAAATATAGTTAGATGAGATTATGTGATGAATAAGGTAGAAGCCTCTTAAATATCATTGATGGTATCATTTTTGGTGAGATTGAAATACTAGATTAAGTAAATAGAAAAAAAAGTGCTATTGCATTGAAAAATTCTTTTGTTATCATTTTCCTGTTCAGATATTTATAAATATTATTTAGACATCTGAATTAGAATAATTAGGATTGAGGAGAAAAATTGCAATCAAAGAAAGCAATCTCAGAATAAGATATAATTAATTTACATTATTTCCAGAAAATCAAAAAGTCAGAAGAGTTTTGCAGAATCAAAAGAAAAATATTTAATAATTTAATTATGAAAATTTAATATAAATTTAATAAGATGCATAATGATTTCATAAAATCTACATAAAACTAATATTTTTTTGCAAGAGCAGTAAGTTGTATAAATTAAAATGAATAACGTAAACCTACAGATATAAGTAAATATATTATGGAAAAAGAGTTTAAACAGAGAATTAAAAAATAATCATTTTAATTTCTGTAAATAAGGTTGCTAAAGTAAATATTTGGCTATAATTAAGAATAAAAATGGAGATTATTTCAAAAGCTTAGAAATGCTGTTTAGAAAGTGATGAAATTTAATAAAAAAAAAAAGCAATAAATAAAAGGAGAAGGGGAAGTTATTTAGGATATTAGAGGATTAATAATTTCAAAGGGACAACTGAAAATGAGAAAAGATTGAAAAATAAATATTTAAATTGCATAAGTAAAATAAAAAGGACAATTTATTAAAACAGTAAAGTAAATAATTAATCGTGTAAAATCAGGATTATAAGTGCCAATGCTTATTACTCCTTCACCTTATTCTTATCTTATATTAAAAGAGTAAAAATAATAATTTTAGAAAAAAAAGAAAAGAGACTTAATTAAAGCTCCGAAAACAATAAAAGAAAAGTGAAATCAATTCATTTTACTAAATAAGGTAATTTAATGATTTATGGAGTAAACTTTAAGATGAATTAGTTTCATAGAAGAATGCAAGAACAGATGGAGTTTATTTTGAAATCTAAGGTTTGATTAAATCTATAATATGAAAAAATTTGCTAAGTATTTATAATATTTAAACTAAAAATATAAAATTATATTTCCTTCTCTTTACATTATTAGATTAATTAAATCAAGTAATCTTCATAAATATTTTCAAACTATTTATAATTAAATAATATTACAGTTTTTCAATTGTTATATACAATTTTTTATTCATTTGAAACATCATTCAAACATTTATGAAATTGTTAAATATAGGATCTATCCTTTTAGAAACTTTTTAATTGTTGTATATTTTCAAAATTTTACAATTTTTCTGGAATTTACAAAGATTTATCAAAATTAGAGAACAATGATTTAGCCTAAATTAAAAATAATGATATACTTTTTGCCTATCATCATTCCTGATGTCTTTTCCATTTATTTAAATTATAGATGGAAATCTATAAACCAAAAATTAAAACATGAAAGAGCAATTATTTATTGGATTATTTAGTATTGTTATTTTTTGAATTTCATTTAAATGCTTTGAATTTTAATAGACTATTGATGTAATTATCCTTCAAAATTATTTCTCTTAATTTAGAATAGTCTTTCAAAATCGATAATTAAGTGTCAATAATAGAATCAAAAAAATACATATTGAAAATGGATTATTTGAATAATTTAACTAAAATTTTAAGTAGGTAATACCATAGCCGATGCTGTGCAGTAAATCAATAAAAAGACATCCTAAATATTATACACAATGTTATACATCTTCGACTTCAGCATGACCTCCTTCTACAAGTTGATGTTATAAACAGCTCTTTTTATTAAATTAATTATTTTTTTCTAACATTTGAATTCTTCTATACTCTGCTGTCCATTATTTTTCAATCGATATTAAAATATCGTCTTCTTAGGCAGCTACAGTACTTGTCAAAGAATTCTATAGACTTGGAACTGTTTCTCTTTATGGTTGTTACAGTTTTGATTATAATATATATTTTTTTGTTTATCCTTTCTTAATTTAAAACGTTTCTGAAAGTAGAATACTTTATTTTTTTTAATTCTGTTGAATCACAAAAATAAAGCATAAAAGTACATATATTTATTGCACAATTATTGTTATAATTATGGTTATGAATTTTTATAATTTGTTGGTTCCTTTTTATTTATTCAAAAGGAACGATTTCCTCTTTTGTTGTAAATTCTGAAGTCACACCATGAATTTCAAGGCCCATTTGATTAGGCTTTTTTGATTTTTATTATTATTATATCTGTTGTAAATTGACAATTTTTTTCTTAATTGGTTCAGATTTTGGGATTTCAGCAAATAATATTTCTTATTTTATTTAATCAATAGGTTTTCCATCTAAAATTTTTAAAGTCTCAAAAGTTTAGCATTTATATCTAAAATAATCGTATTTATTAGTTTAAATAGGGTTATTTTCGAGAGATAATTCAGATAGGTTGAAAATACAAGGGAAAGAATTTATTTTGTTTTAAGACATAAATAATTTTTATAATTAAGGGAGAACTAAATAAAATATATGATTATACCTTATAAGTGATCTATATTCTCAATTTAATTCATTTTAATGTTTAATTCGATTAAAGTATTTAATTCTTCAAGTGCTTCCAATTTTGTAATTAGATGATTCCCAACGTTTATAATTTTTAAACTTTTTAATTTGCTTAATCCTTCTAAATTAGCAATACGATTGCTATGTAAATCAAGGACTTCTAATTTAGTGAGATGATCTAAATTTTGTATTCGACGGATTTAATTTTTAGGAAACAATAATACTTTGAATTTTTAAATTTATTTCAATTTATCGATTTCTTTAATTTAATTATCATACAAGTCTAGATATAATAGATTTGGCAAGGAAACAAGATTTTAGATACATTATATTCTGTTATGTTGATATGTTAAAATTCTTAACTTTTTTTCTTCTCCCTCCAATAATGGCATATGAGTCAAATCTAAATAATCTAGACTTAATTTTTCTAAGTTATTTGCTCTTTCCATAGGTCTTCTATAACAAACCCATATGCCCTGTATTTGCTATAATACAGAGAAGATAATATTTCCTTCATTTTCAATCTTTTTAATGGTTCCATTTTTAACCAAATATCGATACCTACAATTAATTATAAAATCTTGACCTCTCATCAATTTCAACTGAAGGGATGTCTTGAAACTCTTGAGAGTAACAGAGTATATCATTTTTAGTTTTCTTTTTTTGTAATTTCAGGCAATTAACTAGAAATAGGTGGTTGATTTGTTTGAGTTGGCTTGTATGTTGTTTTTTTAGAAAAACCAGTTGAGTAGGTAGCATTAGCTTCAGATGATTTTTGATTCTTATTTGGAGACATGGATGATTTTGTCTAGTAGAAATAATTTGAATTATTACATATGCATAGTGTGATTCTTTATTCATTAAAATAATAATGTATAAAAATGAACTAGACTACACTGCAAACTTAAAATTTATTGACGATATCACTACAAAAGAGTTTAAGCAATATGAAGTTGGACATCGAAAGACATATTCATAACCAGATCAAATCCAATTAAAACGCTAACCTGATCGCTTAGGTATTCACAGATATTATTAATATAAGAAATTTCAATCAATTAAAGTATAACTTTACAAATGTATCCGAGCATCTTCAAATATATAAAGATTAAAGTGAAAGAATACACAAAACCATTAAATTTTGTTTACGAATCAAACAATAATTAATGTTTGATCAAGATATTTGTATCATCAATAACTGATAGTCCAAATATATTAAATAATAGTTTACAAGTGATTGTAAAAATAGTCATCTATAGATTAGAATAAATCAAGATTTTAATTTACTGAACCACCATCTCACATTACAAAATTCAAATGCGATTATGTATACTTATCAATATACACTGATAAATATACAGATTTAAAGATCAAAGCAACTGTTGGGGTTCATCAATCCAACTCTAATAGAAGCCTTTAAAAAAGATAATAAACTCCAATGCTTTAACTTCCTAGAGAGTTATTGACTTCTAGAGAACCAGGCAGTTATACTTATAGAAGTAATCTCTCATGTATTATTATTAATCTTTAAGGTTAATAGTGCATAAACCGAAAACTAGTTCATCATTTATTCGATCTAATAAGGAATCATAAGTGAAATTCAAATTAATATTGGATTTTAAGATCAAAAATACTAAACAGAAGAATTCATTAATAGAAGAAATGATGAAAAAAAAGTCTATGATTTAGCAAAATAAAAAAGTATAATTGTTGGAATAATCTTACACTCATGAAATTGATAGATTACAATCGAGAGTATAAAGATTAAGAAGTGAAATCAAGTTCCATATCAGCAACATTGATATATTATGGTTAGAATTACTTGTTATTACTTTGTTAGCCAAAAAGATCAAACATTAATATTATGTATGTGTAAATTTAAATAGAAACGAGTCATGAGAATAGTTATTAATAATAAGGTTTAAGTTTGTTGTAGAAAGTTCATGAGAATTATGCTCAATAAGATCAGTTCCAGATATTAATATGGGAAAAAAGAAGCTGTCTATCTTGATACAAACATTTTATTTTATTTTGGAGCCAAATTAATGAGAAGTAAAGCTAAATAAAGAGCTTATTCTTACCTCAATCATTTCCTATATAGATATGGTCATCTCTCAAATGGAATGAATAAAATGTAATAATTTAATTTGAAGATTAAATATATTTAATTGAAATGGAAGCAATTCAAAAAATCTGAAGCAAATTACTTAAATAGGGTAGCTGATCAAATTATTGATAAATGGGGTTTTTTATATAGAGAAATTATTGGAGATTTGTAAAATGCTCCTAAATCTGCCCCTACTTAAGACAAAAGAGTGCTCTTAGAAACAATTTCTGATAATCTTAATAATTATAAAAGATCATTTCTTTAATTGAATAACATATTTGATAAATTGGCAAGTGGAGCAACTGTTTTTAGACCAATGAATAATATTATTATGAAGGATATCATGCATCAATATGTAATAAAAAAAGGCAATAAATTTTAATGATTTATATATATATTTATTAAATATATACAAGTAGATTAATATATGGTGAGTCAAGATTTGATATTGCTATGACAGATCTTATTTAGTAAATAAAACTTTTACTTCAGCAATAATAGATTAGAGTGATTCCATAAGCAATTCATCCATCTATTTAATATAAGAAAAAATTTACAAATGGGAATATTTTAATCATACAGTTAGGATTATTTTCTCTTATTAATGATTCTACATTGAGATCTCGCTATAATAATATAGCAGCATTAAAGAACCGATAGTAATTCTCTAATATTATTAGATTAGTAGTCGTACATACCTGAAAAAAAGAGAGTGTGTATATGTTTTGGATTATTTTGGATCCAAAAATGAAGACCAAAATGTTTCTCATTGACTTCATATTCTCTATAAAAGAAATCATAATCAAATGTCTAACGTACATTTGGTAAATTATCAGTTGTGATTGATCTATTTCTTGTTCTCTTCAAAAGTTGCAAAAATTCTTATTCATTCATTTTAAACTTAGGAGAATATATCAAAATTTTTAGCTAGCATAAATCTTCCATACCTTCATCTGCAGGTATAAAATCAAAATTTAGAAAAGCAGATTCAGATAAACTCTTTTTTCTTTAACTCTCTTTTATTACTATCTGTCCAATTTATTCATATTTCTTGATTTTTGAATTAACCTTATACTTTTAGATATTCTTCACATGTTTGAGCATGCAAAGCTCCACTTCTACGACGCCTTTCATGAATTGGTTGTTTTTATTATTATTGCATACCAAATTAAAAATATTTTAATATAAAAATTGGTCATTAAGATTCTTCATCATTTATTTTAGGGGCTAAATACAATTTCAGCGATCCCATCTCTTCAATTATATATTCAATCACTAATGGTTAATCTTAAGACATTGACAATATAACTTGGCTTGATAATGCAGATGCTTTATTAAATAAATTGAAATATCTATATTAATAATTATAATTTTACCTAACTGCAAAACTTAAATTTACTGGTTCATCAACTTCACATTCTACTCTCTCTTCTGGCTTCTCTGTATCATTTATTTTAACAGATACTTGACCCTCTCCAATATCTCCCTTAACATAAAATTTTATTCCTTCTTTTGATGTCTCAATACCAATAGCTTCATTAATGTTTCCTAACTCTCTACATATCTTTGTGAATTCATTTGATGGCATTCTAACTACTGAAGAATATTCTGTATCAGGCACACCTAATTATTCTTAATCTAAGGACATTAAATTCAATTAAAATTCACTTATTCTATCTAATCTATATATATATTAATTACTTTTTGATTCAAATGTAAATGACAATGTTGTTGGTTCTTCATCTTAAGTTCTCAAAGTTATTTAATCATCATTTCCAGAGCATTTCAATATTTTTTACAAATTTTCAATACTCAAACCCATAGTTAAAGATTTTTCGCATCTGTATTTCTTAAATCCCTTCTCATTTAATTGCAAGGCTACTAAAGCAACATGTGAAGTGTCCATAGCCTTATTTTATTTAATTATAATTTTACTTATAATGAAATTCCTGTTCCATTTGCTTCTAAATTAACATTCTTTACTAATTCCTTAATTGCCTCAACAATCTTCTTGAATAATCCTCCATCTTCAAACTTGGCTTCAAACATCTTCAATATTTAAATTAATTAAAGAGGGAAATATTGTAATTTAGATTTGCCGGGTAATTAGTATGTTATTAAAAAAAAATTAATTTTTTAATTTCATTATTTTATCGAGAGTAATTCTATAATTATCTGCTTTATCATTTATAACTTAAACTTTTGAGCAATAAATATCATTGTATGCTAAATGATATTTCCCTCTATCTTAGAATTGAAAATAAAAATATTATAGTTTATATATTTTTCCGACTTATCAACCTTTCCAAATTCAAATAAATAAAGAATAGAGATTAATAATAATCTAACTTTTAAACAAACAAGATAATCAAAGATTATTTAATGATAATTAGAATGTCTTCCATATACTTTTCATAAAAAAATATTTATCTAATTTAAATAAGTAATAACATTTGTCCTTGAAAGTGATCTAACATATATGAAAATAAAATAACCGAAAGAATATATAAGGACATAAGGTGTTTTGCTGTATTCAGAATAAAGAAATAATGGTTTTTAAATAAAAAAATAAAGTAAAAAAAAGTGATTATTTGAATGACATTTTTACAATTCTATATACAATCAAAGAGCTGGACAATCTATTGAGATTTCATTTTTTTTTCTATTTACAAATTTATTTCTTCTCAACGAAAATTAGGCTTTGGTTTCAGTTAAGTTTGAAAAATAATCATCTTATTTTTTTTTTGGGTCTGTGCAAAATTATAAATTTAATTTTCTTAAATACTCCATAATTGATTTGATCTTTGGATTAGGTTTGTGGTATATCTCTAATTCAATTGAATCTAAACTTGAATTTAAGGAGTCTTGCATTATAATTTATGAATTTATTTTATTAAATAACTTAATTAAAATTCCTTTTTAAATGATCATACTTGAATAATAATCTTAAATGATAAAACTGAATTTAATAATATTTAATAAATAACATGCTTTAAAGAAAATTTCTAAATTTAAGATAGTTGTATTTCTTTTCAGGTAAGTTTAATGCACTATCAATAAAATCATGAATGGATAAATTAATTTTCTGTTTGATTTTCATAATCAATATAGTGTTATAAATAAAATCAAATGATTTTTAGAGAAACAGTCCACTATCCTATCCTATATATATTGATTTTGTATAATTAGAATAGAAATAAATTCAATTGTAAAGATTATGAATTTGATATAGAAATAATGTTGATAAATCACTAAAAATTATTTATATTTTAAATTTGAAAGTGTATAAATTAGAGTAAATTACACATATACAGAGATAAAGTATAATGATAATAATAAAATTAAATAATTATTTATAAATGAAATCAATTACAATATTAGTATACGTTTTCTTTATCATCTATAGAAACAGAGTGGTCTATGTATAAATTAAAAATTACATTATCTATTTGATCCTTTAGCATTTTTATCAACATTTGTAGGTTTCTTTTCACTATTCGCAAAACTAAAGTTACTTTGTCTTGAATTGCAAATAAATGTTAAAGGTTATTTTTAATTTTTTTATGAATTAAAAGCGTCACTTTAGAATTAAACTAATTTTTAGGATAAATTGGAAGAGAGTTCTTAATCATCTAGAATTCTATTTAAAATTTATTCTTATAATGGGCTTGGTTTAATAAATGAACAATTATCATTAATATCCTAATCCTCTGTGAACCCTTTATTAGGGTATGGCATTTAAAACTTATTAGGTTTACAAATTAATTTTGGCTTATTAGAAGCATAATTGAAATGATTAGATTAGTATTAAATAATAGGTTGATGAGTTGAAATGCTTGACACTTCTGTTTAAAAAGTTTCATTATGATTTGATATATCTTCTAATTAAACTATCTCTTTAGCCCTTGAAGATGATAATTTTGATTCTAGAGAACCTATTTTAATGTTTGCTTTATGTAATTTTGATCTTAAGTTCATTACATAATTGTCTATCTTCATAATATATTGATTATCCTTTATATAAATTATGAAAAATACTCTTTGTTATATTCTTTTTAATTCTTATAATTCTTCTAGAGCTAATTTATATTCATGATCTCTTTCATTTAATTATATTTTAAGTTTTGCTATTTCCAATCTATATGAGGCATCTCTCTATTGTAATTTGTGTATTGTCTTTATATTAAATTTGAAAATACTTCTTTTAATTATTAAGTGGACTATTATTACTAGCTGTTACTTCTCATTAAATTGTTTAATTATTTAAAATTATAACACATTACTATTATAATTTATGATTATATTTTGAAATTAGACTTTGGCTAAATAGTGTGCATAAATATAGATTCAATAAATTATACAATAAACTAAACATGTTAAAATGGCATTTAGATTTTAAATTAATTTTAAATTAATGATAATCTTTGTTATTTTTGTTATTTATCCTTTATCTCATCTCTTTAAATTTGATTAAATTAGGAACCAATTCTGGTGTTGTTATTTTGATATAAAAAAAATAAATTATATAACATTAGTAATATAATCATGAAAATTATATCGTTTTTATTAATAATTACATTCACAACTGGGCACTTATAATTATTAGATGATTTAAAATAAACTTCATTTGGATAATCATTAGAATAGACTATCTTATTATAACTTCAATATGATGAGAATAAGTATATTTATATTATGGAATTAGATTGAAATCAATTTTGTAAGAAATTTATAGTTCTATGAATGAAGAATAGATTATTGATGATGCTAATTTTAGACAAGAATATGAAAATTGCAATAGTAATGATTTATAAAATGATATCATCGCAATCAAATATGAAGAATCATCTATAAAATAAAAAATGAAATTGTTAAATAATTCATTTGAATTATAAGTTTCCTAATAAAAACAAAAAGAACTATAATTTAATTAAGAATAACTTAATTAATACATTAAATAAATGGAATAAGAGAAAGAAAATCAAGTTCATAATCTTAAAGAATGTGATGTAGGTAAATTTTTACAAATTAGGAACTATTGGAACTCCTACAATATCTAAGATTCTAATTTGAAAAGAAATTGATGAGTTAACTTAGTAATTAGAAGAGCCAATACTTATTATAATTAAAACAAGAGATTCAAGATCAAATAAAAATTATTAACAAGATGATAAAAAAACAAACATATAATAATTTTATTAAACTCTTAATTTCTTAGTTTGAAAAACAAGATTAAAATTATGAAAAGTATTCATATTCAATTTTTAATAGGTTACACAAAATAATATTGTAAATACAAGAAATAATTGAATAAAATAGAAATTAAATAAGAAAATAATTTGATGAAAATATGAAACACTTCTAAACAAATATTTAATATTATTAATAAAATATCTAATAAATTTAACAGGAGATAGAATTGTTATAAGTATGATAAATTTATAATATTATTGTAGGAATAATAAGTATAAATAGAAAAAGAACTAAAATATTTCTAAGAATAATTAAATAAGATTATTGAGATTTATGAAATTAAAAATTAATTATAGATTGATAAAGATAATATGTGTAAAACCTTAGCTGAAGATTATAATGATTATAGAAATTTCAGAAATAGCTAAATTTAATAATTAGTGAATATTTTAAATCTTGTAGAAAGAGATCTGTTTTTGATTAAAGATCATTATGTATTAAATGGATAATTGAGATAATGAAAAATATAAAATAATTATAAAAATTAATGAATAATCGAACATCCATAAAGGTGGAGAATGAAAATGAATATGATGAAAATTGTAGTGTTGAGTATGTAAATTAAGAATCAGAATCAGAAGATGATGAAAATAACTATAGTGATTATAATGTAGATTCTCCTTTGTCTCCATGTTATGATAATTTATTAAAGGAATAACACCCCTTTCTATAATATTAAAGTATTTTTAATTACATAATTAGCAAATAGAAATTGCCTTAGAGAACTATTTAGATCCATTTTATAAAGTGGGTTATAAAGCCTATTCTAAAGATTGTTTTTTTGATGAAAAGAAATATTCTTAAGAATTTATTGATCATATCAAATTTGCAGATTTTTAAACCTTTAGTTTTAGTGTTTTAAAAAAAAGTGCATCTTTTTTTGGAACAATAAAGACATAAATATATTTCTAATACTAAAAGGATATAGACCTTAAGAATTGTGTATTGACACTTAATAATGATTAAAATGAAATTGTAAAAACCATACTATATCATATTTTATGTTTCACAAAAGAATTAGATACTTTAAATCAACCTATATTTCATTGTATATTAATAATTTTAATAAATTTAAGTGTAAAAGGCTTTAGAAATAATAGCTCATTAGGAGTAAACAATAAAAGATGAAATTTATATGTAAATTGTAAAGCAGATTTAGAATAATAACACATAATATTTGATTCATTATTATTAATTTATGGCAGTTTACTCTACTATGTTCTGTCCAAGCAAAAATTATTTTAAACCTTTATTTAATTTTTTTTATCAAAGAAAAGAAAATAACTCATTACATTAAAATTATTGTAATTTTATTTTAAATAGAATTTATCGCACTTATAATACAAAGAGTGGTAAATTTAAGTATAATATTTAGATTAAATATTTCTAACTGAATAGGATATCAATAAAGTAATGCATATGAAACCATTATTATATGAAATATCTTTTTATCATTTTGCAAAGTTTTATATGGAAATGCAAGTTGATTTAAAATGTGGTGATATTTTAAATCATATTGCAGAATAATTAAATTTAAATCATCGAAACTCTTTATGTTTATGTTTAGTAAAAATAAATAAAAGAATAAATGAAATTTATTTAGATGATGAAGATTGTTTATTCAAAATTATTAAAGATCATATTTAAACATATAATAAAACAACAGAAATTATTAACACACCCTAACCCTCGTTTAAATTAGTAATTAAATTAATTAAAATATCCTCACCATATTAAAATTTAGAAATATTCACCTTAACATATATGATAGTCATTTAGGATTATTTAAATGATGTAACAATTATAAAATATATTTTATAGTTTTTCCCTTTAGATGATGATGAAATAGAATTAATTTGTTCCCTTAAATTGGCTGCTGATTATGGTCCAAAAAAACATTTAAAAGCTGAATAGATTGATTTGAATGAATATATTCCTGTATTTAAAAAGAATACTTTTGATTCAAATGAGAGATTGAATAAAATTATTTAACTTTATCATTAATCAAGAGTGATTAATTCAAGAGATGCAAGAAATAAGATTCTTTAGATTTTGGATTAATACCCTCGTTTCTTAGGAACAACTTTTAAGTGTTCATTTAAGGAGTTAAATTAAACTAGTAGCACTCCTAATACAAAAATAATATTAAATATCACTTTTAGAGGTTTGATATGTAGTCTACCCTCAGATTAAAGAGAATATATATGTCATATTGACTATGACTTAATAACTAATTTTAGTAAAGCAAATAATAAAACTTTGCATATTGTAACATTAGACAAATAAATATATTTGACTTTTTTGACTCATTTAGAATGCTAATAAGTTTACTAATTTATTTTAAAGCATGAAAGTTAAATCTCATGTAATGATTTTAATTATACAAATTTATCATGATTTATATTAATTAATTAATATTATTTATATATATTCATCTTGTAATTAATAACAAATGAATAAGAATAAAGGTGTAAGTAAAGATGTTTAGACACCGCAGTTTTTGGAAAAGAAGCCTTAAAATTTGAATCCAAAGCTTAAATAATCAGATTTAAATAGAAAATTGTTTACAATGCCTATTGATGCTAAATATAAAGCTGTACTTGGACCAGATACTGCAAGTTTAGTGGCTTATCTAAAGCAAAAGAAAAAAAAAGAAAAAGCAATATAAAAATTGAAAGATTCAGGAAAAATATAGATAATAAAGGAGCCTAAATAAACAATTGATAAATCCTTGCCTTAAGGAATCTATGAAACTGAAGAGGGTAAATTAAAAGATATATCTGGAAAAATTATTAGACTAAATGACTAAGCTAAGTCTCTAAAAATAAATTAAGAAAGGTAGAAGCTTGACAAAATTTAAGAAATGCTAAAAATTTAAAACAATTTAAAGGATGCTTTAAATGACAAGGGACGATTTTTAGATAAAAATGTTACAATACAACGTAGTAATATAAAAAGATAAAAAAGAAAATTATTGGCTTTTAATTTTATTGAAAATGGTAATATAGATAAGGAATAAGTATAATAAACTTCTGTTTAAATATAAGATGAAGAAAAAGACAAAGTATAAGTACAAGAAAAGGAAATATAAAATTTAACTACTACATCAATTCAAACAAATTTTAAAAGAGTTTGTGTTAAAATGAAACATCATGATCCAATTCCAAATATAGAATGGTGGGATGTTCCTTTATTTCCTGAATATTAGGCAAATTATATTCCAATTAATATAGAAAGTGAATAAGAGCATAAATAACCTGCCACAGCTCATACATAAGAAGAAATCCAAAGGAATATCACATTTTTAGAATAATTATAATATACAGATACAAATATATTATTAGATAAAATAACTAAATTACTTGAGCATCCAAAACCATTTGTCATAAGTGAATTAGTATAGAATAGAGAAAAAGCTGCTTTGCCTTCATTTTTAACAAAAAAAGAAAGAAAGAAAAGATTGAGAAAAATACGTATGGATATTTAAAAGGAGAAATAAGATAAAATTAGATTAGGTTTATAGAAACCATCTCCACCAAGAATAACTTTGTAAAATATGATGGCCATTTTAGGAGCTGAAGCATAAATAGATCCAAGTAAAGCTGAACAAGAAGTAAGAAGATAAATCTAGGCTAGATTAGATAAACATATAAAATAAAATGAAGAAAAAAAATTAACTAAAGAATAAAGAGGTGATAAATTAAAATTAAAATGGTAAAAGGATGCTGCATAAGAAATTAGAGTTGCTGTATTTAGAATTGATGATGATTTATCATCAACTAATTTAGAATCCAAGAAATTAAAATTTAAAGTAGATATGAATGCATAATAAGTGAGTTTATAAGGTGTTTGTTTAATAGCAAATTAAAATGGATAATAAGTTGTACCTTCAATTGTAGTAGTAGAGGGAGGACCCAAAGGAATTAAATTCTATAAAAAATTATTATTGAATAGAATAAAATGGAGATGTGATGAATCAAAACCTGGCTGTGTATTAGTTTGGGAAGGTGTGGCTAAGTAACATGCATTTAATAAATGGAGAACTATTGAAATTAAGAGTGAAGCAGAAGGAAAGAGAATTTTAGCAGAAAAAGGTGTTGAACAATTTTGGGATTTGGCAATGAATAACCATCAAAATTGATAGAGTGTATTAAAAATTAAATAATCTTTCAATTATATTTCACTATAAATCTTAAATTGTTAAACTATAATTATTATCTTTAAATTATTCAATATTTATATATTAAATACAGTTATTTATTAATAATAAAAAGAATGCTTTCAATCTTTTTGATTAAGATGGAAAATAATTTTATCAGTAAAAATAATATTAAAAATTATTTTTGAGATAGCATGATATATTAGAAAATTTATTTTTAATAAAGATAAATTTATTAATGAAGAAGAGTTAATCAAAAAGTCTTTAGATAATTATTAATATTTTAATTATTGTAAATATTTCTTATTTTATTTATTAAATGAAACCAATTTTTGATGAAACTCATGAGAAAGAACTATAAAAATATAGGTAAAAATTTGGAACTATGCAATTTCATGATGGACATTAAACAGAAAGAAAGGAATTCTTTAATAATTATATTGATTAAGAACCAAAGACTTGTAATTAAAGTCCAACTTAGTCTAGATTGGAAAAGAATAAATTTTCTCTATCTTTGAGTAATTTATAAACCTAAAGATCACTTGTTTAGTCTTCTGCTAGAAAAAGTTAACATGAAAGGAGAAAAGTTGTAAATAGATAATCTGAATAAGTTATTACAACTAATAACAACGTTAATTATGAATTTTCTTTTCCTAAATGGATTTCAGAAAGAAATGATTTTTAAAAATGGAAATCTCATAGGTATTGAATCCATTAAATGGTTATTAAGTGATTTCGATATAAATTTAAAGATTGTCTCAATCTGCAAGATGGAAACTTTCAAAAGAGATGCTGCTTAAAAATAAATAGTAGCATTATATTTACAGAAATTGAGTCTATTCAAATTAATGCCTTTAATGCTATTACAAGAATTAGCAGGTAGATTAACATATAAAGAGATTAAATCTGAATCAGATTTAATATTGTGTAAAGTAGGGGATATTGGGAATTGTATGTATATCATTTTTTAAGGAACAGTAAAAGTGATAATAAAAGTATTTGCATAAATATTAAAATTTTAAGGATATATGTGTAAAAGAGTTCCATGATAATGAGCATTTAGGAAGATAAGCATTAGAAACAGATGCTCCTAGAAATGCAACTTTAATTTGTACTTAAAATTCACATATTTTAATTTTAAGTAGGTGGGATTATTAATAATGTTTGAATAATTTATTTAAAATAGAGAGACCAAAATGGATTAATTTTATCAATTAAATTCATTTTTTTAAGAATTTTTAACCTCATAAAATATAAAGATTATGTGAAGATCTTAAAGGGAAATTCATGTCAACAAAAGATTGTCTTTATAAGGTTGGTGATCCTATTGATAATTTTTATATTGTTAAAAATGGTACATTAGTTAAAAAGGTTGTTGTTAATTTAGAAAAGTCAAATAGATGGCCAGTAAAAACTAAAGTATGGTTATAAAATACTGTTGCAACAAGATAAGAAATAACTATAAAATATGAAACCTAATCATTATTAGGTTATTATGAGATTGTTACATAAGAAACTTTGGGATTAAAAAGTAGAACAGAAGAAATTAATGCTTTGGATGATTGTTTTTTATTGTATATTCCAAGAGCTAAATTTTAAGATATTTTTGATGTGGATGATCAAAAAAGATTCCGAGAATTATTTTTAAAATTGTACCCTACATCTTTTGATTAATTAATGGAAATGGTAAAATAATAGGATGAAAAGAAAAAGTTAGAATACAAAACAATTAAAGATGCATTAATTGAAGGATTATAGAATGTGGATTAATTACAATTATATAAAGTACATTAATATTGATGAGTTTAGAAAACAAAAAAGTATAAAGGGATTTTACAAAATGCCAGGAATAGATTGAAATAATATTAATAAACTAAAGGTATAATCTAAACAGAGATTAGATAAAAAGTTATGAAATCAATTTATGAATGATATTTTCATTATTCTTCTAGAGATTTCTTAAGAATATTAATATTATATCACATTAAAATATTTTTTTGGACTTTTTAATATGTTATAATTCAATTGGCTTATTATTCATCATGAATCAATTAGAGGCCTTCATCTATATAGGTCTAAAGTTCATTAACATCATCAAACATGTTTAAGATATCTCCTATATCAAATTGAGATGGATCAATCAACATACCTTAAAGAATAATATCAAAATATTACCAACAACTTTTTTTGTAGATTCTTTTTCTTTAACAATATCAAACACTTTCTGGAATAATAAATTACCTAAAACTTATCTTTAAGCATCATTAGGAATTTTCAAGAAATCTTCCATTCTATTTTAAACTGTTTGATAATTCATAAATTCTTCTAAGAAAGATGCTGGTTATTTTTCCATTCTTATAGGTTCTGTTGGTCTTATTGCAGGAGGTCTTTGCATAGGTCTTTATTATTATTGAGTGAATGGATATCTTGCTCCTCTAGGAGGGTTTCTTGGAGGATGAGGATGAGGGAAGGGCATAGGAGGCATCATTTAGAAAGTTTATAACTATGGTTATAATAATTATCTTCCTCCTGGATTAGTAAAGATATTTTAGCTTTGCTTTTTAATTTCCTTAAACTCTTTTCTCATAGTTTTAGATAATAAAATATTTGCAACAGCATGACCATCCTTGAAGATTTCTTTTCTTTGTTTACAAATTTTTTCATTTGAATCATCATAGAGTTCTGAACGAGCTCTCTTTGAATCTTCTAATGTTTAATAATGAACAAAGCATTATTAAACTTAAAATCTTGGATTTTTAGTTTTTCTGATTGTTAAACGAATAACTTTTCCAAATTATCCCAAAAATTCAGAGATTTATTCTTTTGTTACATCTTCCTTAATGTTTTGGATGATGATTAATCTTTCATCTGGATTCAAATGTTTACTATAAACCATATTAAAAAAGAAGTTATCACTTTCACCTTTGAAAATATCATGTGGATCCTTCTTCATTTCTTCAAAATAAGGAGTAATTTATTCAATAGTAAATGGTAAGCTACCATCACTATTGGCAGGAGGTCCAAACTTTTTAATTAATTCAATTGCATTATGAGCACCTGAAATAAAACATGGATGTTTCCTTTAACTTTCACAAATATCTAAATTTGCTTTAGCTTAGTCAAATGTTTCAAATGTTATCATTGCCCATGGTTATCTAGTAACTTAATCTATTTTGACAAAACAGTCCTTTAATTAATCACCTTAAATTCTTGTTAAATAATCCTTTATCACTAAAGACCATCCATATTCAAATGATCTAACAACGATATCATGACTCATCAATTGTTATGATAATGGAGCTGCAAATGCTCTTAAGTAAATAGATGTTGATTCTACTTTTCTTTCTGATTAAGCTTTAAATTATTCTAATTTCAAAAGTTTGCCTTTGTGAGTGAGTGGATGATTTAAAATTCTCTTAATTAAGTTTTCTGCATCTTCTTTTCTTTCAAATTACACATAACCATAACTAAATTGCTAAATCTTTAATTATACTTTAATTGCTTTCCTGTTTGATCTCTATGTACATCTACAGATAGCACTGTTCCAAATCTTGAAAATTCTTATTCTAATTCTAAGTCATCTGCATCTTCAGGTAGATTATGAATGAAAATATTGGCCTTTTTGTCTGCTCCATGGAAATTAAAGTAAGGTTTCACTCTTATGTTATTTCTGATGAATATTTAGTTATTAAATTTTTTTCTAGCTTCTTCTGCTGAGTCTGGATGCAAAAATGTAATGAATGCCTGCCCTTTAGATTTTTAAGTCTATTTATCCTTTGTGATTTTTAAGCTCTATATTTCTCCCACTTCTTTAAATTTACGATATAAATAATCTTCAGAGATACCCTATTAAATTTATAATTTATTAATACCTGATCAAGATTCTCAATATAGATGATAGTTTTGGATTATTATTGGTTTGGCTGAGGAGTAATTTGTGGTTGTTATGGTATTTCTTTTTGGAATTATTACATATTTTGATTTTTAAATAAATATTTATTTAAAGATTTAAAGTATATTTTTGCGATGATAAATTCATAATAATCATTAAAATATTAAATGATAACTAAATGTACAATTTTCAATTCAATTCTCTAATCTCTAATAAATTCAAGCCATCCAATTTTTATTTATTTATAAATGAATAAAAAACCATTTTCAAATCTTTTATAAAAATATTAAATAAAATCTTGAGATTTTCTAATAATTTTATTAATTATAATCTAAATACATTTTATGAGTCAATTTAGGTTGAAACATTAAATTTTTTTAGATATAATAAGATAAAATCATTAAATTTATATAAATTATTATTATTCTAACATTTATTATAATTATAAGAAATGTTTATATTTGTTATAATTATAATGAATTTGTATTAATGGGAAAGTTAATAATGATCTTATTGATAAATATTCCATCTAAATAATGTTTCAGATATATGAAATACTCATTAATATTATAATATATTTCCAAATAGTTTTTCATTAGAATGAAATTGTAATTTTTCTAAAAATAATTATGTTATTAATGAGAATTAATATTAAAATTATATGATTTTAGTTATAAATTGAGAAACTAATTAAGTATAAGAATCTATTCATATACCTTTAGATAATATAAGTTGTTTTATAGAAAATAATTTAACTGTTATTTTATTAATAATGTAATGATGACATATAAAAATTATCTATTCTATATCTTTTTGAATTTTATTCTGTATTTATGATAAAATTTATGAGCTTTCTATTTCAAGATACGAATCATTATAAATGATGTTTATATTTAATTTTTAGATTGATTAATTTTCATATTGCAATCAGTCATTCAATGTAATATTAAATTTCAGTTTAGGAATGTCAAAGAGAGGGTGCTATAATTAGAGAAATAATAAAAAGATAGAGAAGAGGAAGAACAATCATCAAAAACATTAAAATCTACTTAGATTACTAAAGTCTAATAGGATTAGGTTATAATATAAAAGTATTTCATTTACATTATTCGAACTTAGTCAAATAGAGAAGCATGAGTAAGATCAAATTATACGAGAAAGTGATGTAATCAAAACTTTAAATAAAATGTTTAATGACAATCCTGATGTGAGAGATTAAATAGAGGGATAATTATAAAAATAAAGTCAAATGTCAACACAACTTGAGGAAGATTGGGATGAAGAGAATGAGAGGAATGATTAATAATAATATTCATAAGATTTGATTTAATAAGTAAATGATCAAGAATTACAAAGTGAAGACAGAATTTATGTAAGTATTATAACTAATGAATTAACTACTTAAATAAAAAAATCATAAAGATTATCTATGGATTTATAATCAATAAGTATTCAAAATCGATCTTAATCAATTTTATAATAGAAATTGATAATCAACGATTCTAATCAATTGGTTTTAGTATAAGATGATAGTTATTATTTAGAATATATGGATAAGATTATATTTATTTAAAGATTTGTAAAATAAAAATAAGAAAAAGATAGAAAGGAAAGAATTGAAAAGGAGAAATAACTTATTGAGAAAATGAATAGATATAGAATAAATGTATTGAATGAGTTAATATAAACAGAAATTAAGTATGTAGCTGATTTAGAGATTTTAAATACTATTAAAAATATAATGGCTGAAAAATTTTAAAATAAAGAAGAAGATATAAAGGTTATGTTTAATATTCATGAGATTCTATAATTTAATACTGAGTTCTTGAATGAATTATAAAAGAATAATAATTTAAAAGATCCAAATGCTATTGTAATGGGAAGTATAGTTCCTCTTCTGAATGGATTTATATTTTACTATGAATATTGTAAAGCTTATGATCAAGCTAGAAAAACAACTAGTTATTATGAAACATTACCTACATTTTAATAATGTTTTAAGGATAGCAAAATATAAATTTTATTAAAAGGATTAACATTGAATGATTATACTATTAAACCTGTTTAACGATTACCTAAATATGTACTATTATTCAAGGATTTATTAAAACATACAATATCATCACATCCTGATTATTAAAATGTGAAATATTGTCTTGAGACTATTGAAAAGATTAATGATAAGAACAATAATGAAATGGATGTATATCTTAAATAAGCAAAATTAATTGAATTATATTAATAATTTGGAAATATTTAAAATTTGACAATTTTTGAACCAAATATATATTTCATTTTTGAAGATATTTGTTCAATTTATACAAAAAAAATAGAATAAAGGATTATTATATATGCATTTAATAGTTTACTATTATTTGCAAAAATAAATAAGTTAAATGCTTTAGAATATTAATTTCATATTCCAATTTCATATCAATCTTTTATTAAGGATATAAAAGATTTATTAATAATTAAAAATTCTTTTGAATTTGTGAATAGAAATGAGACAATTGTTATTGTATGTGAGAATGAAAAAAATAAATAAGAATTAATGATGAAAATTTAACATATCATAAATTAATAAATTGAGGTTTTTCAATCAAAAATAGATAAAAAATAAGAAAATTATCTTTGTGTTAAAGTAGAAATATTAGGAACTGAAACAGATCCAAAATTTGATAAGAATATTACTTTTTATAAAACAAACTTTACTATTGATAATATTACTATTACAAGTTTAATTAGATTTAGTTAAGTTATAAGTTTATTTTAAATTGTTAATAAATATGATAATAAACTAAAAATACCAATAATAACAAAGAGTTTATCATCAAAAAGTTAAAGAGTAATTGATGAAAGGAAATTAAGAATTGAGTAATTATTGTAAATTATACTTAATTCTCCATAGATAATAGAAAATTATGAATATTAGAGATAGGTATTAGAAATACTTAATCTTGATACTAAATTTTATAGTTTACCTGAATAAAAGAAATAGAAACCTGAGTTATTTTAGAACAAATCTAAATTAGGAAAAAAACAAAATTAAAATAATTCTTCTTTAGAATATCTTTAATAAATATAATAATAAATATTTAAATCTAAAATAAGTGATGATGATAAATATGTAAAAATTGGACTTGAAGCAGTCTCTTAACCTTATTGTATAGAAATGATGTTATTGACTGGCTAAACAATATAGGTTGGTTTTAAGAAAAACACATTAACTTGGTTTATAAAGAATGCAGTTGCAAATCATATTAATTTAAAGTATTTTGTAGATTTTAAAATTTTTATTGTTGATACAGGAGGTATAATAAGAGTGATAGAAGATGATGAAAAGATTTCAACATTTTTAGATACTAGTAAAACAGGATTTCTATAAGTATTAAAAAAGATGTTTAATAATGGAACAAAATTTTAATTTATATTTAGAAAATATTTATATTTACCTTGGAAATAGGAAGAATTAGAATATTAATAGGATGAAATTAGATTGAAATTTTTAATGTTTGAAATTGTATTTTTAGCAAGAAATTAAACTTTTCCTTTGAGTTTTATAGATTTTTGTTTGATGACTGCATTTTATAGTATTGCAACCTAATAAAAAATTGATAAAAATCTATTGAAAAAAGCAATTCCTAATAATATAATTAAATAACATTCTGAGAAACTTTGGTTAGAATAGATATAAAGAGAAGTAGCATTTAGAGAAAAATAATTAATGGAATTTTAGATTCAATCATAAAAGAAAGATTAAAATAAAAAGAATTATACAATTCAAAATTTATCATCATTATTAATGGTAACTTGTTTTTAGACTAATATTTTATTTGGAATGTAATTATTTTTTGTAGAATGTACAAAAGAAACAATATAAATTGCATAATAAAAGGAATTTGGAATAAAACTTAGTCATAATGTATTAATAGGTATTAAAATGAATAATTAAAGGATTAAATTATAATGGTTTACATTTCATCAAACCAGAAAATAGAGCTTGGCTTGGTAAGATTGATTATAAATCGATAACAGAAATAAAAGCGTTTCCAATAGAATTTGTTTGCAATATCAATAATTTCAATTTGAAATTTAAGACTCAAACACCTTATGAAGTAAAATATTCTGTTTAAGATTTAGATTAAACACTTAATTTTAGAATATTAACAAATAATCGAAATTCTAAATTCTTGATAATTAATTATAATTATTTTATAATATTCAATCTTCTAACGTAATATAATGTTAACATAAATTATTCGAAAAAATAAGATTTAATTGATTATTATTTAATCATAAATCTGTTCTCATCTATAACATATAAATATCTAGGAACCTAAATTATTTTACTTATTTATATAATTAATAAAAAGGGTATTAGGATAGTAAATTTTTAAATATACAAAAAGTGAGTATATAAAAACATTAAATAAATAATTATATGTAAGAAAATGAGTTTGCTATCTCAATTTGTGTTCCCTCTTTCAAAAAGAATGATGATATTGTCTATTATCAATTAATGTAAGTATTTTATCAGATTCTAAAAAATAGTTTCACCGAAAATAATCAAAGATGCTCCTTCTCAGTTGATTATCGTTATTCCCATCTTAAACTTTTGCATTAATCCTTATCAACTCTTAAAGCGAGTTTGCCGAAGTTTCCTCCGACTAATTGGTGGAGATCCACCAATAACAATGAAGAATTAATAGAAGAGAGAAGAATACAGTTAGATTACTTCTTCAAAAATCTCTTCTAATGTTAAGGAATATGCAAAAGTTTGATTATGAAAAATTTCATTCTCAAATCTCAATGTTTATATCTTAAAAAGGCTGAAAAAGTATATAATATCTTTTATATTACAAGTAATAACGTGATATCATTAAGAAAGAAGGAAAAGCCTAAGCAGTCCCTCCCTTAAACAAATAGAAATCAAAATCTCAAGTAAATTCATTGAAATAAATAAAAAGTTGACAACGCCTATCTGTGGACCTGCTGAAGATCCAATAGAGGATCCTCGTGAAAGATCCCGCTCTTGGGAATTCAAATTAACTAAAAAGAAGACTCAATAAATTATTGATAAAGATCCTAAACAATTAAATAATGTAATTATTTTTATTCCTTTTTATTAGTTAAACTTCGGTGGAGTTCCTATATTCAAAGGTATTCTATTGAGATTTAAATGATAAATATATGGATTTCATATATATTATTAAAAAAATAAATAAATTATTCTTTATAAAATATTGATTGTTATAGCAATAAATATATAAATATTTTTTGAAATCATTTTATAATCATTTTATAATTTATTTAGAAAGGGTCTAGCCAATTCCTCTGGCACTATTAAAGCTACATACACTTTTTTAATTCTTTGAGGTATGAATATACCTTGCAGTAGATGCAGTTTAATAAGAATTATTTGAATTAGAAAGATTAAATGCATTACTATACCATAAACTGATATCATAAGCACAATTCTCTTTAATTAATCTAATTAATTCTAGAACCTAAAAACTTGATGGTCTATCAAATGGATTAGGTTTGGTCATTATTTTAACTAATTCGAACAATTAGCTATTTTCACTATTTTGATATGTTTTATTTTTTTAAAAACTCATACTTGACTAATTTGATTATTGTAATTTAGTGCCTGTTAATAGGATGTATAATACACAACCAGCACTATATACATCGACTTTAAAATCATAATTTAATTTAGTTTAATTAACATTTAAGACTTCAGGTGCCACATAACCCTCTGTGCCACAATTAGGATTTTCTAATAATTATTTACCATCATAACAAGCAAGTCCAAAATCGATCAATTTGAGCTTATTATTATGATACATAATGTTGGCTGGTTTGATATCTCTATGAAGTATCTAATTACGATGAAGATAAGTCAAAGCTTCAAATAATTACTTAAATTTTATTTAATTTATACTTGCATGATTTCTAAAATTTCTTCATTTTTAAATTGGTTTAATTTATTGAACATTAGCTGTTTTAAATTATCACCTTCTATAAATTCAGTCACAATTTAATAATAAAGTTCATTTTTAAATACTTCATAGATCTCAAGTAATCGTGGATGTTTAATTGATCTTAGGATCTAAATTTCATTCTCTATTTGTTTTTATTGGTCTTTCTTTCCATTAAGTAATATATGTTTAATAGCCACTTTATTATTATTAAAGTAATATTCATTGGATGTAACCTATAAATAATATATGATAATTTCATACCTAACCAAACGACCCTGATTCTAAAGTTGTAAGATATTTATAGTTTTAACTTAGATTGAGGAAAACCATTTTGTTACTCAATCTCTATCTAAGTGAGATTAGGTCAGTCTGGTCAGCATGAAACTCCTTTAATTTCCCTTGATAAGGAAATTTGAAACCAAACAACCTTTATTGTTTGATTAACCATTCAAAAGTAGTGAATTCATCGATTTTCATAATATATTTTGGAGCATCCATATTTAAATGCTAAAATATGTCAATAGTATTTACGTAAGTCATTGTGATTTGGTTATTGTAATATTTTAACTAATATACTCTATCCTTAAAAAAATGTTTTCGAACAACTCGACATTAAAACGGTACTTCTTATTGGCTTAACAAAAAAGGTTGAGATTGTTATTTTTTTTACATTTAGATATAATAAATTAATTATTTTAAATCATTGATCAAATAACTTGTTTTTTTATCCTCTTTAGAAATAAATTAAAATACTAGAAATGTTATCTTTTCCATATTCTGATTCAACATTCTTTGCAACAATTGAATCGCAAATTGTTTCTAAAATATCAGACAAAGCTTTTCCTTATTGAATTCTTTCAAGAATCATTTCTGTTATGGCATTATTAGTCCAGGTTTCCCAAAAACCTAAAAATTCATCATGAATAATTTTAACCGTGACTTCCCATTAAAATTAACTCAGTATCTTCTTTGTCAACATACTTAATACTTGGTACAGAAATAAGAAGTTATTTGTTTTAATCTAGATTGGAATTGGATTTATATTCGAAATTTCCAAGACCTCTACTATAAGGAAGATGAGCATTTAATCTATTTTCCCAAACTTCACCTCCAGCAGCAAGAATACGTTATTTCTCTAAATCATTAATAGGATAATGTTCAACTGTCATTACTTTGTGTTTGCCTTCATATCTAATTACACATCTAGATAACTATATGATATCAAAAAGTATTAAGTACTCCTGCATTGGCTACATAAATATTTTCATTAGTAATCAATGTTAATAATAGAGTAACACCTTAATAACTAGTACTCTCCTTAAATTGATTTTTCAATTGATTATCCAATCTCTCATATAAACTGACAATAGCTTTATCATAATTTTTCTATTTATATTCTTAGTCATTAATTAATGCTTCCACTATATGATCTTAAATGTATTTGCCATATTCTATTCCACCATATTATTCCACTATACAGAATAAACTATTTTCTTAATCAAATTTCTCTTTAATAATAGTAAATTCATCCTATTAGATTTGCCAACCCTGCAATGATGTAGATGTATATGTATAATCAAATACTTAACCTGATTAAGTTAATTTAGTTGTTTCAGGTTTTGTTAAATACAAACCCATTATTAAATTTAATTTATATATATATATATAAATAATTAAAAATTCATAAATCCTGATAATAATATTATTTATTTAAGATATTATTTATTTGATTATGTATTTTTACAATTCAAATCCTTATTCATAATTAGGATTTATTTAATAATATTATTAAAAAGAATGAAATATTGTCTTATTATTCTTATTGTTGTCTCTACTTTTGCAGCTATACCAACTAAAGTGACTAATTGTATGGCAGATCCAAAAATCGTGTTTACAAGTGCCACATTCAGTGTATAGCCAGCCAAAGGTGTTGATGAAACTATTACACTATTTGGAAATGCAAATCAACATGCAGAATTAACAAATGTATTGTTAAAAGCAAAATGGAATGGAGTAGAAGCATTTGAAGATAATTATCCTGAAGATGAAGTATATGATAAGGGAGACCCTGTTAGTTATGCCCTTACTTAAAATTTCCCAACTTATACTCCATCGGTAAAATTTATTTAAATTTGATTAGGGTAAAATATCATGCTAATTCTGGTTTTAAAATGCCAAAGGAACTAATTTTGCTTGTGCTGAAATTTCATTTGTTGTTTGATAATATTGTTTATAAAAAAAATACATTCAATATAAATTCTATATTCTTTATATATTGATCTTTCATAAAATCATAAATTAATCATCAATATTTTATTAATAAACTTTAACTCCTTATTGAGTATATATCTATAATTCATTTCCAAATGTAGACCATTCAAATTACCAACTATCAGAATCAATTTATATAAATTAGTCTGTAAATTTTTCAATATTTTTATCTAATTCTTCATTATATTCTATAGTGATTATAACTGCTTTATCCTAATACTATCCTGCTACCTTTATTTCATTATTATTCATATAAGGAGCTATCTTCAAATTATAAATAGATGATTGTAATAATGCAGAATGTTTATTTTTATTCACAATTTTTTACTAATCATTAAATTTAATTGTTTCAATTTAAAATATAAATTATGAATTACTATTTCTTCCACAACAAAATAAAATGGCATCTTATTTCATTAATTATAAATCGAAATCAATCAATTAATTAAACATTTCAAATTTATGAACACATTTATAATCCTCTCCTTATCTTATTTCAAAATATCCTTCATAATAACCCACTACTAATATTAGTTCATTTTCTATCCATTTTACTATCTTAGGATTTTAATTCTCTTTTATTGTATGTACTTATCTCCAAACCTTCCCAGTTTCCTTATGTATTTGTATGGTCTAATCTTCTCCACATGTGGCAATCATATTATCCATTTTAGGACTTTGCCATGATAAAGAATTGATTGCTCCCTAATGACTTCAAAATCAAAATTATTATACGCTTTAATTTCACAATTATATACATGTTTCTAACCATCCTTAGTTTAAATGATATCATAAATCTTAATAAAGCCATCATATGTAATGAATGCTACTTTCTGTTTAAAATAATCAAAATAAAATTATTGCTAAATCTTATTTTAATTGATACTTCAAAATTATCATTTTTTATTAGTAATTTTTGATTCACTTTTGTTATGATTGGATTATTATACTAATTAATAGGCTATTCTATATTTATTATTGAAGACCCATTATTCATTTATTATTATTTAATTTAATATATATGTTAAATATAAACTATCTTAAAAATTGGCTTATTATAAATCACCTATTGATTATATTACATATTAATAAATAAAACCTTATAATTATGTATTATATTATAATAAATAGTATTTGAATACATTTTTAGAATATGATATTTATGAGTTGAAATAGTATAAGAGGAATTAGAAACTTATTATATTATAAAATTATCAATTAATATCTTTTTAATACATTGTCATTGGATGTTAATCTTGAAATATAATTAAATATTTTGAATAATATTATCTTATTTTAGTTTAAAACAAGATTTTAGAAATTTTGAAGAGTATAATATAATTAAGATAAGATTAATTATTAATGAATGATACTATTGCAAAAGAGATCACACCTACAGATATTAGTGATACTGAAAAGAGAATCATTCAATATCTAGAAGAGGAGTTATTATTAGATCAATTTACAGATCCTCAGTTAAAACAAATTAACTTTGAGTTGTCCAAGAAAAAAACTATTTTCTCATTTAAATCTATGGATTCTGACACTGAAATCTCTGAAGCCACTTCTTGTTCAACAATAAAGAGTACACAACTTCAAATGTGTAAGTCTCCACTCTTTAGAAGAAGACTAAGCACATTAGTTTTAGACTAATCATCTTGATATTGTATTATTTAACGTAATTTCAATCTCCATATTTGAAGAAATAATAATTCTCTCTACTAATTTTCTTATGATATCTTTAGTTATGAAAGTTAAATTATTGAAATATAAACAAATTGCAAATTTTGCTATTGACTCTTTCTTTGACAAAATCAATATTACTAAAAGTTAAAGAAGAAATATAATAGACTAGAATCAACATATTAATTACTTTGATAGTGAATCACAAATACTTTTGTCGCTTCAATTGAAACTCCTTAAAAAATAATTGAAGAAATTAAGTTCTAGAGTAATTAAGATTCTGTGAAAATTTATTATTGATTTTAAGATTAGAACTTATGATCAAAGAACTATATAACAACTCAAATGAGTACTTTGTTTAAACTACTCAACAAATTTGCTAAAAAATGAATTTTTTTAAAACATGAACTTCATAATTAAATGAATATATTTTTTATATGATGTCTTTCATTCAAGAAAATCACCATATATTTCTTGGTTGTTTAGTATATAATAATTTGTGTAGTTTGTATATAAGAATTAGACAAAAACAGTTTGAATATTATGATTTAGAGTAAACCTTGAAGCAATTCAATATTTTAAGAAGAAATTAGATTCTAATTTAATTGAAACTAATAGATGTTTGATTATTTTGAGTAATTTATTATTAAAGGAATCTTCATATTGTAAGAAGAAGGTATAAATTCTTATAAATAATAATTAAAATTTATACCTTCATGTCTTTGTAATTATGATCAATTTTTTTAATTTCATAATCAAAATCACCATTAAATATTGTAGAAAGTGATAGTTTTCGAATAATAAGATTTATTTAAATATAATTAGTAAATATAGTTTAAATAAAAGCTAATTTTAAATAAAATACTCAACTACTCAAATATTTTAAATCTAAAAGTGTGTAGTTATTGTGATAATGTTTAATCTTGTAATCAATTTTCATAAAATATTAAAATAATTATGATGTAATTTTATATAATGAAATAATATAAAGAATTAATACTATTTAATAAAAGTTTATTATTGAATGATTTAGTTTAATTATCTATTACAAATAAGTTAATTATTTATTTATTTTTCTGAATAAAAGAATTAAAAGATCAATTAATACAATATAAGAGATTCTATTGTTTTGTTATTTAATTACAGAACAATAGAATCTAATGGAGTTTATGATATATTGGAAGATGATAATATTAATAAATGATAAAAATAATGTATATATTTATATAATATAAATAATATCCGTTTTAATGAAAATTTATGCTCTTTTATGTATAATCGCAATAGTGTATTGCACATAAACTACAAAGTAATGATATCAAAAATATGATAAAGCTAGGCAAGTATGTTTGATGAATAGCTGGGATAATTGAGTAAAAGTAAATTAGGAAAAACTATATTAAACATGATATCATTGCAATAATTTACAGAAGTTGATTTTAGTCCATTATTTACAGCTATAGATGACATAGTTGCATCAACATAATAAGCAAAATAAGATGAGGCTGAATAATTAGATTCTTATTTTTAATAATTCTTAAGTGATTCAGAGTTTTATTCAAATCAAGTTACAGAATATAGTACAGAAGTATTTAGATTAATATTTATTTAAGGTTGCATAACATTAAAGTGATATTACAACATTCAAAAAAGACAGAAACAGTTTATAATAGTCTTTATATGATAAAAATCAATAATTAAGTGATTCATAAAGAAATTAAGCATAATTGCAAAGAACAGTTTAGAATAATGATTAAGCATTATCAAAGAAAACTGCAGAATATGATTAATCAATTTCCATAGTGGATTAGGTTATAGCAAAATTATAATTAATCAAATGTAATACAATATTTTATCATATTTATAGAGTCATCTTTTATTGAAGTGAATTAAGAGGATTTAGCTGTTTCAGCTGCTACATTTTCAAGAAGATTGGGTGAAGTATCTCATCTTCCTCATCTCTTTGAACCATTATCAAAAGTATTAATCTAAATGAGTACATAAGGGTAAGTGTAATAATAAAATATTATAGGTTTGCTGATTAAGAATAAGCAGGAAATGCAGTAAAATTACTTAACAGTTTAAGAGAAGATTTAGTAGCTACTAAATAAGCATTATTAATGAATGCTTAATTAGAGAAAGATACAAATAATGGATTGTTGACTTCTTTAGAAGAAAATATAAATCTTTTAAATAATGAAATAATTCCATAATTAAAAGGAGACATTGAAACTAAAGATGGTGAAATTGCAACTAAATAAGATCTTTTAAAGGATGCATAATCAAATTTAGATACTGCTTAGGCTAATCTTGATAATGTGAATGCTGGATGGGTTGCTAGGTATTTTATAATATATATTGGATTAGATAGTAATAAAATAAATAATTAAATGATGGATGGGATAATGAATTAATGTTATTATCATAAGCAGAATCAGCTTTAGAAAGAGGAGGAATTAGAAGATCATGAACAAATATATTACAATTTATCAAATAATATTTATAAATTTTATTTGTGATGCGAGGTTTCTTTGCTATCACAAGAGCTTTTATAGCTCCAATTTCTAAAACTACTTACAGATTCTCTTTCTAATAATAGAAAATTCAAATGAGAATGTATTTGAATTATCTAATATTATAGTGTACTCAATCAAATAAATCAAATTATACGACTGTCTTCTACTATTTCAGGATTGCGAATTGCAAATCAATTTGATTTATCACTATTCTCTTTATTAGAAGAGGCTTAAGGTATTTTTTTAGTCTATTTATTATAGGTAATTCATTTATATTTTATGAAAATCAAGACGACTCTGCGGTTTTAGATATTAGGCAGATTGGTTTACACTTAGGATGTTTATGCACCCTTTGATGATTGAACATAATATAAAACATATAAAAAATATTGAAATATCTAATCAAAGAAAATAAAAATAAACTAATAATTCTTTTAATTATTAAATGACCGAACAAAATAAATTTACTCTTGGATAAAGTGCAGAAGTACTTCAATATACTGAATAACAAGTTTAAGATGCTGATATTCTATTGAATAGGTAAATACATTAAAAATACATTAGATTATTAGTAAAATCCTTTACATATACAAGTGCAGGGTTATTTAGTGGATCATTATTATCCATCTTCTTCAAAAATAAAGTAGGTGTCATTGGCTATTCTGCTGGAATAGGTTTAGGTTTAGCCTTGCATTAATATAGCAATGGACTCTTCGATACTGTCAGAAGATAAATTTGAATTATTATAGCAAGAAAAATATATAATATAATCAAGATATTCATTCTCATTACATGATAACCAAATGCTTAAAACAATAATTAAATATATATTTAATTAAAAAATGAATTATTTTGATATTATAGAAGAAGACCTTTAATAGCCATAAAATGAATCAAATTTATATAGTTCTTAAGATGAATACCCAATTTAACATCATTCAATCAAAAAAATAATAAGCACCTCCTTGACCTAATAAATGAATTCTCTTAAAATAAACACATCAAGCTCAAGAAGAATTAGCAAATCTAAAGTTAATGGAAAACTGAAATATCATAAAAATATAAATAAAAAGAAGGAGCCTTCTTAAATTTAAGATTCTCAAAAAGAAGAGACTTAATTTGATTTGTATACACAAGAATACAAATAGATACAAGTGTTTAGCTTTCCAAGTACACCCTCTCTGTATTGATTTACTTAATTATTTATTTACTATTCATATTCATTAACTTAACACATTTTTTTCATAAAAAATAATCCACATATTCTTTAATTATGATTTTTTAAGTGAGTTTCAAATCTTTATAATCGATGACGACTGAAGATTATAGATAATTTTAGAATATATAATGATGATAATATATACCGTTTTTTACAAGAAAATAATTTGTATTTCTAAATAAAGTTAATATATATATATCATGAGAAAGGTTTGCTTAAATTAAATATTTTCGAACAATTCACTGTAATTCTTAGAAATCTATCGAATATTTTAATTTCCATTAGAAAAATTCATGCCGATATATAAACCCACATAAATAATCAAGAGGGTTAATAGTTTTTATTTAATCCAACTTATTCACTAATTAATTAAAAATGAATCTATTAGACCCTAAAATTACTAACTTTTATCAACATACTTATATATCATATATCATAAATTATCAATTTTCTATTCTTTTCTAGATTTTCTATATCGAACAAAAATAATAGTAAATTTTGAATACTAACTAAACTTTAAAAAAAACTGTTACTAAACTGAAATAAAGCTAAAAAAAATGTTAGGTGTATAATAGCATATTTAATTTTAGAATCAATTATAATATTTTCTATTTATTTATTTGAACAGTAATTTTATTAAAATTATAAATATATATATATATATTATTTATGGCATCTTAATAATAATAATAAAGTACTCAACAACAACCATCATAATAATAATAATAATAATAATAATAATAAAAATAACCTATCCGATAGCCAGATGTTAAAACCCAATTGAAATAACTTTATGATAAATCAAGTATTCAATTTGATGATGAAACACTTTAATTATGCCCATAAATTTCAATTTTGAATAATTTAGTTAAGTAATCATCCTTTTTCTATTTAAAGATATGAGAATCGAATAGATTAAATGATTAAAAACAAGCGAGTTGATTTATAAGAATCATTCATCCAGCCAGGATAATATTTAAAAAAGACTCTCAGAATCATAGTCTACTCTGAATTGGTTTGTGATGAATGGAATCTTTTTATCAAAGGCTAAGTTCTTTCAGAGGATAAAAAGCCTTTCTCCTATTTTATTAGATAACTTGAAGTCCAATTTGATAAAACCTATTATCCTTCATAAAATGTAATTTAATGGAACAGGAATAATATTTAATAACAACAACAATAATAATAATCACAATAATAATAATAACAATAAGAAACAAGTGGATTTCACATTAAAAGAAAAGGACCATCTTGTGATGTAATTATTTCAATCAGTCTCTAAACCTATCCATAAAAGTATAAATTACATAAAACACTTTAACTATTGCTTGGAATTAAAGAAGGAACAAGATCATAAATCTTATATTGCTTTTGGGAATATGTTAAGGTAAATATTTATTATTATTTTGAACAGTTAAATAATTTGACAGATAAAGAGAATAAAGATTATATAATTGCTGATGAATAATTAAAGTAATTATTTGGATAAGAACGTATTCCTTTATCTAATCTTAATATGCTTCTAAAAATGTTTATAGAAAATCCAGAACCAATTATAATTAAACATCATTTGGGAGTTAGCAATTATATTGGATTTGATGTTGTAGTTGAGTAAGAAATGAGTTATTAACCTGAATTAATGCCATTTCTAGCTTAAAAGGTAGTGACAGAAGATAATTCAGAAAAGAAGTAATAAAGAGCAGAACATCCATTTATTTAATTAAATTAAAAAATAAAAGGATTTGAAAAGTAGATTTAAAAATACATAGAATAAAGCAAGAGTCATAAATTAAAGAGAGATGCTTATTATTAATATCAAAAGAATCCTAGTTTATTTTTGGAAAATTTATTTTTACAATAAAATTCATATTTAGAACTTATGTAAAATGATGATGAAATGCGAAATGATGATCCTAAAAATATGAAATTCTTAATGAAAAATTAGGAATTAGTTGAGAGACAGATTCGTAAATATTTAGAATAACAATAATAACCTTAATAATAATGAATTATAAATTTATTTGATATTATGAACATATTATAAAATATTTAATTATGAAAAAATTGCTTATTGTTTCAGGACTTACAGGATCAGGTAAATCACAAATGGTTTAAATACTAAGTGAATAATTAAAAACAAAAGTTATACCAGTTGATTCATTATAAGTATGTAGTATTATATTAATTATAGATTTATAAGAATTGGCCAATATCTAGTAATTGGCCTAAAAAATTAAATAATTATGAATTAATAGGAAAATATGATGGATTAAAATAGACTATTTCAAGTTATCATTTTAAAAAGGATGTCATGGAGATTTTAAAATAAAAAGATAATCCTATATTAGAAGGAGGATGTTGTTTCTTTATGAATTATTTATTAAATTCAAGGAAAGAATAATTTGAAGAAGATTAAATAAAAGCTGCAGATTTAGAAGCATAAAAATTATTGGAAAATTGTGGAGATCCATAAGCTCTATTGAAATAACATTTCAAAAATTATGATGATTCAATTAATACATCAGATAGATATCGAATTTAAAAAGCTTTGAGATTTGCTTTATTAACAAAAGGAGAATCTATTACATCTCCATTCAATTAAGAAGATCCTAGATTATGTGATGAAATGGATATTAGAGGGTTCTTTTTTACAGAACCTTAAGAAAATATTTCGAAAAAGATTTATGCAAGGTAAATCTTCGTTGTTTTAGTATCAGGTGTGATGAAATGATTCGATAAGGAGTAATAGAAGAATTTTATTAATTTTATTAAATGTTAGAATAAACAGAATTTCGTGTTACTACACCTTTAGGATATGATGAATTTGTGAATTTATTAAAATGCTTTTAAAATATTTTTGAAGGAAGATATATATCCAATAGAAGAGCAGAAAAATAAAAGAGAGAATATGTTTTAAAATTCATTTAATAATTCTATATAAAATCTAGATAATATGCTGCATATTAACGCAAATATTTCAGATCTAATTTAAATTAATTCTTATGGTTAGACAACAGAACTTTAAATTTACAATAATTAATTTTATAATATTATAATTGTGATCGATAAGAATATGAATCTAAAGTAGTTTCACCATAAAATGAATAATTCAAAAATGAATTAAGCTCAAAATTACTTGGTAAATAGAATGATCCAATACCACCAAAAGAAATATAAGAAATAGTATATAAGGCAGTTTAGACAATTATAGAATAATGAAATTAAATGTGTATAATAATAATTGGATCATTAAATAATTGGATATGATATCTTCTTAATTTTATCCAAACATTCAGGTGCTCCACTTCTCTAAACTTAAAAAAATCCATTTTCACCCCATCCTGGTCCCCAAGAATTTTTTACTTTATAATGATCTTTTCCATAACCAACTATCACAACAGCATGACTAAGCTCTTTGGCTCCAACATAGCTGCAAGTATCAATAATACCACCTCCATATTCAAACCATGATTTATCTGCATACATTAAAGCTGTTACTGGACCATCTTAAAGAGCTTCTTTAATTTATCTACATATATTAGATGATTCATTTACTCAAAATTTGGATCATCCACCTTCTATACATCAACTATCAAACCTTTACCAATATTTCCTCCTGGTTTTGTGCAATCTTATTATGTAGCATCATATTCTCTATATTCATTCTCTCTAAGTGCTCCATTTTCATTAATGAATTTATATGCACCAATAGGTGATCCTCCATTACATCCCTTGTTCTTATCTCCTACACAACAATCTATTAAATGAGTTTTGGATAATTAAGTTAATTCTTCCTTTCCCTTCAATGCAAGTCTACTTATTGCTACATCAGATGAAGAGAATGCCCAACAACTTCCACATGTTCCTTATGGTCTTGATGGTGTTACCTAAATTGAACTATTTTTTACTTATTTACTCCAATCTAATGAGTCTCCTTTCTTTGCCTATTCTCGCATTTGAGTTAGAATTGGATGATTTCGCAATTCTTTTATGTCTTCTTTACTAAAGAAATGATGATTTTAAAATTTAATATCATCATCACTAAAATCTAGATGCATGAACATTTTCAATGATAATTCATCATAATCTTAATCTGAAAATTCATTCAATTTAGCTTTATATTTTGCTCCGACATGATTATGTTTCTAACAATAAGCAAATCTATGTATACTTCAATGTTTTTCTTATTTCTCATAAAGATCTACATTCTATGTATTGCTGTAAATTCATTATCATATGATTTGCCATATTCTAACATCCAATTACGAAAGATCAATTAATCATGTTCATTTACATGTTCATTCTCCATCTCAGCAATTAATGTATCCTGCACATTTCTATTATAGGATAAGCATATGCCTATACACAGTAAGCCCAATACTATGCGCTTCATTTCTCTAATTTATAAAAATAAGATTATTAAAAAAAAGTAAAAACGAATTAATTCAATAATAAATTACTTCTTGTATATATCACGCATATATTTTAATTGTTTACCAACAAATTAATTAATAAATCATATTGAAATATCACATATGAAAATTTCAAATTTATTTATAAAATCAATAAATATAAAAAATGAAACTATTGTTTTGAAAGAGCTTTTAAGTTTCAATTTATAGCTTTACTTAAAATTAACTTTTGTAGTAAATAAATTTATAATATTTAATTAAGAAGCCTTAAACATAGAACTCTAACCATAATATTTGGTAATAGTAGATGTAAAAATTATTTAACTTTTAGAGATTTTAAGGATGATAAAAATCATAAGATTAGATGATTTAATATCAGTAATGTAATTGCAATTAAAATATGTAGTAAAACTTATGGTTTACGTAAATCTCTAACACTTATATATTATATTAATTTATCACTAATTGATATATACGAATAATAAGATAAATACTTATGTAAATTTATCTTATTATTTTTTTTATTATTTCTACATAAAATCTAAATCACAATTATCAATCCATGTATTTTCGATATTAATTTTAAATTTGTTCTAATTAGTGTTCTAAATTATTAATTAATTATTTATTGTTAGGCTCATGCTTAATTAAATCTTCTAATTAAGCTTTCAAACCTTTTATTAATATTTTAGGCAAGTTTTTTGAACTAATCTTTGTAATTTATTCATAAGATGGACAACCTTCTTTTGGTCTTATATCCAGAGTATCACCCTATAAATATATTTTTATATGTACAGCAGAAGTTCTAAATACACCTTTATATCCATTAACTTCATAAACTTTTCTGAAACCTTGATTATTGATTTCGGATTCCCTTTTAAAAACAGCCAAATCAACTTTCCTTAATTTATATTTATTCAAGGCTTCTTCATAATCAAAATCAGAAGGTGGCCATTAATCAAAACAATACCACCATCTACATAAAATTTCATATCTCAAATCATCTGTGTCAGGATTTGATTTAATTTACTTAATTCTTTGTTCAGGCTATTTTTATTTTGTGATTTATGGATTGGAAATTTTCTTAACTTTCTTTTCTTCATTGAATTATACATTTCAAATTAATACCTTCTTATTATTCAGATGAATCAGGTTCAAATAAGAATTTCCATTTTTTATGATCAACTGTAATTGTTTATGCAATCGGAGATTATTCTTATAGTTATTATACAGGTTATTATTGCTATTGCTCTTCCTCTTCAGAATCAATATATTTATGTTTTTTTTTCTATATTCCTAAGTCATTAGACATTGTTTTGTAAAATATATATTAGATTTCTAAATTCAATTAAAAATAGTATTTAAAGGGGTTTTCTTTATTTGATAATTACTCAAAATATTAAAAGTCTATTGAACTTATTTCTAGATATGTTTCAAAAAAATCATTTCTTAATCATCAGGTGTATCTTTGAATTAATTCATAAGTTTTAAATATTGAAAATTTACATTATTATAAAAGGTGATTTGATATGTCACTTTTTTAAAGCTCAAATAATTATATCAATTTAAATACATTATAATTAGTATTCTTTTAGTATTTGTATAATAAGATGTACTCATATCTTATGATCATATGAAATTATCAATTTAGTTAAATTATTATAAATGATTGAATATACAAAGAACTATTGAGATTTTAAAATAATGAGTAAAACCAAAAAAAAGAAGTATTATTATTTATCTCACTATAGGATAATGAATTATACATATTTGTTTTTTTCTTATCATTTGTTAATTACTTAATTAAATGTCTTCTAATAGAATTGTATTATCATTTCTAGTTTATATAATGATTTATATTTACAATCACCTTGTAAATTCAATCTATAATTTTCTATTTTTAAAGATTAACAATGATGAATGACACATAGAATATTCTTAAGTAATTATTAAGTCCTATAATTTTATAGAAAATAATACATAATTATTCTAATTCTTTAATATAAAAATATATTTATGGATAAAGATGATTTATTTAATGTATAGGAATCTTTGTAATCTCCTGAAGAAGAATTGAAAAAGTAAAATGATAAAAAGAAAATGAAAGTTGAAGTCTATATTAGTGAAGGTGTTTATGAATAATTAAGAGGTTACTAAAAATTAAAGTAATAATCAATTCAAGATAATTTCATAATTCCAACACCATTAAAATAAGCAAATGTCAATAGATATATTGAATTAATTTAGAAATCTATTGATAATGGTCATAAACTTTAAAATACCAAATTAAATAAAGAATCAATTGATAATTTAATCTAATAATTTAGAGAATCAGAAAAATAAAAACATATCTAAACAGATTCTCAATCTTTAATTAAACCTTAAGATGATAATTAACAACATAGTACCAAATAGATGATATACAGATCTATGAAAACATATTAACCAAAATTGGAATCTCAATTATAATCAGATATTTTTATAAGGGAAGGCTTTTATAATAGAATTATTTAAAATAGAATTACTTAAATTTTCAATTTCTGAATGATTTATATATCAATACCCTTTATTATTTTATCTTAAATAATCAAATTCTTTTAATTTATTTATTTTATTCTATCTTTAATTTGTGTCCTCTATTTTTTATTGATTAGATTCTACTGTTTGAATAGGTACTTAAAATCTAGAACTCTTTCTATTTGTATATAAAGTCAATAATTTATTAATTAAAATTCCAAAATTATTCATACATGCCTTACAAAGTTATTCTGATGAACATTCAATATGAAATGTGTGTTTGCAATCTATATAAACTTTAGATGTCATTTCTATAAGCTTTTAACAATAGGTGCAATATATATCAACTGATATACCTTATTATGATTATTTAAATAAAGAACTTAAGTATTTATTACATGTTTGCTTTATAAGCATTGTAGATTAACCATAAATAGCTAATTCATATAGTTAACCTGATAAAAGTTAAGAAAATGTGGACTTAAGTTCTTAAAACTCAAAATATTTCATAGTCTCATTTAAATTCTATAATAAATAAATTTATTACACATTACTTCAAGCAAACTTTTTATTTTTGTTTTTTCTAATACTTCTTCTAATAATCTTGTAAAATGTAAGTTAAAACATCTTAAAGCAGGAAAGAATCTTATCTTATAAAATTCTTATCTTAATTTTGTCAATCTAATTAAAACCTAAAACCAATTATTCTATTTTATATTATTAATTAATCTACATCACTTTCATCATCATTTCTTTTAGTATTTGCTCTGCAAATATTCAATGTAGGCTCTAAACTCTCTTAAATATAAGCATACATATCTTTCTATCCTTCTAATAATTATGGATTCTTTTATAATTATTACTTTAATCCTTAAATAAATAACTAAATTATTAAAAATTAAAAATTACATCAAATTATAAATTAATTGCTTCTAATACTGATCCACTTCTCTCTAATAAATATGCTAGACCTTTCAAATTACCATAGAATCTACATAATTTTAGACATTCATCTTAAGGATAACCTCCTTTCTAAAGTTCTGTTATAACTTGATCAGGATGCAATTAACATATTAATTCAAAATATTCAATCATTAACTTATCATCTTTTTGTAAACTTTATAATATTTTAAATCTCACTATTGGTATTTGCTTATCTAAAATATTCCTTAATTATTCTTGATTAAAATAATCAAGTAAATACTCTGTCTTAACTGGATTAATTAGAGATAGCTCTTTTAATTTTTACGAAAGTATATCAATAAATTAATTATCTTTTTATTGTAAATCTATATAATTGAAAACCAATTGCCTTGCTTATCCTCTTAATTATGTAAATTTATGAATTATTTTACTTTATTGATTATTTGTTAAATATTATTCCAAATCCTCTAAGTCTTCCTTATCATTACAATATTATTCTAATAACATCTTTAAAGTAGCCAAATCTGGTGTCTTAAAATTGATTTCCTCTTCAAAATTAAAGGTGCTATCTGAATATGACAAATATTATCGTTCATATAATGTTTTAAATGAACTATTAAATGGATTTTATTTTTGTTATGGTGTAAATTGTATTTATTATTATTTATCTTATAAGGCTTCTTAAATCAATTCTTCAATATATAATTTATGATCATAAGTTTAAAGTGCTGATTCTAATAACAGATCTTCTTCAGTGATCCCCAATAATTCCAATATTTCATCTTCTATATTTTTCTACTTCTTTTCTTCAATTGGCTATTTTATTTGATCAAAATTAAATTAGAAGGTAGCAAAATTTGTTACATTGGGTTAGATTAAATCATCTATTGTGCAATCAACCTTAACTCCTTGAGGTACCCAATATATGTCATCTGATATCATAATATTAATATTATTAATTCTAGATTATATATAAATATATATAATACTATTATATTTTCATATACTTATATTCATAGATATATTAATGAATTTCAACATATTGTATAATACAAATACTATTTATATATTAATCATTTTAACTAAAAATAAAACAATATTAAAATTAAATGGAATTAGTTCATAAAATGCTACATATTTTCATATATTGAATCCTAATATATTTTTAGTTTAACTGTAATTTATATAGTAGATTTAAATGAAAAAAATCTCAATATTATTTATAATTTCCAATATCTTAAACTTATGAATTTCTATGCTCTTGACTTTGAAGATCAAAATGATTAGGGTATTGATTAATTTAAAATAAAGCTTTGGAGGAATAGGTATAGATTTAAGTGAATGAAGAATAAGACTATGGGTTTGATTAATGTTCTAACATAGATATTGATAAAAATAATACATTTGATGGTTATTTGCAAGAAGAACCAGTTTTATTGTTTAATTATGAAGAAGAAGCTCCAAAAAAGAAATAAAAATCAATTGTTAGAAAATCTAAAAAAATTAAAAAATCAGACACAGAAACAGATGTTTAATCATAAAAAAGAATGCCTAAAATCAAAATGTCTAATGATATTGCAAAATTATAATAATGTCAAATGTTAAAGACCATAATCTCTTAAATGGAGACAATTCTTAAAAAAACTCGAACTTAAATTCTTAGTGAGATTATGAAAAAATAGCAGATGGAATAATGAATAAAAGAAATTTGAATTACATAAATAGAGTTATTATACCATAATTAAATTATAACATTGATTATTCTCTTGAAATAAATTACAAAATTCTTTAATCCATATATGAAAACAATAATATCTAGAAATTTCTATTATTTAAAGATTCTATGACAAATATAATTTAGAAATGGATTATAATTTTTATAATTCTAACAATATTGAGGAAACTTGAAAAAGAAAATATAAAATAATTAAAGTCTGTTTTTTAATTTTGGAGGTCACTAACATGAGCAAACAGCAAATCTCAATTTTGCAATTATATATAATCAAAATTTTTTTGTTTTTCAAGAAGGATTTTCATTATTATTATCTCATATTAATTCCTGATGATAAGGATCTATTATTCACTGATACCTATTTGTCTCTTTAACCATCTTGTGTTATAACTTATAATTTCTTCTTTTTTTCAAATTCTTAGATAAATTATTGTCTTTTTTCTTCTGCTTCCTTTCTTATAATTTCAGCTTATTTTGCTAAATTCTCTCTTTCTCTTCTTACCATTTCAGTTCTTTCATCATCTTTTGATAGTTTAATTTCAAGCTTTGTTCTTCTTAATTCACTTAATTATTCCATTCTAGATAAATTATCATATTTATCAATATCTTTTATTATTTATAAAGTTATTCTAAATTATAAATAAATATAATACTTTTATTTTTAATCTTCTTCTTTCTTTTATTCAAGCAATTATAATTTTTATTATGTTCTATCTAATTTCTTTTATAATTCTTATTTTTATTATTCTTACATTATTTCATTTTTTTATAAAATCATTTATATTTTTTATTCTTTATCTCTATATTTTTTCATTTTTTCTTCCATCTATTATCTTTATTATTCATTCATAACTTCTTTTTTCTTTTAATATTCCTATTATTTATGTTCATATTATTATCTTTTCTCTTCTTCTTTTTATTAATTAGTTTACTAATGAATAATATAATAAAGATATATTACCATAATTTTATTAATTTATTTTTATTTCTCTTCTGCTTATTTCGCTTTATCTTGTTTGACTTTCTCAAGATATTCTTCAAATTCTCTCCTCTTCTATTCTACATGTTATTCTTTCACACTATAATCATATCTTTTCTTCTCAAGTAAATTCTCATTATATTATTTTACCATTAATAATTTTTTTTCTAATTCAGCTCTTTCTTTTTCAGCTTAAGTCTTTCTATCAATAGTTCTATTTTCCATCATTTATATTCTTTTCTTCTCTTTTTATTCTAATAATTGTTTTTTAATTTCTAATTATCTTTATTATTCATTTTAAAATTATTCATTTTCCCTTTACATTTATTCTTATTTTTTCTTTCTTTCTAATTCTTTCTATTCTGCTTCTTATTTTTACTTCATCATATTTTCATGTTCCTTTTAACGTCGTTTTTATTCTTTTAATTCATTTTCTTTTGTTTTTTATTCTAAAAATTCTTTTTCCTTTTACTCCTTCTTTTTTCTCTCCATTTCCTATTTTTATCGTAACTGTTCATTTTGCTATCGTTTCCTTTATAATTCCTCTTGATATTATTTTTCCTTCTCTTGCTATTTCAACATTTTCTAAAGTGCTATTTAACTCTTCCTTTCATTAAGTTACTCCTATTCAACCATTTTTTCGATTTCCATTTACTATCTCCTTTTTATATTCTCTAGCATTTTTTATTGTTTATCAGCAAAGCTCATAGTAGATAGGTTTAAATTAGAGATATGATTTGAATTTCTACTAACATTGTTGTCTTCCTAAAGTACTTTTTATCTTTAAGATCTGACAATATTGATTCTTCTCTTTCTCTTTTCTTCCAGATGTTTCTCAATCTCAGTCACCATGTCATCTGTAATTTATACACCTACTGTATCACGTTGCTTGATTAATTGTATAACTTATTCTCTTGTCTTCTTAAATAATTCATTAGGATGAATGCCTTCCCTTCGACAAGCCTCCTGCAACCTTGGAGTAAGAGTTGCCTAGGTTATATTATAGAAATCTCTATGAAATAGAAACGATATAAATACTATTCATAATCACTTGACATTAATCTTTTTAATTATATTCTATAGTCATTCTTGCATTTTAGTAATTGAAGTCTTAAAAGCTTTATATATATTAAACAAGGAGATTAGTTTAAAGTTCATAATTTAAAAAAAAATACCTTACTTTTAAAACAAGATTCTTTAGTACTTAGATAAGTATATTTTAAATAATTCAATCATTTAGTAAGTATAATAAAGATTTATTTATCATTAAAAGTTTTATATTAATTAAGTAAAAGAATTAGAAAACATTATTGTGTAACTGCTCTTTCATTATTCAATAAAGAATTTTTATAATAATAAATATATTTTTATTAAATATCTTTAAATAAAGACACATATTATTATTAATATTAGATATATAAAAAATTATTTTTTGTTTATTATCTAAGACTTAAATTAAATCATTATTATTCTATTTATTCCTTAGTTTATAGAGCTTCTATTTCTTCATTTCTTGAATTGAATTCAACAGTGCTTTACATATCATAAACTTATTATTATTAATATTCTTCATATTTTGTAAAACTTTATAAAAGATCTTCTAATGATGATCTTACATTAGTTATTTTTTCTATCATTTCATTTGTAAATTCTTATTCTTTTTAAAGAAAATGGAGATGATTTTATTGTTAAACATATTCTGGTGAATTTTGTTTTTCTTCTAAAGTTTACTCTAATTCTTTAATATTTTATTCAAGTTTATCATTTTCAGAACTTGCATTGTCCCAATTATTAAACTATTATAAACTAATAAAAATTACTTTTTCTAATAATGATACCAAAAATTTAACTTCTACTGTTTATTTTTATCTTTAAACTTGTGAATCAAGTAATTGTTTAAGCATTTATCGACTATCTTTATTTAATTCTTATCTATTATATATTGCAAATTTGGCTAAGAAAGAAGACAACTTAAATTTAAGTTTATCATTTCCTTATTATTGTAATCCTTTTTCCTTTTGATTATTTAATAAGATACTTTAATCCAATTTGCAGGAGCTTCAATCTCTGTTTTAGATTCTCCCTTTGACAAAACATTTTCAATAAATTCTTCTAACGAAAAAGTCTTTGCACCATAAAAAAGACGATAACAAGTCTTTAATATATCTTTCAAATCACCATCTGGAAGATCCTTCTTGATTGTTTTAAGCCAATCTTCAATTTTACTATGTTTCATTTCACATATCAGAGTTATCAACTCCTCTTTTTCTTTTTATAATACATCTCTTGAATGTTTATCCTTTTCATCTTAAGCAGAATTTATGGCATTTACATATGCTTCAATCTCTTACTAGATTACTATAAATATATTGAATACTTCTTAAACTTCTTAATAATATTCAATAGTAGAAATTTACTCTTAGAGTGAATCCAAGATTTCATAATGAGAATTATATTATTCATCAAGCTCTTTTAATCTCTCCTCTAAATTTAATTTATAGCTATCCAATCCACTTTTTGTATCATTTAAATAGTTGTTAATTTTGTTTGCTTGTTCCTTTAAGAACTCATACCAGACTTTACACTATTTATCATATATTGAGATTTCCTTTCTTCTATTGTCTTCTTCAAAATTCATGTCAGATGATCAATTAAATAAAAAATATTTTTAAACTCAATTAATCGTTACTTTTACATTGCTCTTGTAAATTAAGATATAAGGTTTAATATTGTCACCTGTCATATTGTACAATTATCCTTCATATCTTGTTTTACTTTCACTATCTGTTAATATAAGCTTACTAATAGATAATATGTTAAATTTTATACTTTTCATCTAAATTAATTTTGAATGCTAAAACCAATCCTTTCTTCATATTCTTATGAAATAAAGATTAGATTGGTTCTATTTTTTCACCTAATTATTATTTCATATGAAATGATCCAATAGCTGCTCCTCTTATAATATCAACAGCACAACATTACTATGTTTAATACATTATTGAATAAGTGGCCATTTAATCTTTAACCAAATCTTCCACCACTCCAATATAAACTCTATGTAAGTGTTAATATTCTTATTGTGCAAATATTCCAGAATTACTGATATGTCCACCAATAGTATGTTAAGAGTAAGGATTATATAATTAAGATTAATTATTAACAATTGAAGCCAAACCTTCCTATTATTCTTCTTATTTAGACTATTCACTTTATATATATTCTATAGCAATTTGAAATTCATAAATTCCTTTTGTGAGTGTACATGATCCATAAATCAATTATACTTCATCTTAATCATTAAATATAAATTATTTCCCTTTAATTGTCTCTTATATATTGGCATCTTCTTCTTGTGAAAGCTAAGATTTATAGAAAAAGATAGCTAAAATATATATGGATAATTTATTTACAATCATCTTTTCTCATAAAATTCTTGATAGACTCCAATGAATTGCAGACTTCTGTAACTATCATATCTTTAAATTCTTAAGGTAATCCATTCTATTTTGATCCCTATATTAATTAATTCTAACAAACATTTTATAAGTTTTATCTATCTTTAATAATTTGAGATATAAAATCATTTATCTAATAAGGATAATAATCATACTTATTCTTCTGTTGATTGGCCAGTTTTAAATTTAACTAATTATTCCTTTAATTTCTCAAATTCATAAGAATTATAATAAGAATTTAATATTTCTTTATTATGTTTCATTTGTATTGTTTTTTATTTGGATTCTTGCTCTAATAGATTCAATTTAATTTGTTTCAAATAGCCTAAAGGGTATATAATTATTTAAACAACCTTTTAAAGATTATTACAATTAGTTTGTGATTTTATTGAGTTTTTCTTTATGAATTAATTCATCCTCTGAAAATTTGATAATTTATTATTCATTTTGAGTATTAGCTAATAATTCTACACAATTTTATTTCTTTTAGATTTCAGATATCAACACACAACTTTTGATATGCGATTTGTGTAAGGAGAGTAAACACTTCTAACAACCTAAACGATCTTCTGAACATGAATTGTATAAACACAAAATAGTAATTCTTTGTCCAGGATGATAATCACATATATTATTGTTCATTTAGTTTAATATATTAATTTTTCAATCTTTTATGCTTTCAACACAAGTATTTAACTCTTTTGCTCAAAGACAAAGTAATGGAATAATCAAATTATTGGCTTATGGTGTCTTCTTTGGTGGAGCCTATGGTTGTGCATGGCATTAATGGAGAGGTGCTCAACAAAAATAACTATATGAAAAGGTTGAAAATGAAATCACTGAATGGAAGCCTATTACAATTAATGGATTAAATGCCAATAGATATCCATGGGCTCGTAATATTAGAAATTGGGAATATAAATTAGTCAAATTATATGGATATTTTAGAGTATTTAATTGATATAAATATTATAGGATGAAAGATTTTTTGTTAGAAGAGAAAGAGAAGGCAGAGATGGGTTTCTTGTTTTTGCTCCATTCGTAACAGCCTTATAATTTAATGATACTGAATAGGATCCAGAACAAACAACTAAATCTTAAGTGATGGTTAATTTAGGTTGGGTACCTAAAGATAATATTAGTGATATCTAAATGGGATAAGAACCTATTGGTACTACTGTATTTATATCTTAAAAATTATTAGACTTATGAAAATGTACCTCACAATGAAGATGATGATTAATTAACTGGGTTCAATAGAAATATTGCAAACATGGAAGAGGATTACTAAATGCCCTTTGTTGAATTTGTTGGTATGGTCAGAAGGGGAGAAGAGGAAGATATTTTAAAAGGACGTAGAAATTGGCCAAGAGAAGGTGTTTACAATTACATAGATTTATGGTTCATGTCTAAATTATACAGATCTTTCAATTTGGTATTAGAATTTATTAATTTTTAGACTGATAGCTCTTCTGCTTATATTGAAAGATTAGTGTAAGAATATGATGAAGAATCTGCAAATTTATATCCTATTCCAGCTACTAAAGACAACTTCGATAAGCCTTTACCAACACCTTAAACTCATTAAGCTTATTCATTATTTTTTGGACTATCATCTATAATGTCTCTAGCCCTTTTAGCCATTAGAAGATGAATACCAACATTACAAATATTACCAAATTCCAAAATATAAGCAGTTATTATTTTAAATTTTAATTAATCTAACTACTATTTCATGCCACACTATCCAGAAGATATTGAATATTCTGACAAATATCAAGATGATTACTACGAATATAGACATGTCATCTTACCTAAGCATATTTTCAAAAAGATCACTAAAGGTAAAATAAAAAATGTATTTATCTAGGAAAACTTTTGAGTGAAATGGAATGGAGAAATCTAGGTGTATAGTAATCTAGAGGTTGGGTTCATTATGAATGTCATAGACCTGAACCACACATTTTACTATTCAGAAGACCTAAAGGAACAGATCCTAATAGTGGATTGCCTCCTTAAGGGTTCTCAGCCCCTTATTGATTTAGTTTTATTCATTTCGCACAATTATTATAATACTTATTTCAAATAAAATCAAGAAGTACTCTTAGCTTTGCAAACTACTCATTATAATGGTTATCTGGAATAGTAAACTTAATTTCCATTACATCAGTACTATCTTTCATGTATATTAAGATTGACCAAATGTTGTTCTTTAATTCATTCACTAAGATTTAAGCATTTTTAGGTTTCTTGAAAGCTATTTCACTAAAATTATTAAATCAAATATAAACATAAATTCTAATTAATTTCTCAATTTGATTGGTATCATTTTTGCATCATTCCAAAACTATTCTAATATACCTGCTACTTTTTTCCTTGATTGCTATACTTTTACATCATAAATTTCAAAATGCAAAATATTAACATCATCATCATCCATCACACCTTTTATATTATCAATCTTATCTATAAGAATTTTTGAATTAGTCAATTTAAATCCAGATTCTTTGTGAAGTATAAACTCCACATCTTCTACTTGTATTTATACTGATTAAGAACAAAATATTATTGAGTATATTATTATTAAAATCTAATAATTTAGCATAATTAATAAAAAAATAATCAATTCAATTGAGTATTTATTAATGATTACAAACTTCCTCTTTTTAGCTTATTTGAAGGAGATAGACTATGAAATGTTTTAAATGTTGATTGTTAAACTTCATTTGAATAAAAGCAATCTAAATAAGGATTTGGATCTTGTTAATTCAATTGATATATAAAATCATTCAAATCTTCATATATCAAAAAACTTATTTTTGTTTATGGAGTTGAATTTCGAAAAGACAAAGAGTCTCCCATATTTTATAATGAAGTATCTTTAAAATTGATTTGATTATTTGGTCCTAGTTGACTAATCAAATATTAAGCTAACGGCAAACCTAAAGTACTAAATGGCTCTGTACTTCCTTTTAAAAATATTCCTTTATTTTATTATTATAATGCCGAATCAGGATCTTATATAGAGATTTGACTTTTTGTAACTTTTTGAGCTTTTAAGTTTAAATCGTGGATCTAATCACTTAAATTTTAAATGTTCTCATAATAGTGATTGACACCCCAATTTCTTTTCTTATGATCAGTATAAGAAGAGGCCTTTGATAATGCATCTTATATCTATGGAGAAATTTTGAAGATTTAATGTTTCATAGTAATTTTCAAGCATCCAGGTTTACTTATGACTCTTTTGAATTTGATTTAAATAGGATATCCTGATGGATGACATTCATATAATTATTTTTCATCATTAGTTATAATAGCCACCATAATCTTGATAAATTCACAAATACTCAAAATAATTGATATAATTTTAGATCTATCTGTTTTCAAGATTATGTTTAATTTTAATTAATTATTAGTAAATTTTAGATCTTCTTTCAATTAATTAACTAAATCAATTAATTTAAATTCATTTATTTTATATTTTAATTTATTGTATGTAATCTAAGTGATATTATGTATATTTAAATTTTAATTAAATAGTATATAACTATTGCAAATTTAATTTGTTAAGTGAAACATTTAATCAGCATTTGATTATAATTTAATATATTTGAGAATACTTATTTAATCCTTAATATAATTAAGACATTGTTTACTATGATTCACTAATTATTAATCTCTCCACTTAATTTAATGATTATAATAGTCATACTAATTTCCACTTTATTCTATAAATAAAAGTAAAATGGTTGGTTCTATTTAATTGAAGTATATTTTTGTTATTTAGAATTACCATTTTTTTTAATTGTTTATAAAATAACCTTCAAATTTTTTAATTTGATTTGATTGTTATTTAACTAGTAATTCTTCCATTAATGATTCTTCAAAATTAAATTGTTTCTTAGTGTGTCCTTCTAAAGGTATGATATTTGAATCTCTTAAAAACTCTCTAAATTTTTGATCAGACACAAAATTAAAGGTCTCTCTCATTATTCTATTAATCTTGTCAATCTTCAATTAACCCTATTACTTATCATATTTAATCAATACTACCCATGTTGGTAATTGTTCTTCAATTAAATTTTCATATTATAATTAAGATCTATATGCCAAATAATGTTATCTTCTTTTCATTTCAACCTAATAACGAAAGAAAACAATGAATAATCTAAATAAACCATGAACTATTTATGGAGCTACATCCCATTAAGATATTGACACCTCAACTCCATAACTAAGAAAAAAAATCAAAGTTTGGCATCTAAATCGATTCCCTTATAGATACAAAACTTCTCTATAATATTAGATTGTATACTGTATTTCAATATCCCCATTTCTGTGGAAGTATCTTGAGTTTGATTTTAAATCATATAAATATCAATTGTAATGGCATATATGATAAGATTCAAACTTTGAATTTATTCCCTTTGCAAAGGATATTTCTGATAGAAAAAAAGTATTGTTAATTCAATACATAGACAAATTGAAGTTGTTATGATATAAATGACATCGTTATTGTAATTGATTAGATTGATTAAAAGATAAATTGTTATTGTGACAAGAGTGGTCTCATAGATGAATTAATTCTGTTCAATAACCCATTTTTTAAAGGAGTATTCAAGGTCAGAGGAGATAAAGCTTAAAGATAATTTCTTGATCATTTTAAAAATATATTTATTATATTTGAAGCGTTTAAAGATTAGTAAAACATCATATATAAACTCTACTTCATTCAATTGACATCAATACTAAATATATATAAACACAAATATTAAGTTATTTCATTTCAATTTATATAATACAAATTTATATACCTTATTATTTTACATTCAATATATTCTTCACAAAATTTAATTATTAGTTCTGTTCTTTCATAGATAACTTCTTCTATTTTTAAATTCTTTTCATAATCAATTAAATGAATCATTATACATCAATTAATAATATTTCATAATTTTTAATCATAAAGTTAAATTTATCAGATACCTATTATAATTTTGTATTAAATATAAGAATTCTAAAATATAACTTAAGATTTTGATACATTTGTGGTAACGATACAATTAATAAGGATTTGTTAAATAAATTTAAATATAATAATAAAATGAATAGAAATATACCAATAGGAAATAAAATCTGTGCCACTAAAGAAATTTTTTAAAATTAAGTAGTATTGAATTAACATCTCTTAACCATGAGACCATAAATTAACATAAGTGCACCTAAATAATATCAGTTTCTAAAAAATAAAAAAATTAAAGAAGCTATCAAACAGTAAAAGTAACAAGAAATTGATAGGCAAAATTAAAATCTCATATCCAAAATAACTAATATTATGTAACAAACATCAAGTAATATTTTATATTAAATTTGCAGATAACTCTATCTCTACTCTTACAATTAAAAAATCAAGTTCTTTGAATTTCGTTCCCAAAAAGTCTCTAAATAAAGATAATAGGAAAAAGGAATTAATTAAAATTGTTATGGAAAATTAATAACTATTGAAAAGAATACAAGATTAAAAGTCTTAATATAACGTTAAGGATTGGAATGAAGAAAGAAAATGGGTTGAAAAACATATTGCCAACATCTCAGAGTATCCATATAAGGATTTCAAGCCAACTAAAACCCTAGTTCAATACTGGACTAACTCAAGAATTAGTGAATCACAAATACAGAGTATATTGTTTTAATATTATATCTTAGAAAGAGAAAATTAAATCAATAAGAAATTGGATCCTCTCATTTATAGTAAAAGTCAATAAACAAAGTAAAAAATATTATATATATTCATTTAGATAAAGAACTGGATAAGACTATAATACAGAGTCTAACCAATTAATATTTCATTAAGATTTTTAGTAAAGGTAAATAATTAAATAATATTTTTTATAGAAGTTTATTTGAAACTGATTTTTAACCATATGAACCATATTAGGATAAAGTTGACAAAATTGTTAATGAAATAATTGAAAAACCTAAGTATTCTGAAGATAAAATTGAAATTAATTAATTAACATCTCCCCATAAATAAGAAGAATAAATCTAATAGGAAAATATTGAATCTAATTAAGTATAGCATGAAGATAATGAAATTAATTAATAAGAACAATAAAATTAAGAATAAATTAAATAGGATGAAATTCCAAATATATTATAAAATTCTCATGATGAAACACATCAACAAGAAAATTAAGCTCTAAATTAAATAAACTAAAATAATCAAGAGATTTAAACAACAAATTTTGACAAATAGAATGATGAATTACAGGATATTTAAAATGGAGAAGATATTTAAGAATGAATAAATATAGAAATGTTTTTATACTCATTATATATACTCCATTTTATTTAACTCCATATTTTAATATAAATATACTTAAAGGATACTTATATTTAAACTTAATTACTCCTTATATTTAAAGTTATATTTTTATAATTAATTAATATTGTTCTGAAATTATTTAATATCATAAATTTTAAAGTAGATAAATATTTATTAAAATATATTATATATTTAAATAGAAATCGAGAAACATAAATTTAAATATCACATTTTTAATTCTAGTTTTTCAATTTAATTATACACATTAAGTAATTCATTTTCTAAATCACCAATTTAAATTATCAATAATTCTTTATATTTTTTTAGTTATTTTTTCATATTCTTAATTTCTAGAAAATTATTTCTAAAAATTTTCAATTATCTTTCATAATGTGAAAAATCATCAACTTCTATGACATAATCTTGAAAACTGTAAGTATTTTAAATTTAATGTCGTGAATATTTGACTCTGAACATTTATTATAAGATATATTTTTAACTTTAATTATGAATCCATATTTTATTACTAATTTATTATTTACGTTTTCTATAGCTTGCATTACTAAATTATTTCATTTTAATTATTATACTTTTTTCAATTTTCTTAATATTTTAATTCTAATAATTTTATTAAATGAATTATTATTATTATTGTGAAATAAATATTCTAGATTCATTTGATTGTGTTTTCAAAGTTGTTTATGTTTATTATTATTGAAACATCATCAATGGATGTATTTTACTAAAATTTAATGATTATTTCTCTATTAATTTATTTGCAAAAATTATCATTTAGACAACCTTTTTAAATTATTACATAAGTTTATCAATTTTATTTCTACGATTATGAATAAGCTATTCTAATACTTATTATGTTCGTGAATGCTATGTTTCATAAATTATAGATTTTAATGGTTTAATCATTCCTTTATATCTTGTTACATCAATATTACATGTTTCTTTTATTTTTTCAAGTTTTAATGTATTCATAATCTCTCTTTCCCTTTCAAATCTATTATAGATAATTTATGATTTCATTCTATGTTCTCTATTATGAGCAACTATTGCTAAATATTAACGTAGAGCTGGAAATGAACTCATTTATTAAAAGAAATAATCTCCATTTAAAATGATATATTCACATAATTCAATAGCAACAGCATAATTTTTTCTAGTGTGTTATTTTGAAAACTTGAGTTTTTTAAAATATTCTTACTCACCAAATACTGATCCTTCATCTATTTGTAACAATACTTTTCCAAATTGAGTTCTATATTATAATTTACCTCTAATTAGAAAATAAATTTCATTAACTACTTCATCTTTAATCCAAATTTTACAATTTTATTAAGTTTTCATTAACATCATCTTTGGCAAAATGGATACAGAAAAGTTAAGATTTAGTCTAAAAAAATGTATTTACATAATTTCTATATATGAGACATAAAGAGTAATTTCCTTTTGCCTAATAATTGGTAAATGTTAAAACCATTCTTATAAACTAAGAGACCATGCTTAATTTTATTTAATGTTTAATGCTAAATACAATTAAACTTTAGTTTGCACTTCTTTAATGACTTCAATCTTTTTGAAAAATAATTTCAAAGTATTTTACATTTCAACATAAACACATTCTGAATTTAATTTTTTCAACCATTCTGAAAGATTAAGCAATATTACACAATAAAATGATGCACCCAAAAACATCCATAATATAGCTACAATATATTAAGCATAATTTTTAGCTGCATCATTTCCATAACCTATAGTTGAAATAGTTTGTAAAGCCCAAAATAAACATTAGATATATTGTGAATTTTAATTGATTAGTCCTTTGTAATCTTGATCTACCAAGTATTGTTCATCATTGATATTTGATGCTAGATACCAAAGACAAGAAAATAAATGTAAACCATAAATGAATTTCACTATAATCTTCATAATGTTTAATTAATAAGAGTTAAATATATTAAAAATATTTTCCCAATTACTAATAACAAAAACTATTAATATTAAATAATTACTTTTTTTTTTAATGAAAAGTGGACACTTTAAAAATACGGTTGATTCGAAATACTCTTAAGAGTCTTGGAAATTTATGATATTAAACATGTAAACTAACTATTTTACAATTACTTACTGATAAATAGAATCAAAGGGAATAAGTGTTATAATGTCAGGAATCAACCAACCTTTCAAGTAATTTAAAAATATAAACCATTAATTTTGAACTAATACGTTTTATCTATTATAGTAACAAGATCTCATTATACAAAGTATGTCTGTAACTATATAAATTGATAGATACTCAATACAATAGATAATGTCGTTTATTAAGTCTAATTCATAAACTCCTGATGACCCTTTATCCATGAATGCTATTCTTAAAGGTAAATAAATTGCTGTTTAGAGATAGGTAATCAATAATATAATATCCCAAAATCTTCTAGATGGATCGCCCTAGTTAAATGCAAAGTTTACTGGAAAGATAAGAAAAGCAGATTTCTTCTTGAGTCCTTCATCATGTCTTTCTAAAATTACTCTTTCATGATGATGTAATAATCTCATTACATTATAAATCAATCTAAATTTCTTTGCTAACAATATTCTTAGATGTTCTCTCTTTTATTATTATTTCAATGCTTTATCCTTTTATCTTTATATTTACAATAAATCGCAAAACCTTTTAATTTCAACTAAATTGAATAAACTGATATCTTAATCTCTAGGACTATTGATTGACTCAATCATAGATTCATGATTAACATTTCTCATTGATTTACATTTTCTTAAAGATCTGAGCTAGTTCTGCATTAAATTTTAATAAAAATAAATAGTAATTTTTAGATTAAAATATGTTTAAAACTCTTATGATATAATCATAATTTTCTTCAATAGAAAGATAATCATTTTACAGTGGTTTATTTTGTAATTTCAGGGACATAAGTTCTTTTTACTATTTAATTTTGAACCGTTTTACATTTCATAAGATATTGACTAGCTTCATCATGTTTACTTTTAGATGGAATCATTCTTATTGTATTAATAATTTAGCATTTTATATTTTAATGCTCTTCTGGATCTACTAATTATAATTATTAATAAATAATACCTTGATCTTATAAAAATTATTAATTATTAAAATTTACAATTCTACCATCATTAACATGAGGAGAATTTATCAAAGAATCGCTTATCTCCACAATAGTTGGCAAGAAAATTGGATTTAACTATTAATGAATTTGCTAATGTTTGATATTCTGCTATATAGTAACAAACCATTGATGTTTTATGGCTTTATTTAAAGTGATATTTGGTTATACTAATTATCTTATTAGATCTAATTAACTAACTCTAAACAAAAATGGATATTAATTTTATTTATAATTCTGATCAGCCATTTAATTATGAATTCTATTGATTAGATCCAAATCAACATGTTTATTAATTATGTTAGTCATAGTATAAAATGTAATTTAATATATTAATATTCCCAAATTATAAAGATCATTTTCAATTGTATAATTGCTATTTTCTATATATCTAGGATAAAGTATAACTATTTCTAAAGTTTCATTCTCAATATTAATAAAAACAGATTAAAGATTGATATTTCCATGATAAATGTTTCTTTTTTAATACTTCTATAAATTTTGTAAGATCATATATATAATTGATACGAAAGGAATCTCTCTAAAATCAAATCCATTCAATAATAAATTCTCTAATGATTGAAGTTTCATCTTTTCACCAAGAATATAATACTTATAATTGTCCTCATATAGTTTTGGGGACCAAGGATTAGTTTTTAAAGTTTGCATTATAGTAATTGAATTGTGAAATATTTAGAATTCTTTGGGATCCTTTAATAATTTTTTTTCATAAACTTAAGTGCAATGTTCCTCACTATTATTCTAATATACTAATTAATCATACTTTGATAGCTTAAGATATGGGTAGACAATTTCTTTGTAATAATTAGTACTTTCCAAAAAAGTTCTTGTTTATACAAAATCTTTTCAGTTAAACTTAAATTCTCTTCATTTGTTATTCATTATTTGCTATAATAAATTCCTTTCCATAATTATTTAGTAAGATGATCACATAAAGTCCATCGCAATTCTTTGTCTTTGTTAATTTAATTTCATGATAACATCTGCTTAATTCAAAATATAAACTCTTTATGACAATAACATTATCATATATATAAATTTCCTCCAACTCAAATTCTTTACTCTTATGTTAATAGATAGACACTTTTTCCTTAATTATTTCTTACTAACATAATTTTTCAATTAGTGTTTCCTACTTTGATCTAAATAAACTGTTTGTTTCGTGCATTTTTAGTTCATCAATCAGCTATTAATAGTGATATTAAATTTACATATTAAAATTATTGAGAATTTCCTATTAACTTTATGGAAATACCTATTTCATTATCAATTTATATAAAATCTAAAAAAAAACAAGCTAACCATTATTAGAAATACCAAAAAAATATGATAGTATGATTAAATGTTTTAATTTTTAATATCGATCTTAATAAATTATTTTTAATTCATTGTCAAATTTTTTAATTTATTTAATTCAACCTTCCAATACTCTAACATTCTTAGATAAAATATCAGATCTTAAGTATTACATTTTATGAAAATACTTATATTGATATAGGAGTATAAATTAAACAGTCAAAATTAGAAAATTCAATTTATAATATCTCAAACTTCTCTTATAATTGTTATCATTATCTTAAAAATTATAATGATTAATCTATTTTATTTTAATACATCGCTCTATTTAGATTATTGTTTTCTAAATTATTTCCAAAAAGTATTACTCATTTAATATATATTTTAATTAGATTATACTAAACAATCAAATTAAATTATATATAAAGATTTATTAAGAGTAGTTCAATTTTATTTATTGATTATTCTATAATCTCTTTTTTTATAAGATAGAATATATACATATTCTAATAGCAAAAGAATTAAAAAATTAACAATAGAATTAGTATATCTATAAGAACTTAAAATAAATAAATTGAAATAAAACAATTAAACTTAATTTTAGGTTTAAAATAAAATTCTTAATAATAAAAATAGTGTTTAGAATTATAATTGTTTAATTAAAATATAAATTATTTACTAAATGATTAGTGGGTTTTAAACAGGAAAAAATTAAAAAATTTAGTTAGTTGAAAATGAAAAATGCAAAAAGATAATAATCTAATTTGAAGATCTATCAGAAGATGAAGAAGAAATAAAAAATTCAGAAAATTAACCAACAAAATAGGATTTGAATTTACTTAATTCACTTACTAAGGAAGCCATTAAAATTAACAATTAACTTTATCATCCTAGTAAATTTGCAGAACAAGAATTTAAATTTTTGAGTAAAACACCTAGAGATTCACTTTCAGAAAAGAAAATCTCATTTTAAACTGTAATTATGGGAGATGAAATATAAAAAGAAATTATTACACCAATTAAAAATAAAGAGTCAAATAATAATGAGATTTTTTAAATGAATGCCATATTACTTTCAAAAATTAGCAAATTACCGAAATGTTTAATTGGAGAAAGATTTTATGAATTATCAAAATAATTTATGAAAAATTCTATATTGAAATTAAGTTCATTTTGTAGATCACCAAAAATACCCTAAAATTTAGATTGGTAATTAATTAAGGAATATTTTAAGTAATATGATGTTGAAATTAATTGGCTTTTTCAATAAGCTAAATTAATATTTTGGAAATTATAGTCAAAAAATAACTATACAGATTAAAAGCTACTTTTAGAATTAGAATATCGTTATTTTATTTAATATAGATTATAAAGTAGAACAATAATTCAAGAAATATGGACAAATGATTAATCATTAAGTCAACATATGATATTATTAGTAGTAGCTATGGAATAATGTTAAGATAGAATGATTTTAGAATTATCAGATGGATGGTATTCATTATTTTATATTTTTGAATAAAGTTATGAATAGATATACAATAAGATCAAAATTGGGCAAAAATTGCATGTAACAAATTTAAAAGAATATCCTATAATATTTAATACTTCTAATGTATAGTTATAGTATCATCTAGGTTAAAATAATAACATAATATCCTTTTACTAAATTGTTGGTTACAACTAAAATTAATTCTATTAAAAAAGCTAAAATAAATTCAAAATTAGGAAGATAATAATAAAAATATTTTATAAGATCAATCAAAAGTTTGAGAAATGGAACCATCCCATGTATTGATGTCTTTATAGTGTCAAAATCTTACCTTATTAATGTAAATCAAAAAAATTAAAGAAAAGCTTTATTGTTCAATTCAGAAACTGAAAATGAAGAAGAAATGAAATAGCTTAGAAATTCTAATTTATGTTTTTGGATTACAGTTATGGATAGTTTAAATTACTTTAATGAAAGATAATGTTAAATAACAGAATTTAAAGATATTATTGTTTACATCAATGACCCATTATAATACGAAACTATATGTGTTGGATAAAGAGTTTAAATTATAAATGCAATCTAATTCAATAAAGAAATAAGTTTAAAATTAACTAAATCATCAGGATTTTAATATGAATTATAACAATATTAAGATTATTTCAATAAATTGTAATTAATAAATAATAAATATGAAATGGAGATTAAAGTAAATAATCACACTAAACTTGAATTATTAGATGTAATTGAAGGCATCAATGATTAAAATTAAAATATTAAAATAGAAATATAAAATAATTTTTTTGGTGATATTTTAAAACATCAATAAATGAAAATGTTGAAAATTACTTAATTAAATAAAATTAATAATGAGAGATTTCAAACTACATAAATGAGTAAATTGATAAATATTATTAATTATAATAAATGAATAAATAGTTATTGAAATACCATTCAATTTTTATGATTAATAATCTTATATTTTAATATATAATAGTCTAAAAAAGATTTATTATTAAATTATATATATAAGAAAATTTGGTAGTAAAAACAGAAATAAAAACAAGATTGGTAGACATAGTATGGTTATTGATAATGTAAATCTATATATACAAAAATATATTTTAAATACTAAGAGTCTTTTATCAAAAGGATGATAGATAAATCTTATTAGTAAAATAGGCATATTGAAAAATAATTAAAAAAATTAATGGTTTTATATATATAATTATCTAAAGTTTTCTCATAATATTAGTTATAAATAATTGATATAATAATTACAACAATATTATGATTTTTTAATAAATATATCATAGTGATGAGTATATTCCCATAAAGTATTATTTCATTTTTTTATTAAATCTAAGTTTGTATTCTGCTGGTTTGACAATTGTTGGTTATTCCATTCCTAAATTCATAGCAGTTTTCAATCTAAATTTATATGTAAAATATACTTAGTTTCCATTTTTTTCATAAAATCATAACATTATAAATAATCTATGATTGATATTTTTATCAAATGATTTTATTTATCTATTATTAATAATAATGAGTAATCAACGACAGCAACTTCAAGTAAAAACTAAGAATCAGATTCAAGTGCAATTTCTAAGAAGTTGAAATCTTATTCTTACACAGGCAAAGGTTCACCATTCCTATCTATAATATAATTAGTATCTAAAAGAGTTTTTAGATTTTTACGATTCCATCTTTTAGCATTACTACCTTTAAGATCATAAACAGTTAATTCACCATCCATACCCCAAAATAAATTTTCCATAGCAATGAAATATGTAGTTCCTCTAGAATTCTTAATTGTAAACATTCCATAAATTTTATTTAAAACTGAAGGTTTTTAATCATAAATGTTAGAATAAAGATGTTCAAAGTATTTTGGAGCAAAGGATTCAAACATACTAAATTCAGATTCTTTAACACCTTTGAAAATAAATAAATTATCAGATGATTTATAAAATGTTGAACCACTTTTACCACCTGCAGAATTCCAATTAGAACAACTTGCAATTGATTTAATAAACTGTTTGATATTAATTCCATTTAACATTCTAAAACATTCAAATTATTTTGGATAATATAACTAGATTATAATAGATTTGGATGGTTTTCTAGGAGACTCTGCTGTTGATTAAATAATAGTTTGTTCTTCCTCATCTATATCTTATAAATTATTTAAACTAGTTTTCTTTAGTAATGTAGTAATTTTACTTAATTTTATTTAAAATTCTTCTATTAATGCAAATCTTGATTATTCTTTTAATATTTTTGCAGCTTCAATTTCTAAATCTTTTTATAAAGATTAATCTTAAATCTTTTCCCAAAATTCAGTAAATCTATATTTATTTTCATATAAATCATAATATTTAGGATGATTTAAAGCAGCTGCAATTAATCCAATATCATTTTAATTATAAATTGGAATGTATTCAAAAAATGATTTTATTTAAAAATTACTTTAATCATAATTTATAGCTGATTTTGGCCATTGTTCAAAAAATGATTTGACATCATTATCTAATGGTTTTTCTAACCCTAATTCTGATTATTCATCTTATTAGTTTAAACTTTCTTAATAAGGAGATTCTGGTGATTGTGTATATTGTTATGGGGGTAATTATTAAATTGGAAAAAAGTTTTCATTATTATTATTTTAGATAATTGTTGTACCTTCTTTTAGAGTTTTTCTAAAAGGATTTTTAATAGAAGGTCCACTTTCGCTTGTTAAAAATGAGAATTAGGATGTTTTCTATTTAGAAATTGAGGATTCATTTTTTATTTTTGAAATCCTTAATTGATCATTAATTTCTAATTAATATAAACGTTAGTAGAGTTACATACTCTCTTATTCTAATGCAATGAAATCAGGAAAAGTTGATTATGTTAATCTTTCAATAAAATTCCCAATTAAAGTTAAAGAACCTTCTTGAATTTGACTAATTTAAGTAAGATCTCTATCAAAACTTAAATTTGAAAAGTTTTATGTTGATATTGTCATCATCTAACTATTCCTAGTACTTTTATCTTTATTTAAAATTAATTATTATAACTATTATAGATAGCAAATTAAAGTATCTTTTCTTTTATCTATTTCTTCTTTATCTTATTTTTCTATATGTTATTTTACTTCTTAACAATTAAATTAAAAATGTTTAATCCTATAAATATCAAATAAATTAGTAAATAATTTGATTTAAAAATCATTACATTCAAATACTCTTTCAGTTTAACTATGATTACAAACATCTAATTAATCTATTTATTCATTTAATTCTCCTTCAAATGTAAGCCAATTTGTCTTTTATGATTTTTTCAATCTTAATGCATTTTTTATGAGATATTGTATTAATTTAAAAAATGAGAATTCTAAATGATTCTTTTCTAATTTAAAAGATTTTGTTAATTATTTATCACAATTAGTATTAAGACACTTAATATAAGTGATAATATTTAAGTCCATCTATTATTATTATTATTATTATTATTATTATTATTATTATTATTATTATTATTATTAAATTTTGTGATCATCATCTACTATTATAGTATCACATTATGTAGATATCTCATCATTAACAGATTATAATTATAGAAAACTTGATTCTTTCTTAATTTCTTTATTTAAATTAATACTAGCTTTAACTTATAAATTTTATTATTTTTTCTTTTCTACAACACATCTAACAAATGCTCCTGGTCCATATCTTATTGAAACATGATTGATCATTTTTGTTTAACATTTTTCACATTTCACATTAGATTATATAGCTTTAGCACTAATATATTTCCCTAAACTAAAAACATCATTTTCATTTTCTTCATTAACAAAAAAATTAAAAACTTCTTTTTAAAATTAACAAAATTAACTAAAATATGGAATTTTCTTATAATTAATATTTTTTATGTTTTATTTAATATAGTTTTCTAAACTCTAGTCACTGATATTAATGATATAATATTTACTTATTTTTTTTTTGAATATCATGGATGGTGTTGATAACAGCTGGATGATATCTTACTTTGCAAAGCCTAATTCTTTCGTTTTCATAATCTGTCATAAATTAAACTGAAAAATCTGATACTTCTCCACAAGTAATCATTGGGGACTTTTAATTATCACTCTATTTATATTTCTATTCTAAATCTAATTTTAATTTATAATCTAATAAAATCATTTCAAATTCTAAAGACATCTAAAAGCATATACAACAAAGTTATTAAAAACATTTTTTTACATCAATCAATTCAGTTATTTTAGGTCCACTTAAAGTTATTTAAAATGAAGATGTTGATTAAGGTGTATGAATGAATAAAAAAGTTTTATCTTTGTTTTTCTTTTTTTCTAGATGTACTTCAAGTAAAGACTTATCTTTATCATCTAATCTACTATACAAACTAATATTTTATTTAATTGTCTCTGGATCACAATTTACATAAGATGCTGTATCTGCTTTGCCTATACAATCTTTATCACAACATTTATTAAAAACATCTGCAGCTTTCTATATTCTAGCATTTACTGCTAATTCAACTTTTTAAAGTTTTTTTTAACTACAATGGATAGAAACAGTGATATCCTTTTTTAAAAATTCATTTAATAATGTATTATTTATACCCTTTTCTATCAAAATGATATTTGGATTAAGAATATCTATTTATTCTAAAGCTTATTATATATATTTATGTTAATTTTTAACTAAATTATTGAAATTTTGTATATCCAAATCAAGAGATCCACTAAGTAACAAAAACTATGGGGATTTATGATGAGTTTTCATACGTTTATGTGCTATATTTTTTCTAATTGTTACACCTTTTAAATATCGAGTAGCTGCATAATTAATAAAAGGAATTATTTAGATTTTGATAAATATTATTTTATTTTTTATTTCTTATTCTTATTAAATTTAGACACATTTTAAGTATTCAATTGAATTACGTATAAATTCAGACATTATTCCTTACCAATTTTCTTTTATTCCATAAGCTAATGTTCTTCTTTCAACAAAATCTTCAATTGTGGAAATCATTCTCTCCTCTAATTTTTTTTACTTTTATTCCATGTCATCTCCTATTGTTATTGTATCAGGAATTTGAATTTTATAAATCTATGATATTTGCTATGATTCAATTTTAATTTGAGGTACTAATTATAAAGTGGGAGGAGGAGATGTCTTTATATATCTAAACACAATATATACTTATTTTGCAGATTCTGGTAATTTCTCATCCATAACATTAAATGATTTAGAATGTCTTCTCATTTATTATGAATTAAGAATACTAAGAGAATTCTTATCTTCAATTATTTCTCCATTTTCTCTTAACTTTTTATTGATCTCATTATAGCAATCCTAACACAGTCGCACCTTTATTATTCATCATAAAGAATCATACTTTGTTTTTTTTGATCTCCTAAAAGTTTTTAAAGTTAGTTTTATCCATAAAGAAATTTGAACAACTGAAGTTCTATATACAAATCAATACCTATCACAAAATAAATCTCCACAATTTCTACAATGATGTTTTCTTCGAAATATCGCTTTAAAAGGAGTTTAGCATTTCTTACAAGCTTTAGCATCTTTATCTTATACCCACTTTTTAGTCTACAATAACTATTAGTTCTTCATTCCTATCTCTATTTACAATAAATAATAAAATTTTTAATTGAGACAATGTAAATCTTTTAACTTTTTATTTCTAATCGATGTACTTATTCATAACATAATCATCAATATATTATTTCATTATATTAAAATTCTTACTTTAACATTATTTTACAAATATTATTTTTTATATGGATAATTCTTAAAATTTGCTATCTCTCTTAGAAAATATTAATCATGATGTTGGATATGAGAAGATTCGAAAATATGGCAGAACAAATGGATTTCATAATATGTATATTTGCTTCAATGCTACTACAATAGATATTTTAGATAATAAATCTGGTCCAAATTATTAGGAGTAGATTAACAATTACCATATTATGAAAGAGAAAAGTGTCTCTAACATGATTAGCTATTGAAAGATGTTAATCGATCATTAAATACTATATCACAAGTCAAAAACTTTAAAGAAATGTATACATAATTTATTAAAATCTAGTGATCAATTAAGAAAATGTTTAATGGAAGTTTTAGACACCATATTCAGCTAACATCCTAATTATTCTTATTATCAAGGTTATCATGATATAGCTTCAATTTTTATTCTTGTCTTAGGAGTTGAATAAGGTTACATTGCAGCCACTTATGCAGCCTAAAATTTCTTCAAAGACTATTTAGATTAAGAATTATCTACTACAATCACTCCATAATATTTATTTATTAGAAATCTATTGTTAAGATATTCAAGAGATACTTCAAATATTAAACTCAGATAATTGATGTTAAATATTGAACATCCCACTTGTGTCATTCCATGGATTCTAACATGGTTCTCTCATTCATTAGACAATATCAATGATATCTGTAGAATATGGGATTTCCTATTATGTTCTAAATAAAATACTATCTTATATCTTTGTGCTGCCTTTATTGCCATTCATCACTAAGTTTTAGATATGAGAAATGAAGATGATCTTATTGGAGAATTTTAAGAGTTTTTTTAAAATCTGAATAATAAAGAAAGAATCTAAGACCTTAAATTAGAATAAGTGTTGTAATTGACAAAAACTCTAGAAACTTAATATGGATTTGAACTTATTTGCGAATAAGAACATATTTAATTTTCTTAAAAGTTTTTTTATTAAACTTATTATTAGCTCTATTGTTTATTAGCATAATTTCAAATCTTAATTACCATATTACAATTCCTTAGCTTAATTAGAAAAATCAATACCTAAAAAAGTATTCAATTTCATCAACGACAAATAAGATATTATACTGAATTTAGGTGGAATTGCTTTAAGTTATCTTATACAATTTTATATAGTTAAAAATTGATATTATGTATTAATATTATTATATATCTGTTAATGATTAAACAATTAATATCATCAATTATTGAATATGTAAAATTATAAGAAAATATTTCTTATTATCTTTAAAACTTTGAGTGAGAGATTTATTATAAAATTATTGCTAATATTTTAAAAGAAATAATTAAAATAGAACTTAATGTATTTTGAAATTTATAATAAAATTTAATCTTAATCTTAAATATTGTAATTGATTAAATTATAATAAATCAATATAAATCATTTAAAAAAAGTTATATTTAATATTACTCATGTAAGTTATTAGAATAAAAGTCTTTTAAAAAAAATATAATGGAATAGAACAATTATCAATAGATTTTATGTTAAATTAAAAGCTAATTATATTTAGTTAAAATAAAAAAATGTTATCATCTATTTTATTTTAATAATAATAATATATAAATTAATGTAGTTTTGGATTGTATTTGTGATTCTCTCATACTCCAAATTTATTGTTCATTATATATTTAAATTATATCTAGCATTATAATGCCTAATATTTGTATAAAATTTATTTAATTTAGAGATGGAAATAAATAATTAAAAAGTGATTTCAGATTGCAATTGCTCAAAGGAATATAATTGTTTGTGTGGAAATAAAGATGTAAAAGTTTTATCTTAAATAACATACTGTATGTAATCAAAAGTGGATAAGATAGATTAATATTTAAACTTAATAATAAAGAAGAAGATATTAAGCAATAACTGAACAAGAAATCAATGTAAAAATATAAATGAATAAATATATCTAAATTTGTTGATAGAATTACTTGAAAAATACAATAATCATAAATACTTCAGAAAAATCAATAAAATTTGAGTAATTTAACAAATTTATAAGAAAATTATATAGCAAAATTAGATAAACTAAAAAAAGGAAATAAATAGAATATATTCTCATATTTTCTATTTTTTAATAGTTTTTCTAATTTTTAATGGCTATTTATTATTTTTAATTTACTAATTCTTAAAGTCTATAAGAATACAAGACATATTATCTAATCCCCAAATAGTTTCTTCTGTCATTGATGGGGCTAAAATTTAATTCATTAAAGATTTTAATTTTTCTTCAGCTAAATATATTATTAAATAAAAGTTTACATGATTCCTTATTATTTTTAAAAATCTTTTGAGTGAGATTTTCACCTTAGTCGTTTAAACCTTCCCAAATTCCATCACAAGCCATAAAAATCATTTAAATATTTTTAAAAACTCTAATTTCAGGAATAGCTATCACCATATCATCTTTATATTGATAATCACCAAATGCTCTAGAGAGTGAAAGAGACCCACAAACTCTTCCATCAGCTACAAAACCACCTGCTTAACAAATTCTTGATCTCTCTTTTGCATGATTAGGTTTATGATCGAAACTCATAATAATAGCTTTTCCTTTTTAAATACCAACAGATCTTGAGTCGCCTATATTTGCACAATATATTGAATCTTTAGTTATTAAAATTATATTGGCAGTGGTACCACTCTCATCAATAATTGAAGATCCAATTAATTCTACAATTTTCTTTGGTGCCTATTTAGCTAATTCACTTAAATCAAAAATCTATTTATTGAAATTCTTTTTTTAATTCTTTATATTGTTAATCACTATTGATATTATTTAATTATACAATCTTCAACAGGCATTTAATATCTTTCTTCTACCAAAGCATTAAGACCTTCTGATGTTATTAACCATTTATCAATATTAATAAATGATTCCATTAAACTTTCTTCATATTATTTATTTCTAAATTTGATATTTGATTCTAAAAAGCGCGGTAAATATTTGGAAACAACAGATGAAACTTCAAATCCTCCATGGCCATCTAATATTCCAAATAAATATTCTCCTGTAGATAGTTTTTCTTTTATTATTGCATCTTCCTTAATTAAAGATTAATATATTTAATTACCATTGTTTTTCTCCATCCTTACATTGAGGCACAAGTAAATGTAAAATTCTCACTGAATCCTTATTCAATAGTGAATTTAGTTTTTGGTTTTGTTAAATATATATCATCAATACACATTATTTTCAACTAAAATAAATGATTATATTAATATATCCTATTTTACTATTTTTATTCAAATGAAATGTTAACCAAATATATCATATTCATATTAACTATTTAATTAAGTTTATACTAATAAATTAGAACAATATATACATTTCCAATTATAATTTGTATTTAGTTATTGAATGGGACATAATAATTTATCATAGTCTAATTATGTATTATACTATAAAATTCAGATTATAAAAATATCATCAAAATATTATATTATATGTAGTCTAATCAAACACCGATTCCTGGTTCAGTAGAAATCATTAAAGGTAATAGTTTCAAATTAATTCAAAATTTTAGATAAGCTGTATTGGATTTCAGATAGATAAGCTCCTCGTAACCAACCAAATGCTTTTTATTTTTGTATTGATTAGGTACACAGTATAATACTAATATCTTAAGGATCTTGTATATGAACCTTTTTTTGCAGATTTTGGTCCTCTTAATTTGGGTCACACTTATAGATTTGTAACAGAATTGGAAAAATTGCTGAGTGATAAAACATATCAACAATATGCTATTTATCATTATACAAGTTTGGATAGTGCCAAAAGAGCAAATGCTGCTTATTTGATGGGGGCATTTCAAGTCATAATTCTTAAATACAGTGCTGATGAAGCATGGAAACCATTTTTAAATGTTAAGCCTGCATTCTAAGATTTCAGAGATGCCAGTTATGGATAATGCACTTATAAATGCACTGTAGATTTTCATATATTATTAAAGATTCTTCATTGTTTAAGAGGACTTGAATATGCTATAAAATTGAAATGGTTTGATGTTAGAAAGTTCAATCTTAGAGATTATGAATTTTATGAAAGAGTAGATAATGGAGATCTAAATTGGATTATTCCAAATAAATTCATTGCTTTTTCTGGGCCTTCTGCAACTTAAAAGGATGCAGATGGAGTAAATTTTTTATTATTAATTGATTAGAATCGTACATTTACTCCTGAAGAGTATGTTCCTATATTTAAACAATTTGGAGTGACTTGTGTTGTAAGATTAAACAAAAAAGCCTATGAAGAATAGAGATTTATTAAAAATGGTATAAAACATGAAGAAATTTATTTTCTGGATGGTTCTGTGCCAGGAGATGATAAAATTTTGAGATTTTTAGAAATAGCTGAAAAAGAAAATGCAGTAGCAGTTCATTGCAAAGCAGGTTTAGGTCGTACAGGTACTTTAATAGCTGCTTATGCAATCAAACATTATAGGTTAATTAGTATATAATATCTAGATTTCCAGCTCCAGATTTCATAGGATGGATTCGTATATGTAGACCAGGTAGTATTTTAGGTCCATAATAGATCTTTTTACTTGTAAGTTTATTTTATTGATAATTCAATTTAGTAAAAACAAAATTGGTTGATAAGTTTAGGAAAAGATTCTCAAATTTGGAATCAAGTTAAATAAATTGCTGCAGAAGTCAATATAGAAAAAAGATTAAAAGATTTATAATTAGGACCTATGAGTGAAGGTAATTGATATTTTATATAATATTTTAAATAGCTGATAAGAATAAAGCAGAAAAGGGTGATTAAGATTAAGCATAGACTTTAAACAAAGCTAAATTGATGAAGTAATCAAATATCATATGTTTTAAGTTAAAATTCCCCAGGGACCAAAAAATGAAAAAGATGATTTGTTATTTTATAAAAATAATATATATCAAATGTTTTAAATTAAAAAAAAAAATAAGTAATTAAAAGTTATAATAAATAATAATAATAATATATAATAATAAATAAAGATAATTAAAATCAATAAACAAATACATTCTTTATAGATTTTTTATTATTATTTATTAAAAATAAATAATTATTATCCTTTTAATTTGTTTATTTCTTTTTGATAGTTCTATAAGCATCACAAATTTATACATCTTTTAGATCAATTGAAGTAGATTTATGATTTTATTTAAATTATTATATTTATGAAGTCCTTTTTTAATTCATAGAGTAAGAACGAGTAGATTTGCTTTCAATTTTACATTTTTAATTTGAAACTACAGGTAATTATAATTTTTGTAATTTATTATTATTATTTTAAGATTCTAAATTTGAGCTTTAATAAGTATTTAAATATGATTAATATTATTGAGTTTATTTATTCTAAGAAGTAATTGGTTTATTATCTCTTTATGTTAATTCTTACTTTATTATCTCTTTATTAATAGGATTATTAATAGAAGTATAATTTAATTTATAATCACCATCACTAATTTTATCATTCTTTTATTATACTACTCCTTATCGATCTCGATGATCATTGATAAAAGAGCCTTCATAATAACTTCCATCTATTTATATTAATTTACCTATTCCATGCTTCAAATCATTTTGATATTCTCCCTATTTAGAAATCATATATTACTTCATAAATGATTCCATTTTTCTTAACATACCTTCCATATCCATGTCTCATGCCATCTTAGAATGATCCTAAATAAATTGATCCATCAACCCATCTATATTCACCTTATCCCTATGGTTTGCCAAAATAATAATTGCCTATATACTTATCACCATTTTAAAATTGTTCTACTCCATAACCATTTTTAACAGAATTTTTCCATTCTCCAAAATAAATATCTCCATTCCATTTATGTTCTCCTAATCCATCTTATTGTCCATTCACCCATTAACCAATATAATAATCATCATTTATTCCAATCCATTAACCATAACCATGTTTCTAAGCATTTGACCATTAACCTATAAATTGTTCACCATTTTCCCATTTGAAACATCCCTCACCGTTTGGTTTCTTATTTTGAACCTTACCATGATATATACATTTATTCTAAAAGACTTAATAAGAAAGGCCATTCTCAAGTTGATTGTAGATGAATCTTCCATTCAAAGCTATTTTAATTTCTGCAATGTTGCTTTTTATAATTATTTAATTTTCTTATCTAGTTAATTAATTAAATTCAAGGGATTGTATTGGTAATTTATATTAATGAAGGATGCTTTGTAATTAGTTTTTCAAGGTTTCCTAGCTTTCAATAGAGAACAACAGTATAAGGTCCTTTTGAAACTAATCAACATTGATAATCAACGGATATTTTTTTTTAATTCTTTACACTTATTATTAGACATTCTGTATTAATTGATACTCTTTGAACCTAAGAATATATCACTATGTTTACATTCAAAATGTATTTAATAATTAATAATAAAATTTATATGATGTAATTCTGAAAACTAAAATACATTTAATCAAATTAAATTGGTCGAATAATAATTTTTAACTCTTCTAAATTCAGTATTCTTATCAATTACATAGAGAATATTTATACATTTTCCAAATGGATATATTAAAGTCTTAAAACATTCGATAACCTCTGTTTATATTTAAAATAATTTTTTTCATTAGTTCCATGTATTATAAAAATAAGACTTTCAATCCAGAACTGAATCCACTTTTTATGTGCAAATCTTCTCTAGTAAATCTCTTTTATAAGGATTTGAAGATAAAGTTGCATTTTGACCTGAATCAATCCATAAACATTAAAAATGATTTTTATTGCTTTTATAAATTAATAAATAAATTTCAAGATGATAGACTACTTGAATCTTATGAATTCTACTTAATTTATTTTTCTTCAATATTAATCATACATTTGATATTTGTAAAGAGATATTTAATCTTCACATTAAGTCAAAATTCATCAAAATTCCCTAATAGTTCTCGTTCATCTATATATTATTAATAATTTGATTAATATCAATTATTATTATTCTGAATTTTATTACTAATTCTAATATTCACTTAATTTCAATAAATAAATTGTTTTGGATGGATAAAAAGAAATCATATACCAGATAAATTAAAATATTGAATTATTTTTATAAAATATTTAATATTCATTATATCTATAAATTTTAATAATAAAAATGAAATATTTAAAAAATATTATAGATATAATAAATATATATTATCAAAACTTATTATTAATCTTTTATGTGGACTTTGTTGAATACAAAGTAGTTTTAGTGGATGGAGTTGTGGTTAAACTCATTTTCTTACTGAATACATATCTATCAGTTTTTAACGGAGATAATCTTGGTGATGAAATACTATTAATATCGAAAGATAATATTGAATTTTGATTGCTGGTACTTATTCTAGTTTTAGTGGACATGTTTGTTATGATACGGGGCTTTTTATTTATTGGTGTAAGATATTTAATTTCACCTTGAACCTTATTTTTCATAAAAGGTCTTAATGTGCATTTTTATTCTTCTTTAGGATTTGATATCTTTGTAAATTACTAATTCACTTTAAATAACTCAGACACTAACTTAGATCTTTATTCGAATGATAGACGTGTATTCTTTATAATTGAAATGAATATAATGATGAATAAGTACTTTTATTTGCCATATCAAGTCTGTTCGATTGGCACAATAAGATAAATATCTTAGTAGATTTACAAAATCAGTAGAATAATAATTCTCTTCTCCTATTTCTCTCATTTTTCTCATCAATGTCCTAAATGCTATTAAAATTTAATCACTTCATTACTTTGAGAAGTTCCCTCATCCTTTATCACTTATTTGAACTCATCTAAATCAATACATTCTTAGAATATAAATATAGAAACATACTATTGCCATCACGATCAGTCATTTCGAAAAAGGCCTTCAAAAGACCTAAATTAACAGGATAATTGTTTTTTTTCAACATGGAGTACAGTTCATCCATTTCAATTGTATCTTACAAATTTTAATTAATATATTATACTTGAATGATCTCTATCAATTAAATGGAATGTTTCTGTGACTATTTCATCATCAAATAACTCCTTTTCTGTTTTTCTATATTTCTCCTTTACTTTAGATGAATGTCTAGAATTGAACCAACTCTTTGTTTCTTAGAAATGCAGCACTCTTTCAGCTGGTGGTAATATTTACATAAAAAAATATATATTATTTTATTTCTAAATTAAGTTCTTAAATTTAGTGAAACAATTCATATTTAAAATAATTTAATCCTATATATATATATATATTTTATAAATGAGTTTTTTATGATTACAATTTCTAATTCAAACATCTGAAATGTAAGATTCATCCTTAACAATTCTAGGTAACGTTCTAAAACTATCTTTTGGTAAATAATGATTTTGATGATTAGAAGCATTCTCTAATTTAACATTTGGACTGAATGAAGAATTGTTTAACTAAGATATTCTAACAAAATTATTTATTTTTCATACACTTTATTCTATTGATATTCTTCTTTTTATTGTTAAATTTATATTTTCTATTTTTATTAATTATTTTATATAGGCATTTTTCGTATTGCATTTTATTTATTCATTAAAATAGGTAGATCTGTAGAATTTCTTTTAATACTTATTATTCCTTTTTATTGGATAATAATTTTATTTGGATTATTTTAATTCTTTAATATTAATTCAAAAAATACAACTTATGCAATCTAAGAACTTTTTGATGAACTTCTCATTTATTTTTCTTTTTCTTCCTTATCTTTATCTTTATTATTATTATTATTTTTATTTCCTTCAGAACTTTTCACTTAAATTTAATCATTTGTATTGGCCAATTTTAATGCTTAAAATTAATATTTATAATTACTTACCACATGCTTTGGCTAGTTTCTTTAATTATATTTTTCTATTATTAAAAGTACCAAGAAATGATATTTAAGAACAATTATAAGTATTTTTGATAGGACCTCCTTTATAAATTAAATCAAATCCTCCAATTTATTCCTCATTTCCAGTTAATATTTTTTCAAGATCAATAATTGTAAAAACATCATCTAGTAATCCACATTTTAATTCAAAATCAATTGGTGTATTAGATGTCATAGAAGGACTTTTGTTAATTTACTTGTTTTATACCTTGCATTCACTTCCAAAAGCCAAGGCTTTAATTAAGAATCAAATAAAATATCAAATCCATATAGTTCAAAACAATGTTTATCATTGATGATAATTTTTTGAACTGCTAATAACGATTTAATCATTAATTGTTAAACATTATAAAAACATTCTTATACTTTATCCTATCCATATTTAGTCATTAAAAAGAGTTTTAATTTTTATAAATCCCATTTACCACCTAGTTTTTCATCATAATTTTCTGAAGTCTTTTGAATAGCTACATTTGTTAAATGAACATCTATAATAATCATAAAAATAATTATACAAGTATTAGTTATATCTTAATTATCATATCTGTGATGAGTGAATCTTGCAAAACCTGTACGATATAAGTATAATGTTAAAGGAGAATATGAAGTACATAATAAGTAGATTCTAGTATCAAACTTTTTGCCTCCAATTAAGAGAGGATCGGCTATGTATCTTTAAACTATATAGGATTCTGCAGAAGGATTTTCAGGATTGAATTTAACTTGATTTTTCCATTAAGATATTTATTATATTTTGTTAAATAAGAATATGCCTCTTCCTTATGATTTCCCTATCTATAAATGATAATAAATAATATTTTACTGGTTTCATGATCCATGCAGTCTTGTTGTCACCTTACTTTTTAAATTCTTCATTAAATATAGGATATTCACTAGGTAAATGGTAGGTCAGTGGAAAAAAATTATAACTAAATCGTTAAATTACTTTAATTACGCATTGGCTTCATCAATTTTACCCTCTTTTTCTAAGGTTCTTTTTTACTTTTTGAGATTCTTTATCATGAGATCTTTGCGAGTTAACTAATTGAAATAGAAAATTAAAAATATTACCTCATAATGATTACGAAAATGATTAATTTTTTAATGATGTTGCATATGAATATGATCCATAACTTCATGAATCCATTCTTTTTCAGCCCACATAATATCCCAATCGTCACCATCAGTTTCTTTCCAATTTCTTCTTTTAAATGCCTTTCATTATTCATGCAATCATACTTCTAAGATGCAATTTCTAAATGATGTTTTATATTTGATATTAGTACTACATATTAGATATTAAATTACAAATGATTTCCATAATTTTCTTTTTTAATGTATTTTCTAAAATATTCTGACATTTATTGAATAAATTTATATATAATTTATATATTTAATTATCAAATATTAAGAGTCAATTGATATCTTTGAATTCACTTTTGAGTTTGCTTAAAGTCATTGAATTCCTCATAATCAACTCCATTATTTCTTATCCTGGAATCTAAGAAATATTTTCATCATCTCGACTAAAATTAATAAATTAAATAATTTACAAATATTTATCATCATCATCATCATTATCATTATCTTATTTATTCTCATTATCACTTTCTACTTATGATAATTACTAGATAAAGGTAGTTTCTGTATTTTAAAATTTAGATTAATTAATATTAAATTTAGTTTAATTTTCTTCTTCATAGTTTTCAAGATGATTATTATTACTAGACTTCAATTTCTCTAATTCTAATGTTAAAGCAAAGATATGTTTTCTTAATTCATTATCTGGAGATTCTTTAAATATAATTAAACTCTCATAAGCACTAATCTTTTATCTCATATCTTGTAATTATTCTTCTAAAAATGGCACTCTCTCAGCAATAAGTCTATATTCAACATTCTACTTTTCCAACTTATCAATCTTATCTCTCATATTAGAATTGATTTCATATAATTCTTCTATCTCTTCTTCTAATTCTTAATTGATCTATTCTAAAACTATATTTGTTTAAGAATTATCATTTTATGAATCTGATAAGAAAATATTGTTATTCATTGTAGAAGCAGTCTATGGTCTCAAACTCTTTGAAAAATTGATACTCTATGATAATTTAGATTCCTATTTGCTGTCCTTGAAAGCTTAAGCCAAATTGTAATCTTATTGAGTTATAATCTGATTATCCAACTTGTCTAAGAATACAGTCCATAGAATATCATATTTATAAGCATATTTATGAGTACAAGGATTATTTTCAATAACTAGATCCTTAAGACTAGGCATTAATTTAATACTATTGACTAAATGTTCAAATTCAGTAATTTAGTTATAACCAACTTAAAATATCTTCAAATGAATCATTAATCCCATATCTATGGAATTTATTAGATTATTATTAGCATATAATTTCTAGAGTCTTTTACATTCTCCTAATGGTTATAAGGTAGATATTTTATTGTTATTTAGATTCAAATCTACAATATTATTCAATATACTAATTCCAATAACATTTATCAATTTATTTTATGATAAGGATAGACTCTTTAAGGAACTAATTAATTAATATAAAATTACATTAGTTCTTAAAATGGAACTTCTGTTGTGCTTTCAAAAACCAAGAGATTTTTATCATTCAAAGTCAAGTGTGTTACTGATTATAAATCAGAACCATCACTATTTGTGCAAATAAATTGTTTGGTGATCAATTTTCTTGCTTCTACTAAATCATATGCTGATATAACTGGAGAAGGTTCGATTATTTTAACAGTTTTTTGAATGTCTTTATTATCATTAGATTGTTTATCTTTTTAATCAGCAATTTTTTATACATCATCTAATTTTTTATTACTTGAATTAGGACGAAGGATTGAACCTTTTTTGAATTGTAATTATAATTTAGAAATTGGTTTTGGAGGTAATTGTTATGTATTAGATGATTCAGATAATAATTATGATGTTGTAGATGATTATTATTGAATTTATGAATGATTATCATGTAATTATGGTAATTTTGGTCTTAAAACATTTACTCTCTTTTGCATCATATTTCCATTTGTATTTTCATATAAACTTGGATAACCTTTTTATTAAAGAAAATGTCTTCGTTTAATGTGATCATCCAATTTTTAGTTATCTTCGAATTTTCTACCGCAACCATGAGGACATTCAAAGTTATTCATCATTTTAAATTTAATTAATTAAAAATATATATAATTTCATAGACTTATGCTCAAATCATCAATTTATTGAAGTTATGCATTTATTTCTTATTGTTAATTCTTCTTACAATTATTATGATATCTTTTTAAATGAGTATGTAGCAATGTATGAGATTAATAATCTTTGGAACACAAAAAACAAGAGAATACATGATAATTTTAACAATGTTTCTTCAAGATATGAGGGAAAAATACACTGCTTATACCTATAAAATCACATGAAGGACATTAGAACATTTCAGATTAATTATCTTTAGATTAAATCTATTTTAAATTCTTGATACTCTAAACAAATAATTTAGTTATTGCTCTTAGATATTTAAATTTGTTTTTACTATGATATGCTTTTATAGATTCAAAATCTAAATGGAGAGATTTATTATTCAAAGAATTTATTTATCTAAATTTCTATACAATTATATTAAGTTGTTTATAACATTATTCAGGTGATAATAATCCTTTTGGAGTCATCTAAAATAATTGTTATAGTTTGATATTGTCTTCATTTTATAGAAGTGTATCAATTTATAATGTATTTTTCATTGATTTTCTATCTTTTTTCTTTTAACCATTTAATTTAGATTCTTCTATTTATTCAAATTTCTTATTTTTTTATTCATCATCATTAGAAGGAGGATTCTTTTTGAATAATATATTAGTTAATAATTATGTGCATTCCAATTGCATTTCCAATATCTTTTTTAATAAATTTTTAGTATCTTCATTCATTTTATTACAATAATTTGCATTTCTCTCAACATATATATTTTCTAATTATAATCTAAATATAATATTACATTTTTTTACAAATATTGATAAAAATAATATAAAACCAAAATAAAAATCAAGATGATAATTTTTATGCCAAAATACTTCTTTAAATAACATGATCTTATAATTATTCTTTTTTATATTTCTCTAAAAATTCTAATTCTTATTTTATTTTGTCATTTTTTTAATTAATTTCGAGATTTTTTTATAAAATTTGATTTTGTTTATGAATTTTTTCTAACATATTTTCCATTTATTTTTATTTTGCCAATTTAAATCTATGTTCATTTTTTTAAGATAATTTAATTTTTCTTAAATCCAAAAGAGATTAATGTCTATAATTATAATAAAATTAATACCTTTTAATTCCTTCCTCTAACTTTTCATCTGTTTCTTATAATTTAAAATTCAATTCTTCAAATCGCTTTTAATCTAATGATTCCTAAAATTATTCTACTCTCTTCATAATTCTACTGTTCTTTAATGATAAACTCTTTTATTATTTCAATTAAGATATTTCATGTTTATTTATTTAAATCTAAATATTAATACTATTTATACTTATCTTTATGTTGATTTACTAAAATAATTTTAAACATTCTAATTCTCTTTTTAAACATAAGATTCTTATAATTTCTTTTATTTCTCTTCAAATATTTTGATAGTTTAATTATGTTTTTTCTTCTCATTTTCTTATTTCTTATGTAAATATTCATTCATATAATCAGATTTCTTTTTTATTGAATCCATAACTTAATCTATCATACTCTATTCTAAATTCATTTAAATTTATCTTTTTAACTATCTCTCTCTTTCCTTCTCTTCTTTCTTTTTCAATTATTCCAATAATTCCTCTTATGCTTATTATAATTATTTTTATTTTCTTTCCTAATGAAGATTATGATCTTTCTCCAATTCTTAAACTATCTTCTAATGCTCTCGATATTAAGTTTATTCTTCTTTTTTTGCCTTTTAACATATTTAATCAACCTTTATATGATCCATCCTAAGTTTCTTTCTTACTAATTCTAATTGCTTTTATTTCAATCTTTCTGCTTTCTAATAAATTTCAGGTGCAGTCTTACTATAATATTCATCTTATTTATTTATTTAATCATGCACTAAATTTAGAAATCTATATTGTATTCATATTATTTACTTATTATAATTTTCTGAAGCTTTAATCAATTTCTTATCAAAAAGTTCCTTTTTTTGAGTTGCACTTAAAATTGTGGAATGAACATCTTCACATGATTATTTTTTCAATTCAGTAGTTTATTCGAGAGATATTGATTCATCCTTATACTTGATATTTTTAGAATTTATTTATTTAGAGACCTAAGATTGTATGTGTTTTATTTAATTTCTTTTTTTTAAGATGTCATTTAATATTTTATATTTACCTGTTACATATTACAAATATGATATAAGGTTCTAAAGTGGATCTTTAAGTTTTTGATAAAATTCTTCATAATCTTTCACTTAAAGATCCTGTACATTTAATTTTAGAATTTCCATTGCAGTCTAAGTTCTTGGTGAATTTGTATCAAAATGCATTCTAAAAACTGTTAAATGATTTGGATTTCTAATGATATTATTCTTTTGTTCAGCTTCTAAATAATTAGCTTCTATAGCTGATTTTAATAATGAATTAGAGATTGTTGGAAAACGAAATTGTTTATGACTACCTAATAAGTTTTTTGGACTTGAATCACTATTCTATTGAAATGAACTCATAGATCTTGTGATTAGAATGTCACCTGTTTCCTTTATATAATCAATCATAATAATATTAATTTTTATTGATTAATGTCTTTTTAATTCCTTAAAATATGTTTTAATAATGATCTCAGAAGATTAAGAATTTTAAAGAGATTTTTGTTTTACAAAATTCAACGAAATGAGTTTTATAGATTAGAGGAGATTAGGAATGAAATGTTGAATATGAAATTTGAAAATAGAGAATCAGTCAAACAAACTGCTGGAACAAGTTCTTGGGTTTTATATTTAAAAAAGAGACAATAAAATAAATCAAATTGGTAATGGTGGTGATCCTTAGTTTTTATATTGATTATGTTATATTTCATAAATATAGGAGAATATATATATAAATAAAATAATAAGAAAATATAAACAAAATATTTAGATCATTAAACAACTTTCATATCTAAGGGATTGGTTTTCTAACTAAAATTAATTATTTTTTCCACTTTCTATCTGGTATATTTCTCCATCTTTTGGTGATTACTTTAATCATGATATTATGAGGCATTTAAAGAAGCACCAAAATTAGACTAACTATAAGTGCACAAAGGAGAGTATGACTAATATTATTAATTAAATGTCTTACACAATCAATCCACTAGCCACTATCTTCAGTAATAATGAGACTACATTTAAAAAGGGGCATAATTTAACTATCTTTTTCTTGTTAATCAAAGAAGCGAAAAACAAAATCTTTTCTCCTAATAAAAGGGCATCTGAAAATATGAAGATTTAAAAAGACACTATCATTTCATCATACCAGTTAGATTTGAGAGTTGTATAGATGATAGCACTTCCAATAAATAAAAAAACAAATCCAATAAGATTGCATAGGATTAGACCTTTGGCCAATTTCAATGTCATTTTGTCACTATTTGTTAGAACATATTTAACAGGTTTTGTAGGAACCTATGGAGGGTTTGTTCCTTATCCTTCTTGTAAATTCCTGTCTTCAGAATCTAAATCTACATTAGTTTGACCATCTATTACTAGAGCAGGACCTTCATTTAATTCTTTCATATTAACTTCCATTGTGAAAATGTTGGTTAAAAACAATTTATATTAATTATTGTTTTCTAATCACATTTCTAGAACCTATTTAAATTCATTTTTCATTACGATATCATATGAATTTCAGCTGTGTTAATAAATTTATGATATTTTTGACTTATATTTTATCATAATACGTCATTTCCTCAATCAATTCAATTAATTCAGTTATATTTTACAACTTATTATAATACTTTTATTTTCAAATAGTATTTCTAAAAATAGAGTGGCATATTAATTATATCAAGAATACTATAAATTAATAGAAATGAATAAAATATTATATGTACTTCTTCTTATTTATTCAACATATATATTCTCATTTATTAAATCCATTAATTATTCCCAAGTTCATTTAAATTTCATTTCTATTCTATAATAATTGCATAACTCTAAATAGTTCATATAGATAATATGTAAGATAACAATAAAAAATAACATTTTATATCAGGATTACACTCATACACATTTTAAATAATCTTCTCCTTAATTAATGATAGGTTTGAAATGGCTACACTCATCAACACTCCACTCAATATTATTTGTAATCATCATTCGTCTTTCACCTCTTTTCATATTTCTCATTAAGTAAGGTTATTTACAAGATTTACATATCTCTTAATTGCATCCACCATATGCAGGTAATATTGATATGAAACAAGCCCTATACCAACAAGCAATCTATATTTAAATAATTCATTTTTTTACTCTATAAATAGGTTTCTTTTCTGGTTTATGATGATAAAATGCTTAATGCAATTTCAATAATTGTTCTTCCTCTTGTAATTATGAGAATTTACAAAAAACCTAAGATTCTAAATCAGAAACCTTAATTCCTTCACCATTTACTATGCTAGATACAACTTAAAAGTATTTATCAAAGTCTCCTTCTACTGATTATGATTTTTCAAAAAATGACATAGATACAACATCAGAAGCACAAATTGCTAATTGTTTAGCAGCATCATGAAAAACTTTCTCTAAAGTTGAAAATATAAAACCCTAACATAATTAAAAATCAATATACATGTTTTCCGAATAAACTTCTTAAATGATCTTCATATTTAAAATCTTTGGCCTTTAATGAAAGGAATAAAGCAGATTTAAATAAATTATATCTCTTATCTTATCCTAACTTATTTTATTGACTTATGATATAAGCCATTTCTAATCTTTGATATATGGTATGTAAAAATCTTAATAGAATATAAAGATTTTATGTGACATATGTAGTAGACTTAACTTTTGGTTATAGATTTAGAAATATTCCAGGGGATTCATTTTCTATTTCTGGAATAGATGTAGAAGCATCTTCTGGATTATAATGAATATCATAAATTTCTAGTTCTTAAATTTCATTTTTTAATTTAGTATCTATTAATGTTAATTAAGATATTTGCATAGGTTTCATAGGAACTTAAAAGAAATGATTGATAAATTTAATCATAAAAAATGTTCCATTTCTTTTATCAAGAGAATTATTGCCTCCCATAATTTGGAGATAATGAATAACAAATTAACCACATTCTTATAAAATTTATTCATTTCCCATCCATAGAGAAATCAAAGGAAAAAATCTTATATTGTCTTTATTAGATGGGATTAATGGCATCTATTTAGGTAAAATAGGTTTTATATTAGTCATTTAAGCAAGAGAATTTAAGAATGAGTTTTCAAATGTGTATTATATTTAATCTTGCTTTCTTTTAACAAAAATATGTTCTTTTGTTCCAAGATGTTTAATTAAAATGTTTTTAGCATATTCTTCTATTTCTCTAGCAAATCTTTATCCATTTATGACTAATTTATCATTCTTTTTAAAATAAAAAGATCTATGATCAAGAGAACGATGAAAGTTATTTAGGGATACATTTTCCCAAATTTATTTAGCTTTGTTATTTCTAGCAGATATAAGTTCATTTAATTTTTATTTAACTCTTTTAATGAGAATTTTAGCACTTTCAGCAGGTTTAGTTTAAAATATCTGAAGGACTTCATTTTAATCTTAAGTTTAATTTCGATATAATTATTATAAGATTCTCATATCAATTACTTTAGCAATCAATATTGGATCCTCTTTATTACTATCAATAATCTCTTATAATAAATTTATGGTTCTTTTTATTTATTAAATATTGACATCAAATTCAAATCTTTCATCTTCACTTTTAAATAACTGTTCTTCAAAAGTATTTTTTCTCATAATTAAAAATGATTGGTCTTCAGAACCAAATGGTACTGATACCCAGGAATGATTAAGAATTTCTGAATTATTATTAGCTTTTGCATATCCAATAGGCATTCGAACATAAGATCTTGTTACTCTGTCAACTTAAGCAAAATCTGTATCTTTTAAAGGTTTAAATAATGGAGTTTGTATTCTTCTAGCAATTACTCTTGTTGATAACATTGATCTAATTTCATCTATATATTCTGTTTCTAACCATTCTTATTAATTAATTAATTCCATCACTTCCATTTATGTAATTATACATTCAGAATATAGATGTATAATTTTCATAAATTCATTCATAAATTATTAATGTTCATTAGGATATTATTAGATAACTCTCATTCTAAATTTATCCCAAAAAAGTAATTCATTCTAATTTAAAAAATTTAAGTGTTACCATATCTACAACTCCATTTTTATCCAGTAGTTTTTAAAAATAATTTCTATTTTCTTCAATTTTTTTTTTTGGTGGAATTTGATCATGCTTCTTTTTGAAACTCTATAAGAACTATTATTATAATTAAGGTTCATTATTAAATAATTCTAATATATGATCTTTATTTTAATGTCCATCTAATTGTCCATTTTATATTTATTTCAAAATTGTTTCCAAAGCTTTTGATTTGTTAGTCTCATTACTAATAAACTCAGTTAGTCTCTCTTTCTAAGTCTTGTATTTAACATCATCTTCCAATAAAACATTTACTTCTTTTAATAATTCTGGTTCTTCACTTAACATTTATCCCAATTACTCTTTAGCTACTTTAGTATTTTAATTAACAATATTTGAAAATTATCTAAAAATGATATCAATTCAAACTTATAGAGCTATTAATTTGTTCGTCTTAACTTTTAGCAAAATTGTTCACATCTTTCATAAAGTTGTTGATCAAAGTCCTATATAAAAAATCTATTTGAAAATATACTTCTCCAAATTCACCCATATTACTTTTACTTAATATATCCTCACTCATTTAATTATCTTATATAAAATATAATTAAAATATTTAACAACTTATTATCAGGAATATTATATAATATTAAATAAATTTTATAATAAATGATCTTTTTGATTAATTTAAAAATAAATGAAATAAAATAAATAAAATATACATAAGGTTATCCGCAAGAGTAATTTTAAATCTCTAATGTCCTATAGGACCATGGACTGATGAAGAGGATCTAAGAGTAATTGAATTAGTTTAAGAATTTGGTCCTTAAAAATGGACTCAAATTGCATAATAATTAGATGGAAGAATAGGAAAATAATGTAGAGAAAGGTTATTATAAATGTTATATTTAATAGATGGCATAATCATTTGAATCCATTGATTAAGAAAACTCCTTGGGAAGAAGATGAAGAATGGATTCTTTTTCTATATCACAAGGCATTAAGTATTAATCCTCATGATAAGGTAATAAATGGGCTGAAATAGCCAAACATGTCAATGGAAGAACTGATAACTCAATTAAGAACCATTGGAATAGTGGAATGAAAAAGAGAATGACAGAATTTTAAATGAAATTGGTTTAAATTAAGTAGAAATTTTAAAGAGAAGGGTATCTTAAGAAGCTTAAATAAGAATTTAAATTTTGAACGATTTTGATCCATTACAAAAGAAAGCTCTAGAGATTATTTTATAGAATAAATAGTATAAGAACATTACTAGTGAATCTTCAGAGAGTGACGATGTTTCCTATCCAACCAAATAATCCAAGAAGAATAGATTAGATAAAGAATTAATAGAGTTGTAAGGAGAACAATAACTTAAAGGACAAAATGATTAAATGATAGAATAAAACTACATCAGTGATGAAGAGTAGGAATTGAGCAATAGGTGATTTATAAAATATTAAAATTTTTAGTGTAAATTCCTTTTAATTACTAACAACTTCTAAGAAGAAGAGTAAAATTGAATATGAAGAAAATAGTATTCAGCAATATTGAAGTCCAAATTTATAAACAATTTTGAAACATTAAATATTATAATATAAAATTTTCCTAAAACTATTTTTTAGATAATTCTTTTTCATTTGACTTCTTCACTTATGTATCTAGCTCTATATTTACGAGGAGATTGGAACTTTTCTTAAATCTTACTATCAATTATTTATTGTAAGAAGAAATTAACATGTGAATAGAAATCTTCATTCCATACCTTTTCGATAGGTTTAGGACATTTTTTGATTTCTTGTTAAGAACCAACTCTAGCTAATTTTTTATCTGAAAGTTAAATCTATTAAGTATTCTTAATTTTTTTATCATTATTAAGGTTTTTGTTTTCATCCTCATCTTTGATGATTTCTAAATTTATTAAAGGTTATCCTAATTTAGGTCTAGGTTGATTTTCTAAAGTAGATTAATCAAATTCTAAAGATTTTTAAATTAAATTATTTGAAAATATTTTTTCTTTAAAATTTGAATACCCTTTTGGCACTCTAATATTATTACTGGTTATAAAATATATTAACATACTCGTAATTGTGTTCAGCTTTACTAATAGCAATTTCAATAGGTGATAATTCATCCGGATCTTCTCTATATAATATTTCACTAATAAATTAAATTTTTAATTACGAAATATCGTGGATGGTCAAATCTGATTATGCACCAAGTTTTAATAAAGTTGTAGATATTCTAGCATTTCTCAAACAAATTTCTCTTAATTTCACTTTCTCTCTCAAAATTTATATGTCTTTTATTGGATCAATCTTTTCAATAAAACATTTCTCCTCTTAAGTAAATGGTTAAGTCATTTGTCCCCAATGATACCATACTACTTCATCTCTACATATTTTGAAACAATCTGGATATGCATATCCATGATCAATAGGTATAAGAAAATAGTCATATGCTTATCGAGTTTGTCCAATGGGTTAATTCATTTTTCTAGAATCGGGTAATATATAAGAATTATACTTTTTTCTAACTAGAATATTTTCCTCATTTCTATCACAATTTAGAATTCTGATATCTAAAATGGCTATTTTTCTTGCTTCTTTAGATGGATATAATCCACTACCATAATTACCAACATTATCATCATGCTTAATATATAATTGAAATGACCCTTCTTTAATAGGGATTTTCTCATATTAAAATTATTTGTATTCTTCAGCTTCATGAAATGCAGGATGACATATCTAGACATAATTAGTTATGGGAACTAATATATTATATATTAAAAATAATTACCATTATGATAATGTCCAGATGATTGATCTATCAAATATGCTGCCACTTCTCTATCAACTCCTTCTCCTGATAGAATTCCTTATCTAAGTCCTGGAGAATTCATTTTGGCTCTCATTCCTCTTGGATTATTAGGACTATTTATGATTTTAGTTTTTACGCAAAAGCTTCTTCATCATAAGGTTTAAAAATGGCCACTGGTTTATGATTTAGATCTTCCAAAATGTATGTACCTTGAGTACCAAAATCAGTTAATTTAGGTGTAATTCCTTTCATGAATGCTCCTTCTACTGCCCATTTAGCATTCTAAAATATCTCTTAAGTTTTCTTGGATTCTTCCAATATATTGTGAATGCTGTTGATAAAATACAACTATTATCCTTATTTTCTAGCCATTAATTTTAGAGAGACATGATTCTTAATGCCATAATCCTGAAATGTTATGAGTTTATTTTTTTTACTTCTAGATCTTAATTATTTAAGGAGAGTTCTTGATTTTTATAAAGTATTCTAAAATCTGCTAGATCTAATTTTGTTGTTTTGTGGATTTTCTGTTTCAATATTGAAATTTTCATCCAACTATACATTTTAATTGTAAAATCATTTCCCTTTTAAATTAAATTAGAAATATGTAACACCAATTCTTACTAAGCACGAGGGTCATAAGGATTTGAAGAACAAAAGCCGAAACCTAATTTTTTGAATTATTAAATACTCTCAAATTTCCTCTTGACCTAGCCTTGTTTCATTGGTTTTAATCTTCAATTTTTTATAATAAATAATCTTTTGAGTTAACAGATATAAAAAAATTCAATAATTTTATTTTTTTGGAGATTAGTTTTCTATTCTGCCATCTGGATGGGTAATCTCAATTTTACCATCAGGATATTCAATATATTTAACCTTATTTACATCTACTTTTTAGAATATACCATCACTAAACAAGGTTTCTTCTTCTCCATTAGGATATATATACTTTTTAGTACCATCAGAGAATCTTATTTGTTTCTCACCATTTTAGAAATGAATTTCTATTTAATTATTTGAAAATCTATAGATCTATATATATTAATATTAAATAAAAATACTTAAGGTCCATTTTAAATTGTAATTTAAGTAGTTTTAGCTTATCCAAAATAGTAAACTATAGTACCATCAGGTAGAGTTTATTTTTTATCATTATTAGTAAAATGAACAATAGTAAATCCATTTGAAAATACTTCTCGTTTAACTCCATTATTGAATACAACTTCTTTTTTGCCACTTTAATATGTTCTTGAAATTTTTCCATCTGCAGATTAATTTTATTAAATGACTTTATCATCATGTTTCAAATAATCTAAATATTATCCATAGTATTTATTATTTTGAAATTCAAACTCTGATTCATCTATTAAATCATTAATCATATCAATTGAAATATTAGGTTAATTTTTTAACTATATTAAATCTATCTTAATTTTCTCTTATTCATAACTATCTCCATTTTGATAACTATTTTGATCATCTCCATTTTAAGATTCAAATTCTTCTTCTTCATTTATACAACCTTATTTATTATGCATCATTGCATATGAATTTACTTTATTTTCTGAAGCAATAGATGCTTTAGTTGAATAATTACTTTATGGAGGAGATGATTAGGCAATCAATTTGTTTATATTATGAGTACTTGTATTTTAAGTATTGTTCAATTATTATTATTATATTTATTATTATTATTTCTCTAATTATAATTTTAATTCCTTTATTTCCTCATTTTATTAAGCCACTTTTTTTCTAAGAAAATCTAATTCTTCTAATTATTTAGTTGTTAATTATTGTTATCTTTATTATTGAATAGTATAATGTTTCTTTGTTATTCTTTCAATTTTTTTCTTTTCTTCTTCTTTCCATTTTTCAAATTCCTATTTTTCTTATTCTAATTATTTTTATTATTGAATTTTTAATCTTTATAATTCTTTTTATTATTATTCTAATTATTATTTCTCTTTCTTTAATTCATTTTTATCATCATTTTATTATATAATACTTTCATCATTTTTAGTATGATCTAATATTGAATCATTTACTTTTTGTGTACATTATTTACCTTTACCTTTTTATAAAAAATGAACTGGTAATTTCTTTGGTTATTATTATTATTATTATTATTCTGTTGCATTTTCATTATTCATTTTTAATATCTCTTAATGTTCTCTTTTTGATAATTCAGATCTTGTTTATGCATTAGATAAATATTATCTAGTTCCCTTTTTTAAAAATTCTTTCTTATCTTTTTTCTCTTCTTATACAATACCTTAATCTTATAATAATTATTCAAATGACTTTTAAGCACCTTTTATAGGTATTTCATCAAAGATGTCTGTGTGTTAATTTTGCTGATTTTAAGTTTCCTCTATAAATTCATTCATAAATGAATTCTATGAAACATCATGTTTTTATTCAAAATGTTTTTAACTTCTATTATCTAATTGTTATTCTTTAACTTAAACATTACACTTTATATCATCTTCTTTTCATATAAACATTACATACATATTGGGATATTTAGCTGATTATAAAACTTGGACATCTCCTACATTCTAGTAGATAAGTATTCTTCCAAATTCATAAACTACATATAAGAAATAAAATAAAATAATTTAAATAAACATTAAACATTTCTCTATTAATTCATATTCTATTCTTAAAATTCTGAACCTTTAAATATTCGAAAGTCTTCCTTTCTCTATTTATAATTTAATTAAGAAATTATCTATTACTACTACAATTAACATTAGAAATGTAAAATAATAAGAAATAGAGAAATCTTTTCATCTGAAAATTAATACACTGATATCTTGTATAATGACATATGACAATTTCCTTAGATCTTTGAAATAATTAATAGGTAATAATCTTATATAAAATAATAGCTTTAGATTATAAAGGAAGTTTATATTAAAAAATCAAGAATAGTAATTCAGAGTCGTTCTTCTTTTCAGTATTGTATTTTTACTACTGTCTAGAGAGATTTCTACTTTCATTGTGTTTTTCAGTTTCAATCCAGTTGAGTTTCTCTATTATTTTCTATATTTTCCAAATCCTTCAGGAAAAGTGAGTGGAAAGATAATTGGAGAATCATAATCATTCTTTATTTATTCTAAAGTAGTCTTTTTTGACTAATTTCTCTCTAATCGTGGTTAGTAAACGTCTTAAGTATGATTCACAATTTAAGCACAACCCATAAGTAAATAAATCTGGTAATAATATTAATTTAAGTATCATTTATTTCTGAAATATTTTGAATTGTAATTTATATAAATGAGTTGTTACATATTGTAATTGATTAATTAATATTTATATTTTCAAATATAAATTCATATGAATACCAATAAATCAACTAATACCTAAGAACTCTCAGATGAAGGTACTAAATTAATTTATAATCATTTTAGAATTTATGAAACTTCATGCAAAATAATTCTATAAAACTCATGGATAATTGATTGGTAGTAAATAGTCTTACATTCCAATTCCAAAAGATAGTAATCATAATGGAAAATTCACTGATGTAATAATATTATTCATTTTAGCACTTATTAATGGCCACAATGTATAGAAATAATAGTTTGAATACAACTTGTGATAAGGAACGTTGGATAAATGGTTCAAAAGATTGGATGGAACATTTATAATGAAATTATAATATCCTAAAATCAATCTAAATGAAACTAAAGATAACTTTTAATGTTTTAAAATACTATTAAACTTTAACTCTTTTTTATATACTATAAAAAATGATCAATTTCTGATAAAACTTAATCAAAAATCTCCTTTCATGATTGAAACATACATCCATCTAATATGAAATCTGAAGGCATAGAATTTCCTACTTTAGTATCACTTATGGTTATCACATTTCTACCAGGCTTCTATTGTATCTCTCCACCTCCTAATTTTATTAGATACTCTATTTCAGCTTTTGAAGGTGTTACATCAATTTTAACATGATATTTTCCATCAAATATCTTAACTAAATTCTTGTTAGATTCAAAATAAGTATCCCTACTTTATAATATTTACTCTATGCTTAATCCAAATGAATTTATAAATTCATCACTATAAGGTATATAATCATGATATTTTTAGATAGCCTTTCCTTATTTAATTGAATTAGTCAACCAATCCATTGTTACTACTTCAGCCCCTAACATCAAAGCACTTAGAAATTTAAATGTTCTTTTAGGAGGATTATTCAAAATTAGTAAATCAAATTTTTCTAATTGATTATTCACTATTTCTAAACCTAATTTTTTTAAATCATTTGCTTATGGTATTTCATTTGCTTAAAATCCACTAAAGGCTATTAAATGAATACTTTTAACTTTCTTTTATAATGTTTTTTTATTTCCTAATTTTTTATTAATTTTTAAGTCATTTTATTAAAATATTTTTGTTGCAGGTAATTCAATAGAATTAGTATGTCTTAATTTTTATTTTGATTAATTAGATTTTTCAGAAGTTTCATCTGAAATTTCATCTGTTATTTTTTTGAGCAATGCTACTTTCTTCAAATCATCTTTGCTTTATTTTTTTCCTTATTTCCAAAGAGAAGATGTTTATTTTTAATTTTAATTTTAAACTTTAATAGGTGTTTATTCTTATTAATCTTAAGATTTATTTTTATCCTCTTAAGAATCATCATATCTATTATTTAAAATATTTGATTTAGGTTAAGGAAACTTTTTAATTGTTTACTATTATTATATTTATTAATTTGGTAATTCAGGTAAACTACCAAATAGATCATTTAATTCAATTTTAGAATTATTATTATCTTATTTCGACTATGTTATTTATACATTGTCTGATTAAATGCTATTAAAACGTTTAATTTAAGATTATTCTAATTTATCAACACTTTTAATTTATTATGAAGAAAATGCTTTATTTAAATCATCATCAATCATTGTACCTTTAAAATCAGCTTTTTTGCTTAGAAATTATTAGTTATTTTATTAATTTTGATCAATATTTTACATTTGGGAATCAATCATTGTTTAATCAATAAATGAAGGCTATTAATTATGTTAATCAATCTATTATGAAATTTATGAAGTTTATCTTTTAGATTTAAAAAGATCACTAAATAATGTTCTAGTTTTCTATAATTAAGGTTCTACTTCAATAATTTCTGTTTAAGTTTATGCATCATTAGTAGAAAAGTGATTAGATTTTACCATAGAATTTATTCCTGAATATTATGAAATTAATTCATTTAAACTTGATAATGTTGATTGATCTATCTCATCTAGAATTAATGTAGATGTTACGATTGGATCTTATGAACTTAGTACTTAAGTTGTTGACATTTATTAAGTGATTGAAACTTTAGGTATAAATTATTATGGAATATCCAAGATATCATCTAATGCCATTGTACCACTAAAATCCTCTAAGATTTATGTAGTTTGTAATGTGCATTAATTATTTTACTATATTGTTTCAATAGAGTTAAGTAATTTGAACTTAAAGTTTTAAAAATAATAATTTCTAAGTGGGACCATCTCTATTATGAAATTTTTGGGTATTTCTACTTTTTAATCTGATTTTAAGGTTGCTTCTTTATACACTTAATCTGAATTACTGAAATGAGTGAAATACACATCATTATTAAGTAAAGCCTAAATTTCTAGAATGTAGATCTTACGACAGAGAAAAGAACACCTTGAACATTTCTAATTAGGTATTTACATTGTTTTGGATCACTACCAAACCTATTTTCTCCTTATAGCAATCTATATTTATAGATTTCTCTATCATTCTGATCAAGAACTTATATCATAAATAAATTAAGTAAACTTAAAATTAATTGTAAAATCAATATATCACTCAACAAAATTAATTCATTTTTTTCTTCTATCAGATCCAAATAATTTCTATAGATTTGTTTATTTATTAAACTAATAATTTGTAGTTGTTTTAGGATATAACATCTAAGAGATTTATTCAGTCTTAATTCGATTATTTTAGAATTTTGAACTTTAATTTTCAGGCAAAGTAGGTGTTCTCTCAGAACTTAATTACATTTTATTAGAATCAATCATCAATTTAAAAGTCTAATTCTATTATTTATAAAAGTATACTTATAAATCAGGATGAGAATGTTATTATTGCATTGTTTTAGAATAAACATGACTTATTTTTGAAGATTAAATTAGAGAAGATGATTTATTATTATTTTGATCATTTCTTTTTATTAAATCTTGAATATCTGATTTACCTTAATATTTTTATACTCTTCTGTAATCATTTGTGAAAATCTATTTAATATTAATAATATTCAATACTCCAACTCTTTCTGGTGAACTTTATTCTTCAGCTACACCTTCAAAGTGAAGTTCAGTAATATCAATTATATTAGATCTTTTAGATTTGTGTTCTGGTTTTTCTGGTAAATCTTCTCTTGAATAATAAAAATTTTGAAGAATATAATTACTATAATTCTCATTATACTAAATTAATTTATTAATGTTACATATTCTTTTTATAAATTTATATTGTATTATTTTCTAAATTCTGCATCTCCTTTATTAAATTCTTCTTCATCAAAATTATATTACAAAGGCTCTGGTTTATATGGAGGTTTGATCTTTTTGTTAACTATGGCCTCAAAATCAGCATCAGCAAACCAAGGATGAGTTAAAATTTCAATGACTCCTTAAGTCTACCCTATTCTTTATGATGGATCCTTCTCTAGCAATTGATAAATTAAGTCTTTTAACTAATCTGAAATTTAAACATATGGAGGAAACAAAACTTATTCTGTCAAAATTGAATTGTAAATTTCTTAAGTATTATGTGAATAAAATGGAGGTAATCCTGTAACTAATTCATATAGCAATGCTCCTAAACAATAACAATCAACTAAATAGTTGTGGCCACTCTTTAGTAACATCTCTGGAGCCATATATTCAGGGGATCCACAAAATGAATAAGCAAAATCTTCTGGAGACATATTAGGTTTGCTTAGTCCAAAATCACTGAGTAAGAGATGTCCTTACAAATCCAATAATATATTCTCAGGTTTTATATCTCTATAAACTATATTTTAGGAATGAAGATATGCCATTCCGATACAAATTTCAACAAAGTAATATTTAGCATCTTATTCACTTAATCTTTTAAGTTTTCTTAAATGAAAAAATAATTCCCCTCCTGAACAATAATCAAGTACAAAGGCAATATAATATTTTGTTTCAAATGCAAAATGTAATGGAGTGATAAATTAATTATCCATATTAACCATTATATCTCTTTCATTTTAAACAATTACTTCCTTTTGATTTTCCATAATGAAACTCTTATCAATCAATTTAAGTGCATAAAATTTTCCATTGTCTCTCTTTCTCACTAAATATACTCGTGAAAATCCACCTACACCTATACATTTCACAAGTGTAAAATCTTTCAAAGTAACTCTTTTTCCTGAAGGAGGCTAAGCAATTAATGGCTATAATTGTAGAGTTATTCCTTAAAACACATGTAATGATAAATTTGGTAGACTTAGATAATAATCATATGGGACATTCTTTTAAACACAATAAAATTGGCATATTTTATTGATTTCTAATTCGAGTATTATAGAAAATACCTTATTAAATTTGATTTTCTTCAGTTGATCCTGTGCCTCCACCTTATTTAGTAAATGATTATTCTATGCAACCTATTTGTTGGATCAAATAATTATATAGGTTATCAGTTGTTTTATTTTGATAATCAAATAAATAATTGTATCTAAATATTAAATATAAATTACTTTTAATTCTTATAAAATAATATAATTTTTAATTGTTTCTTGGGGTCATAATGATTTGATTCTTCAGCTCTATTAATTTTTTTGATTGAATCATTCTTTTATTGAGTAGATTGATTGATTGAACGTAGTTCAGTTGAGTCAACTCGCTTAACAAATTTTTTTGAATCTCCCTTATTTTTAGACAGGATATATTCAATTGATTATTTTAATGTTTGAGATTCTTATAACAATGAGTTTTTGTTAGCCCTAATATTGAAATACTGCTGATATTCCATATGATGATTATTTTTATATTGTTTTGCACTTTTTATTTGAATGTCTTAAAAGTATTGATCTACTGTAGATTTTGGATTCTTATAAATGTTTTAAGGTGTTTGATTTACTTTGTTTTATTTGGTAATTAACTTCTACTACTTTGATTCCATCTATATAGTAGCTAAAGAGAGATTCTTTCCCTTGAGAATTTATCGCTTAATATTATTTCCTTCATCTGTATGTATCCTTTAATCTAAAGACAAAGGAATTTAATGAAATTGCCCATTGAGGGTTTTGAATCGTTCACTTTTCTGACTATTCAAATTGTCAATGGATCGATTTTATTGAAGTTAAGTTTTAATACTATTAGTTACTTAGGTTAGAGTATTTCGTTCTTTTTTGAAGTATTCCAACAAGTCCTGTTTAGTGTTTTTACCACTTGTTCTTTCAGTGTTGGCTATTTTGATGTTACTTTTTTTGGGTTTTAATTCCATATAATAAGGAGTGTCTTATATACTCCCTCTGTCACTTTATTATAGTGGGGGTGATGTATAATTCTTCATTAACGATATTTATATATTTAATTATAACAACTATGATGGATGAACAAGGTGTCTCAGTTAGAGATCTATTAGTCAATGATATCAAGTCAATCAAGAAGACACTTAAAAGTTGGACTAAAGTGTTTACTTAAATAATGGAATTACAATTATAGAATTCTAAACAACAAAATCAGAATGTATCATACTACTTAATAATACTTAGACTATTCTCATATAGCAGATATTGTCATACTTCTCTAAACCAAACAAGAAACCACAATAAATGCCAATCTCTCCTATTCGAAAGATGGTACATAAAACTGAGCCAGATGATTTCTTTCTCAGAAAATTCGAAGATACAGATATATACAACAATGAAAACCTTTAAAATGAACTAAATAATCCTAAAAAGGTTAACATATTCATATTTTAGATATCCATAGTTAATTATTAAGGAACCCCATTTGATAGTGCTTATTAAAGTATAAACAGAGAAATGCAATAATATTATGAACCTGAAAATTAAGTGACAGAGCCATCTGCAGAAGTCTTTTAGAACTTTAAAAAAATGGGGCAGTAAGGTGTTAAAGCTTCTCTTAATATGGAAGGATTTTCATTGCCTTAAAGTACAAAAAATAACACTGAACGAAAACAATTTATACAACCTTGTACTCATTCATCTAAACAATTACAATTATAAGAATCTAAAGAAAATATGAAAAACTCTAAATAAATTGAAAACAAAAAAATTAAAATTAAAGATTAAAGATTATCAACTGTTGTTGAGGAACCTTCAGCATTTTTGAATAGTTAATAAACTACTAAATGTATAATATTAATCTATTATTTTAGAGGTTCTTCTTAATATCGGAGGATCCCAAAATATTGTCCAATCTTGTTAAAATAAAAATTCTTTTGCAGGATTTGAGTTTCAAATACCGTTGTAGTAATCTATTTCTAAAACACCAAACAATAATACCAAACCATAAAATTATTTTGCAGATAATACAAGATCAGGCTCTAAGTCATTGTATTAGAATAACATTCCTTAGAATATATAATATATTAACAATTCCAATAATAAATAAAATCAAATTAAATATGAGTACCTTAGTTCAGTATTTAAATTTTATAATATTTAGAGAGCTAAAAGTTTTAGTGATCAAAATAGCAAAAGAAATTAAAGTAAAAAATACTTAGATTTAGAATTGATTGATAAGTAATATGAAAATAGTTAGGAGATCCTGAAAAAAACAAATACTATGCGCAAAACATGAAAATTTATTTAAACTTTTTATCAAATACTAAATTTATTCTTCTGTTTAATTTTCATTAACTTTATATTTTAGATAAATTTAATATTACTGTTCTAATATTATTATGATAAAAAGATAAAAATTATTTTTAATTATAGCTGAATCATTAATAATCATTAATTTTAACTATTAGAGTATCAAATAAATAAGAATACTTATGTAAAATCAAAAGACTAAATAATTTATTTATTGTAATTATGATATACATTTCTTATTTTCCTGCATTATATTTTACTATTGTTTATTTTTTGATTAAAAAATGAGATATTATTAATCTGATAATTGTCCTAGAATAAGTGTAAAAATATCGATCCCTTTATATAATCTTTTTATTTCTAATAAAATTAAAAGTATTCAAACTCATATGATTGATTAAAAGTACATATTAATATTCTATATGTTCATAATTAATTATTTAAATCATTCATACTAGTATTCACTTATGTAAGTATTGAGTACATTGATTTTAACGAATAAAATATATTAATAATGACTAACATTATTGAGGAATCAATGATTATTAATCATCTTACATCTCCATAAAAATAAAATAATCCAAATTAATCACCTTTACATTTGACTCCAATACTCCCCAATTCTTATAATCATTAAAGTAGACAAAGCAGCAAAGCTAATTTACTTGATCTTCAAAATAATAAAACANTAAAATAAAAATTCTTTTGCAGGATTTGAGTTTCAAATACCGTTGTAGTAATCTATTTCTAAAACACCAAACAATAATACCAAACCATAAAATTATTTTGCAGATAATACAAGATCAGGCTCTAAGTCATTGTATTAGAATAACATTCCTTAGAATATATAATATATTAACAATTCCAATAATAAATAAAATCAAATTAAATATGAGTACCTTAGTTCAGTATTTAAATTTTATAATATTTAGAGAGCTAAAAGTTTTAGTGATCAAAATAGCAAAAGAAATTAAAGTAAAAAATACTTAGATTTAGAATTGATTGATAAGTAATATGAAAATAGTTAGGAGATCCTGAAAAAAACAAATACTATGCGCAAAACATGAAAATTTATTTAAACTTTTTATCAAATACTAAATTTATTCTTCTGTTTAATTTTCATTAACTTTATATTTTAGATAAATTTAATATTACTGTTCTAATATTATTATGATAAAAAGATAAAAATTATTTTTAATTATAGCTGAATCATTAATAATCATTAATTTTAACTATTAGAGTATCAAATAAATAAGAATACTTATGTAAAATCAAAAGACTAAATAATTTATTTATTGTAATTATGATATACATTTCTTATTTTCCTGCATTATATTTTACTATTGTTTATTTTTTGATTAAAAAATGAGATATTATTAATCTGATAATTGTCCTAGAATAAGTGTAAAAATATCGATCCCTTTATATAATCTTTTTATTTCTAATAAAATTAAAAGTATTCAAACTCATATGATTGATTAAAAGTACATATTAATATTCTATATGTTCATAATTAATTATTTAAATCATTCATACTAGTATTCACTTATGTAAGTATTGAGTACATTGATTTTAACGAATAAAATATATTAATAATGACTAACATTATTGAGGAATCAATGATTATTAATCATCTTACATCTCCATAAAAATAAAATAATCCAAATTAATCACCTTTACATTTGACTCCAATACTCCCCAATTCTTATAATCATTAAAGTAGACAAAGCAGCAAAGCTAATTTACTTGATCTTCAAAATAATAAAACAGTTGATCAATAAGATTCAGAGAATGTAGATAATCCTATGAGTAGTTTAATCGATTTAACACAAGATGATGCCAAAGAGAATGAGCCAGAACTTGATGTAAAATAAGTTTTAACTGAAATAAATGATCCATAAACTATTTCTTTTTAGGAGTTAGATGAAATTTAGACAGGAAATCAAGTATAATTATAACCAAAATTAATTGTCATGAATACTGCTAACACAATTCATCATTAAATAGAAAAACACAAGTAAGTTATTTTATAAATTGGCAATAAAAACTAAAATCAACATCAATAATAAACTATATAGATAATTGAATAATAATAAATTCAATAAGATGTTAATAAACCAAAACCAATTGATAAGAAAATGATTGAAAATTTGAAAGAGATTTTTTTATTTTATTCAAAATAAGCAATAACTACAAATAAATATAATACCTTTGATAAATTATAATAATTATCAAGTATTATGATTTTGTAAAAGTTCATGTTTTTTTGCAAAGATTTTGAACTCATAGATTTAGAAATTACCAATGATTTGATTCTTTAACTTGGTGGTAAATTAGATATAATAATAAATAAGAATAAAAATTAGTTTAAATTCAATCATAAGTAAAACTTTATATTAACTAAATTTAATTTAGTTGAAATATATAAAAAAAATGCAAATTCTCAAATGGAATTAACATTAGATAATTTTTAAATGATTATCATTAAACTTTCTTAATTAATCTTTCCAGAATAGAATGATTTATTTTATGAATATTTGGGTTTAAACAATCCAAAATAATACAGAAAGAAAATGTTAATTATAGGTAAACCATTTAATTCTAAAGAACAAACAGAAATTTTAACATAGGAAAAACTTTATGAAAGAAAGATATATTTACCTCCAAAACCAAAAATCAGATTTGAAAGTGTTAAAAAAGAGAGACAAACTATTGAAATTTAATTTCCAAAAGTTAATTTGACTGCAAGATGTAAAATGAAATAAAAATAAAATGAAACTTTTGATAAGAATGAAAATTGTATTAATTGGGATGATTTAGATTATTTATAATAACATTTTGATCCAAAATAATTTATTTTAGAATAAGACTTAAGTGATAAAGAAGATGATTATTATTTAAAAGAATATGCAAAACATGGATAAATGTAAAAAAAGAAAATATAAGATTAAATGATCAATTTAAAAGAATTATAAATTAAAATTCCTCAAATTTCTATTGAAAGCAATATCTTAAGTTCTAATAATAATAAAATAAATAATAATATGTTTACTACTGGAAATACAAGGACTTCAAATAACAAATCATTTGATCTGTATGATAACTAATAAAAAAAGAAATCAGTAGGCTAATCTCCTTAAAATATAGAACTAACCTGTTTAGAGAAATAAAATTAAATTTACAGAGCATTTTTGAATTAATAATCTTATAGAGAAAGAATGGTTAATAAAAAAAAATTAATTTTGATTTGACAACATAATTAATAAATATAACATTTTGTTTAACTAATATATTTAAAAAAATGTACCATATGTGTAAATTATGAGTAAATCTAGTAATGTTGATCGTTTTATTTCATTAATTCAATTAGATATTATTAATTTTAATAATCAATTAAGAATAAAATATTTCCTTAAATAGGTAAGAGATTAAACTCCAAAAATAGTAAAATTTTCATATATAATGCTAACAAATAATTCCTTCCTTCTCTCTGAATAGAAGTTTTTTTAATTACAGTCTTTCTGAATTCATATAAAGAATTCATACAAATTTCGTTATCATTAATATATAATATGATATTAGAATCCATCCAATTAATCAATTAATAGTAAAATAATATAAGTAAAATTTGAAAATAAATATAAATGTTCTTTTAGTTAAAAAGTAATTTATTATTTTAAGATAAGTGTTGTAATTCTTCTTTATTTAATTAATGAAACAAGAATATTCCTATTTCCAACATTATTATTTAAAAATAGTATAAAGTTTTAAAAGAATGGATATGTATTCAAAGTGAGTATGATTAAAATACAATAATTATATTTATTTAATTGATATTTGTTATTATGGATAAAATAGCCTTGCAAGGGGAAATTAATTCACTGAAATTGGAAAATATGAATTTGAAATTTCAATTAAAAACTCTTTTGGAAGAAAGGTAAGGTGCTTTAGGAAATAATGAATAGTAAATTAATTATGATGAAAGAATATTATAACTTTAAACAACAATTAATGAATTAAAGAATAAATGCGATGATCTTATTTATAAGAATGAAGTGCTTAATGATGATTTGGAATATGAAAGGTATCAAAGTAATAATATTTATAAAGGAATAAATCTTAAAATCTTACATTATTTAATAAGAGGGACTTTAGTTCTCCTAATTTTTAAGAGTAGATTAACAATTTAAAGAAGAAATTAGAAGTAGATTTTAAGAATAACAATCAATACTCAGATGAATTAGTCAAAATAATTGGTAATTAATATGAAACAATTGTTTAATTGGATTTAGATAAATAAAAACTATTGACTAAATTAAAACTCTAAACAAATTCAGGTTTAATAATACAAGATGAGGATGATTAATTGAATGTTAATGATTTAAAATAGAATCTAGAATAATCAAAAAGATAAATAATAAATTTAGAGTAGTAACTTCATGAAAAATAATAATCATTTGATGAATTGAATTAGAAATATGAAATACTATTTAATTAATTTTAATAATAACAATAAGTACTTTAGAAAAATTAAGCAAAACCATCAATATTAGATACACTACAAAAATCTATTATTTAAACTTAACCTAGCTATGATATTCATCAAAGTCATTTTAGTAAATCAATAATCTAATCAAAATGAGTATAATTGTTATTAAATAATTTATAAGAATTTATAAAATTATATAATGTATTCTAAATCAGATTAGAAGATTACACATACAAATGTTCATTAAAGAGGAATGTTATCTTATGAAAAAAGACAAATGAGTTTCAGGGATGAATTTGATAATATTTTTGAATATCTCAAAAAGAAAATATTATTATTAACATAGTATTAATCATAATAGACAATTGATGGATTAATGGATTATGTATTTGATATCACAAGTCCATTGCTTAAACACATTGAATTTCCAATGTAAATTCCTTATCAAACAACATTTTGTGGGAAAAGAATTTTATAAACAATTGAATTTTGGACTCTCTATTAAATCATATTTTATCTTTTAAACTAATAAAAGAATTAATATTTTAATCGTTTAGAAGAATTATTTTAAATTAGATTACATAAATGTTTAACAAAAGAATAAATTATAAAAACACATTAAAAAATATAGTAAATTGAATAAGTACAATAATTTAGTTTAAATTTTTAAAAACTAAATGAAATAAATAATGAAACTTTACAAACACTTAATAATAACAATGAATAATAATAGAATTTGAAGAATTTTTAATTTCCTTGTAAAAAAATTAAAATTATCATCAAAAAAAATAATAATCAAAGTATTATACTAATTTTATGAAGCTATCAAGAGGGAAGAGTTTTCAAATCAAACTTAAGTTGACAATATTTTTGAAAACATTATTATTGATAGAACATACAATGATACTACATTTAATGAGAATTAGACAATTCAAAATTAGAATTAGAATTAATTATAAGTATTAATAATTTTAATTATATAGTTTATAAAAGATGATTAATTAAAAGCTAATTTTAAGAAAGAATTGTAAGAATTAGTAATAGAGAGCATTAATGATACTATAAATAATAATAATGAATGCATAGAAACTGAAATATCAAGAACTTAAAATCCAAGAAATGAGATAAACTAAGTAAATAATGAAATTTAAAAAGTTCAACTCACTAGAAACTTTATATTTATCTTCTAATGTTGAATTTGTAGTTTTGATCCATAATGTCAACAGAAACAATTCAAATTCTCTAATTTAAGTGTTGGAAGGTGAATATGAAGGATAGTTTGCATTGTATTAATTTAAAGAAGCATAAGATGAAAATGTTTAAAAGGAAGATTTTAATTATTATCAAAATTATCTTGAATATAGAAAAGTACGTCAGAATTAACCTATTGTTGTGATACATAAAATGCAAGTTAAAAATGATTCATGAATAAGATTATTTATGTAAATAATTTATTACCATTCATAATCAAATAGAAATTCTATTGAAATAATATAAAAATCAAAGAATTTAATCTAATTAATTATATAATATATATTCGAATTATTTGAATAACTTCTAATATTTTCATAAATCTAAATTAAATATAGATTGGTCTTAAATTCTAAGTGTAATTGATTAATTTCTAATAAATTTTGATAATATGTTTTAACAATATTTGATGGTTACTTATAATTAAAAGTATTAAAATTTTAAATATCAATAATAAATGATAATCTATAATAATTATTGAACAAATCATAACAGTATCAAATTTTTAAAATTGCTTTTTCCTTAGATTCTAATGCTTTCTCAAATTCCTCTAATGAAAACTAATTTTATAAACTAAATTTACAATTTAAGTTGGCAATGTCTTAAAATATCCTTAAATATTATTTAAGACTTCATTCATCATCAATTTTAATTGAATGATATTTTTACTTTATAATGTATCTACAAATGAAAATCTATTAATTATTAATTACAATTACCCAAATATTTTTTTATTTTAATACATCAAATTTGCACTATAGATTCCATCAAGTGATTTTTTAGAATAATTAGCATAGAGATATGCTCTTGATCCATTAGGCATTAGATTCAATATTCTACTTAATAGATCTCCTCCCATCGAATCAAATAAAACAGTTGTACTTAATAAATAATTATAAGATTTATACTTATATGAAGATGACATTAATTTTAGTTTTTCATCAAAATCATCTTGATTTATATTTAAAATGAGTTTAGCTCCTTCATCTTTTAATACTTTTTCCTCTCCTTAAGATTTAACAATATTTATGACATTTATTCCTTTATATTAACAATATCTCATTAACATTCTTCCAAGATTAGTACAAGCACCAGTTGAAATAATTCCAGAAGCATTTCCAAGTAATTAATACATCATTAAAACAGACAATGGATTAATAAAACTACAGCAACCTTCTTAAAATGAAATGTTTTTAGGCAATTCTGCACAATAATTAACATCTGCAATAGCATATTAACCATAAGCTCCAAATTAATGTTCTGTATAAAATGCTACTCTATTTCCTTTTAATTGCCAACCAAGTAAACCACCACTAAATATTTAAAAATTCTTAAATTACCCTGATGCTATAACTGTACCTGATCCTTCAAATCCAGGAACAGTATTTACTAATGTTTTTTATCCAATTTTATATCCATTTAAGAATTCTTTATCAAATGGATTAATAGGAGAATATTCAACCTTAATCAATACTTATCCATTTAATGGTTAAGGTATAGGTATATTTTTTAAATTTATTGAGACATTGTCTTCAATATATAAAGATTTCATCATTCCACTCATTATTGTGTTATGAAAAATTTAATAATAATTTAACAAAGTTTAATTCAATAATATATTGAACGAGAAATGCCTCTTGTAGTAACATCTAAATAATTCTTTTATTTTGGATTGTTTTTATCTTTCTCTTTTCCAGCCCATTATACAATCATAGGATATTATCCAGGACCTGGTACAGGAACTTATTTGGATTTACTTTTTTTAGGATCCTTAAATCTATCTTCTCTTCCAAAATTCTAATTATATATTTGATAATATTTACATGTTTATCAGACTTGTCTTTCTTTTTTGATAGTTATTGTAATTTATTAAAGGACATAAATTCAACAGGCTCTGGATTATAAGTACCAATATCTGGCAAACATGATTTGCCTCTCTTTCTTTCTTATTCTTTGTGTTTTACAATTTAATCAGCTGGTTTAGTTTCATTAATTTTTAGTTTTTTCTCAATTCTCTATAAAAATGTCACAGTAATAATTACATGAGGATTATAATTTCCAGGACCTGGATTTATTACAGCTAAATGTTAAATTTCATTTAAGTAAGTTGGTCTTTCAACTGGTCTATTTAATAACAATAGAACAAATACGCTATTTTTTTCTTTTTTCCTTCTTCAACTTATTTTAAAACATCCTCAAGAGTAGGTATCACATTATATTTACCAGCTCCAGGAATTCCTCTTACTTTTGCTTCTTTGAATATTTAGTCTATAAATGTGCATCTATTTAAAAATACATTTTCAAAATATACCTTTTCTATGGAGCACTCTTTACTCTTCCTTCTTATTTTAATGGAACCCATGGCTTAACAATATCATATTTATTTGGTGCAGGTAACTTCTCATATAATTTTTTCAAATCTTCTAAATAATGACCTCTTTTTGTGACATGATTTCTATTTTTTTAACCTAAATCTTCAACAATATACATTACCCTTTTTTTGGGTTAAAAATTTTCTTTCTTCCATTTATTTAATTGGATCAACGTACTTTTTTGGAGCTTCATATCCTTCAATACCAAAAGCTGAAGTTTGTCTAGTTGCTATTTTAAACATATCCTCCATAGGAAAGTCTAGTTTATTTACTTAAGATACCAAAATTAGGTGCTGCTGATTATGCTCTTTACATATTAAGTTATTATATATATATATAAATTAAATAATATGTGATTGATAAATAAGTATAAATTTCTTTTTTATCAAATTAGAATAAATTTAGATTATTATCTAAACAACTTAGTTAATCCATCTGAAATATCTTATATTTATCTTGATTAATTATAAAATGAATAGAATAATAATAATATTTTATAAGCAATAATAATAATTATATTATAGAAATACTAATAAATTCTGGTTTTGTTAAGAATATAAATTATCATCCAGATTTATAATTCTGTATTAAAATATGTAATAGGATTCAATAAACAAGAAAGTTTATTATAAAGAAGTGTGTCTTTAAAAACATTAGAATTCTAAGATTCTATCAGCAAAGTTTGTTAAGGATAATAAAAATATAATTAGTATAGGAAAAGATGATCATTTTATTAAACTTGAATAGTAAGATAAATAGTGGATATTTAAAGAAGTTATTTTGGAAAATTAATAAATATAATGTTGCACTTTCAATTAAGAATTAGGTAGCTTTGTTTATGCACATAAAAAAGGATAAATTGATCAATTAAGTTATAATTAAGAATAAGAGAAATGGGTATCAAAAACAATTAGAGAATCTGAAGGCAATTAAATTCTAGAATTATAATTGAATAATAACTCAACAAAAATGGTATAATGCTTATATGATTTTGCAGTTGTTTTGGAATATTAGAATTAAGAATGGATTGAAACATTTTCTTTGAATGAGACTTTTACTGAAGATGAATGCATATTTTCAACTAGTGTAAGTTGTAATCGTGATTCCTAAGAGATAGCAATTGGATTTACTGATGGTCATATTTCTATTTGGAAATAAATAAACAATTAATGGTAGATTAATTAAAGGATGGAATTACATCAAGGTTCTATAACTAAGGTGAGATTCAGTAATTCAAAAGATATATTAGTTGGTACTGATTCAAAAGGTAATACAATTATTTGGGAAAAAAGTGAATAAACTTAAAAATATGAGTTATAATGTTAGTATTAAAGTGATAAGAATATTGAAACAATATATTTTAACATAAATTCAAGTATACTACTTATTGGAGAAGGTTCATAGGTAAGAATTTTGAAATAGATAAAAGAAAATAAATGGGTGTTTATGTAAACAATAGAGGTGAAAGATATTGTTTCATGTATTGATATATCAAATGATAATAAATAATTGTTAGTTGGATAGAATAATGGATTTATTAGTATATTTGAGTATGTTGGATAATGATGTAAAAAATAAATAAATTATATTAATTAAACATTATGAGTTAATTATCTACTTCTATATCTAAAATATTTGGAATAATATTTGTAAGATCACAGGATGGTACAAGACTATATTCAAAATACTACCCATAATTATTTCCAAAGAATTTATTAAGAGTACCAGAAGGTGTGCTTACAAATATTGACGTGTAAAAATAATTTGAACATAATGTATGGGAGAAGGGAAAGAGAGTTGGAGCTCGTTTGACTAAGGGAAGTGAAAGTATAATTAATGATTATGATTTTAAAGCTGAGATATTTCAATATTGTTAGTTTAACATTGTAATGAAGGCATTTAATGAAGTACACTTGTTTGTTTTGGGTGATTTTGAAGAAAATGAGATAATATTATCATAAGTTATAAATGGAATCTATGAATCATTAAATCATATAACAAAAGATCATATCAATAAGAAAACCTTATTAGAGAATTTTGATCAAGTCATAATTATAATTGATGAGATATGTGATTAGGGGTATATATTTATAATATAATTTATCATAGAATAATTATTACAATAGATCCATCAGTAATTATAGCAAGAGCAACTATGAGAGATACAGAAGCAATCAGTTTAGAAAAATAAGAAACAAGTGGTTCATCAGGAGGAGGAGCATTTTCTTCAGTATTTGCATCTGCTAAGAGAACATTTGCTCAATAATTTATGGGATCTGGTTGAATGTTATTAAAATTTTAATATAATGAGAATAGAAATATATGTTGTTTAATAATATTTATAATTTTAAGATGAGAGGTTTATTACTTAAATTTAGATTTACAGAATAGATATCAACTTCATAAATTTTACAAATCAAGAGATTCTATAAAGATGTTAAAATTGAAATGGCATTTGGAGTGGTTAATCCATAAAATCAATGGTTAATAAAGGTATATTGAATCTAAATAGATGATTAGTTAGATGGGAAAATAGTAAAGACTCCATCCAAAAATGAATTAGCATTACCCACACCATAATTAGCTTAATGTATTGCTGATGAATATAACTCATAAACAGAATTTATTAATCCTATTACTATGCCATTAATGACATTGGCTAGAAATGCTGTTGATATTGAAGCAGATGAAAGTATGAGAGAATTTATGGAGCATTCAATTATTAGTTATTTAGAGAGAGATACTATTTTATTTAGAGAGTAATCACATTCAGAACTTTATTAAATATAAATGTAAAAATTAGACCCTCAATTAAAATTATTCAATCAAAAATTTGGTATGCATTTAAAGGCTAATTTTGGTTTGGATGTAGAACCTTTAAAATAATATGATTAAATTAAAATAGAAACAATTCTTAAAGAATTAAATAGTTGGCAATTAGTTTGTCTAGATTCTAAAGTTGGTATGTTTTTATTAATAATTAGAAAACTTAAAGTCATGTATTTTGGCTTTTCAAATCTGGAATAATCATATTGATATTCAAGAAGCAGTCAAATTATCAAGAATTGAAGAAGATTATTAAATCTCTTTAAATGGAAAGGTCGATGGACATCATGATATAGATGAAGATACAATCCTTACCAATGTTAAAGCAGCAAAACTCTTTGCCTAACTTATTCAAACTTAAAGCATTACTTATTGATTTGTGGTTAGTTTTATATTGATATAATAATTAATATATTCATTAAATGTATAACCGTCCAAGTTCCAAAACTAGATATTAATAAGAACCTACTATGGATTCAATCAACCTTAAAGAAAAATAATTATATTTATAATCTAGTAGTATAAGTAAATCAATATTTCATTCATTTCCTATATAGATCCATTAACAGGTGCAATGTTGAGACCTGATTAATCATACAATTAATAGCAATATAATAATGCTAATTTTGATAAGAAAATAGCTCTATAGGCCAGCTCTATTAGTAAATTCTTAAACAAAAATTAGATCCTCTTACTGGTGCTCCTCTTGTCAGAAATCCAATTAGTTATTAACAAGATCCTATCCAATAAAAATATCCATACCAAAGTGTCTAATAAAATGCTGGTGGCTATGCTACATCAGCAAATTAAATTGGATCTGGAGGCAATGGTAACGATGCATAATTTCAAAAGAATTTGGTTAAATTTTTTGCTGCTGATGACCCAAATTAAATCTAATCAAAATCTTATAATAAAACAAATAATTCAATACCATCAGATCCTTAATTTTAGAAGAATCTTGTTAAATTTTTTGCTGCTGATGATCCTTCTTAGCCAATTAGATAAAATAATAATATTAGATAAAGTAATTCTAGGGCAAATAATAATGCATATTCACAATAATCATATCCATAATATTAAGGATAATAATCAAGAAGTTAAAATGATCAATAATTTTAATAAAACTTAAATAAATTCTTTGCTGCTGATGATCCCTCTTAAGTAAAAAAACATTCAATGTAATAATAATACTCTAGCCATTCATAATAATAATAATAAAGAAATCAATAATTTAATGAGGCTCCTCCTGATCCTAGATTAGTGGGTGATCCCAATTTTTAAAAAAATCTTAATAAATTTTTTGCTGCAGATGACCCATCCCAACCAAAAAAATAAGTAAATAAACATTCTTAATAATAATAATAAATTAATGCTATTGAACAAAATAAACTCTAAAGACTAGAATAAGATCCTAGATTCTAAAAAAATCTATAATAATTTTATGGAATTGATGGAGTATCTCAACAAAATAAAAATGGCTAGTATGCATCATTTTTTATTATTATAGAAGTGTTTAAGGAACTATTCAATAATAGAATAAGTCTATCAAAGTACTTGCAATTACTGATAGCAGTTCAGCAGCAAGAAATTAAGTGTCTGCATTCTTTAGAACAAGAGGAATTGATGATTTTGATGTATTTACAAATCCTGGAGGTGTGTTTGGGTTACAGAATAATCCTCTTTAAGAGCAATGCTTAAAATAATACTTAGATACTATGAGCAATGCCTATGTTATTAAGGAAGTATATATAATTTCTGTTCTTGATAACAGTAGTGTAATTTTATAGAATTATTTATAGAATGCAAAAATATACACTAATGCAAATGATAAGAGATCCCATTAGATAGCAATTTAAGATTTAAAGGCCGTTTTAGAGAACAAATTAAGTGTTTAATTTAAATTGCATGGAATTATTATAGATCAAAGAGGAGCATCAGAGAAGGCTTTTTGAAAAATATGTTCAAATTATCAATATAAATTATGTTTCCTAATTTGTCAGAACCTCATTGAAAATATTATTTATCTAAGCAATTATTGTTTCTTTGTTTTCTTATCAGAAATGAGATTATTTGGCATCTAATTGTTATTAAAAATTTTATTTTTTCTAATCACCATATTTAAAGCATACTAACAAGAAGATTTTATAAAGTTATTTCCTTTTAATAAAACTCTTATTAATTACTTCAATTTAGATAATGTGTTTTAACATAAAAAAATAAATCTCAAATGGTGAATTAAATATTAAATATCTCTATAAAAACATATATGAAGGTCAATCTGTGAATTTAATTATTCTCCTTTTATTTCTTAATTTTTATACTATATTGATAATAAAAATTTAAAGTTTAATTTGGGAAAAATCATCAGCTTTCTTATTAAAATTATTAGTTGTTCTAATAAAATTAAAATAAATTGAAATTCAATCTAACAAAATTAAAGATAAAGTAAGAGCAATAGTTAATTTATTATACTTTATTATAAAATATAGGTATTGATTAATCTACATGCATCATCAATTTAATATTCCAATATCAAAATTATAATTTAGACTATTTTGTCAACCTAGATAAATGATGCTTTAATAATTGATTTGAATTATTGATATTTAAGTTATTGTTTCTAAAATCTTATTCCATTTTAAACAATATTTTAAATCATGATTATATATAAATTAGAGTAGAATTGTGAATATTTAATAATAATAAATTAATACATTTTATCCATTTATCCAATTAGTCTGGCGTTATCAAAGCAATAAATTTCTTTAATAATTTAATTTTGTATTTACAATATATAATTATCATTTTATTATAATAATGCAAAATAAATAAATATTTCTAACATATACTTCAAATTATCGAATTAAATAGCAACTATTGATTAATTTAAACACAACATTAGATCATGTGTAGATATAAGTTATACTTACATAACTAATTTTTTGATCAAAGCAACTTTTTTTAATTATGTCATTCTAAAAAATTACAAAGAATTATATATTGTAAAATTGTTCATCTTAGAATGATGGATGAAAATTGAAAAGATATTTTGAAAATAAAATACATTTAACCTTGTGATTTTCAAATATTTTCTATAATTATATAAATATTGTTAATTCATCTATTATTTACTTGCTGAATTCCAAATAAAATGATTTATAATCACTATTCATTTTTCTTAATTGAAGATAATTATTTTAAGATATGAAATACGCTAAAATTTCAGATGACACACGAAGAGCTTTCATCGAAAAAGTACAATAAGGAGCTTGTACAATAAAGCAAGCAGCCAAATAATTTGGGATCAAATTCTCAACTGGGAAAGCGATCCTCTCTCTTTATAAACATGAAGGTCGTGTGGGGAAAAAACAAAAGAGGACTAGAAGATTTAAAAAAGAAATAGAAGAATAACAATAATAAACTTTTAAATATTTAAAGGAAATACCATCTGTGGAAGCTAAATAAGTTTAGGAGGTTTAGAACTGCCAAAATAATGAATCATATATAAATTCTTATTTTCCTTAGTATTAGAACTATCAACAATGGTATTAAACATAAATATGGTTATAATACATGAATGGTCATACTTTAATGAACTATTATAATTACGGAAATATTTTTTGATTATTAATATATATTATATGATTAAAAAGATATCTTAATAATTAATGTCAAACTTATATGATTCACATAACACTTGAATTAATAAATAAATGGTGAAAAGAGAAAGAGAATTGCTTTAAAAAGAGGAGATCCTTAAATAATTTAATTAAAAATAATAAAAATAATTTCATTGATTTTTTTATTCCCAACAAAATTTAATTATTACTAATTATAAATGCTTACATTCAATTCTAAAATTATCAAAACTTATCAAATATTAAATACAATCATTTCATAATTTCTTCCACATATTCCACACTACTAATTTCTTGCTTCGTATACTAAGTCAAAATAAAGTATTCATTTTTAGTTTTTTAGTTAAAAAAATAAATTTAGATATTTGAGTAATAGATGGAACATAATTTAGTAATAAAAAAAGTTTATTTGTATATAAATATAATATATCAGAAAATTGAATATTTTAATTTTGATTTAAACAATATTACTTATTTTTGTTATCCTTGATTAAAAGTTGTTTTTTTATTTGTATATTGAACCAAATATCAAAAATTTTTGTTATTAATTTTACTAGATATAAATTTAAAGAAATGATATGATTTTTTTGGTTTAATTAAGAAAAATAGCCTTGATTTTAATTTCTTTAACCTATTTAAATTTTTATAATTAGTTATAATAATCATGTAATAAATATAGATTAATTGAGAAGAATATATTCTAATTCTTTTTTATTAAAAAGGAATTAGAAAAAGCTAGCGATAGATAAATTTATCAAATTATAATTAAATAATTTTTCATTATAATTTTCAATGAATGAATTTATTTTATTTTTCTTTAAAGAATAATATTTTGGATTTAAATTAATTTTTACTATGAATTAATTATAATTAATATTTATTATCATTATGAATCAGTCTCTTACCTACCTAAGAACAAAATTTTCCTTTTTAATTATTTTTTTAATTTAAGTAAATATATACAAGTAAGAGTAAAATTATATTTTTATCATTCCAAGGAGATTAATTTTTCTGATTTAGTTTATTTTTTATTAAACAAGATTTTAATTAGAATATTATAATTAGTTTTTATTAATTCTGACATATTAAGCTTATTAGATCAATACAATTATATTATATGTATAAATGTGAGAGAATAATTACTAAATATTAGATGTATCTGTTATGCATAGTTTACACATGAAAATAATGAAGAGATTAATTTTTTGGATTCAGGTTTATTTTTCTTTTAAAATTGATAGTAATCAATAGGCATATAATTGTGATTATTCTTTTTTTATTTTTCACTATAAATTTAAATAGACTATGTTTATGAAGTAAAAAATATTAATCTCATATTATTATCACTAATACCATAAAAGTATTATTATTTAATGTTTTTTCAAAGTTAGAGACATATAATAAGAAAATAAAAGTTTATAAAGTAAAACTTAGAATTTAAGAAATTGAATTTTGTTTAAGAATAAACTCATTAAACAAAAAAATTAAATATTCAAAAAATTAACATCAATTCAGATAATCTTTTTGTATTTCTCAAAAAACCAATTTGGTAATAATTTATCAATTAAAGAGGAAGTTTAGAAAGGATTCTTAATTAATTCTAAAATAAGACTTTATATAGTATCCATTATCAGTAGAAAGAATTTATTTAAATTAAATTCCTTTAACTTGTATATAAGATTAAAAATAATAATTAAAATTTATGGGGTGTTCTGTCACAAAAACTAAAATAGAGTAGAATCTAAATAAATCTAAAACAGATAAATTTGAATCATATTTGATGACTCAAAGCCTGGTACATTCACCGCCAGTATCACGAAGCAAATAATATTCAATTGAAAAAAACCCAATTATATAAAGGAGAAAACTAAAGTCTTAACAAAAGATAAGGACTCCATCGGTCATAGACAAGGATGCTTTTTCTGTTTGATTTATATATAAAATTTCTATGTTGATTTAATATCTATTCTGATATTATTTAAAATATATCAAATCTGCATCTATTCGATAATTTGATATTTTGTTATTCAGAATTAGAAAATCATCAACTTGATTCTCACATTAAATTTCAAGATGTAGAACTATTAGTTTATAGCCTTGATATTTTAAAACATAATATCTCATATATAAATGTTAAATTAATCAAACAAATCAATAATAATATGACTTTTTAAAAGAAACTCAAATGACCCTAAATTTGATAAATTTCGTTTTTATAAAATTAGTCCTGAAAATTAATATTTTTTAGAAAATTAATTGATTGATTTCATTTCCAAAACTAGTGATTAAATTAGAATATGAACTATTTCAAAGACTAATTTGTATATTGATATGGTATGTGTATATTATTTGAATAAAAATCATTATCATATTATAAGGTTGGACTTGTATTATTCTTTTGATATATATATTTTTAATATAAGAGTTTATATTGTCATAAAAACCATATGATGAAATTAAATTATACTTGTTTAGATTGTTCTGATATGTGTAAATAAAACAACTACATTATTTGAGTAAATCATGCACAAATATATTGAATTGGTTTAACTAATGCAAAAGAAAAGAGGATTCATAATTATCGTTAACAAAAATTTTATAATGAATAAAAAATATATTACAAACGAATAAGAAATTTATAATATTTTTATCATTTTATAAAATATTATGAAATAGTTTTAATTTATGTTATGGTCGAACTAAATTTTGCAATAATTCTCTTTTGAAATAGAATTATGAAAAAATCTTAGGAAATTTTTATTAATAACAAAAGCTAATAGACAAAAAGGTTCAATTATTATTGTAATTGTAATTTTTAGCAGTTATAAGAATAAGATAATTAAAAATTTGCATTCATAATAGACTTTAATTTATTTTAAAAAAATGATAATATTTTTGTGAAACCCAATATTTTCATGAATTATAGAATTACTTACTGGAATTAATAGAAGGAGACGATGATAAAAATTGTGATATCCAGAGTAAATAGTCGTTTATTTGATTACTTGCTTTTGCAGACTAATTAAAATAGAAATTACTTTTCAGCTCTAAAAGGATGTTTAATTCGAAATTAAAGTTTGAACTCTGTTGTTTCTAAATTGATCTTCAAATATATAGTATAAAGCTAAGTTGTAAAAAGAAGTCACATTTCTTATTGAAACTGAATTACAGAATTAAAACAAGTTTTTACAATTAGGAAAATAATTGTTGAAGAAAATTTCATTATATATCACAAAAATAATTTCATTTGAAAAACTTTCTTATATGATATAAGATGAAGATTGATAGAATAAGATTATTAGGGAAATAATAAAAATTATTGATTATAAATTTCAATACTTTTTAAATAATATTTTTTTTCTTATTATATTTAATATAAATAATATAAAAATAATTGTAATATAAATTTCAATGACTTAATGAATATTATAAATTAAGTAATTATTATTAGGTATAATGAAGATTTGTTATGACTTCATTTTTCTCAATTATTGCATTTTATAACTATCTTTATAAAATAGCACTATTAGTTATGTGTTAATTTATTGAATATACTAATCCATCATTTTCACTTTTTAATTGATAATATCTTTTAACTAAATTCTTATAATTAACTCTTAATGTCTCTGTGTCATTAGTCTTATCCAAAATGAAAGTATTTTATTCTAATAATCTAATATTTTCATCTCCATATTCAGATAATTTATTTAACAATCTTTATTGTTCCAATTCCTTTTTCTTAAATTCATTATTAACATTTTATAATTCATCTAATTATTTTTATAATTATTTAATTCTCTCAATATAATCATTCCTTTCTTTTTCTAAAAGATTCTATTATAATTTAAATGATGAATCCAATTATTATATTTATTATTTTTAATTCTTTAATTCTTCCCCTAATTTTTAATTTTCTTAAACTAATTATTAACAAGTTCTGCTTTTTTATTGAAATAGTGTATCAATATCAACTAATTCTTATTCTAATTTTTAATATCTAATTAATTTTCCATTTAATATTTCAATTTCTAATTCTTATTTTAAATTAATCTCTTATTATTAACTTAACTTCTTTGATTTAATTTAGCATTCATTTGTTAAATCTTCAATTTTATTTTTATATGAATCTGAAATAGAATTTTATGTTTCAATTTCTCTTTTATATTATTTTTGAACTACATTTATTTCATCATCTATTTTTTTTTGATTTATTAGTTCAAAATGTTTAGCTTGACTATCAATATCAAATTAATGTTTTTCTTTTAAAGAATTTAATAATGAGTATAATCCTTCATTTTATATTAATAATTCTGATGCATTTAATTTTAAATTATCTAAATCCTTTTAGCAATCAAGATATTTTTATTAAACCTCTTGTTAATTCTTTTTTAGTGTATTATTTTCATTATTTAATTATCTGTTTTATTTTTCCAATTAATCACAGTATTGTTTTGTTTCATATTATTCTTACTCTTTATAAACATTACTTTGCATCTTCTGAACTTAATATTGTAATTCTTAATACTTCTTTTTAATTAACTCACTATCATTGTATTATATCTATAAATCATATTACAATTAATCTATGATATTAAGTAAAAAGCGTATTTCACCTTAAGGATCTTTTATTTACATTTCTTCTTTATCAAAAGGATAATGCTCCAATGAAGATGAAACATTAGCAGGAGATTGATGAATGACAGGAGATTAATGATATTTATGAAATCTAGGACTTGTGCTAATCTTATAGCTACATTCTTGAGATGAATTTAATAGATCATTCTCATACCTTCCTTTCTTGCTACCATATTGTTGAAGCTTTTCAATTAGCTAAGACTCACTCATGTCAGTTAATAATATAATTATAGTAGTAAAAAAATTAAAAATATATATAGAATATCGAAATAATAGAAAAGAAATTCAGGAAGTAGTTCCTTATAAATCGATTTATCGATCAGTAATCATTTTACCATTAATCCATTCGGATTAAACTTCTTTAGATTAATCCATTTTCAATATACCTTTACCATGTTATTTACCCTATTTCCATTCTCCTTTATAATATCTTCCATCAGACCATTCAAATACTCCATATCCTTCTTTTAAATCATTTTTGTATCCACCTTTATACTTTCTTCCATCTGGCCAATTAAAAGACTACAATAAGATTCTAATTAATACCCCTTCTCCATCCATTCTATTTTCTTTCCATTACCCATCATATACTTTTCCACTTTTCCAATAATAAACACCATGTCCATCCATTTTATTACTTTTAAATTCTCCAATATACATATTTCCATTTCCCCATTTAAACATTCCTCTACCTTCCTTTTTACCATTTTAATATTCACCTTCATAAGAAGATCCATCCTACCAAGTTTCTTTGCCATGTCCTTATTATTTATCATTCACCCAATTTCCTTCATAATTTGCTTAATTTTTGAATCTATGGTATTTACCAAAACCATTTGCTTAATCATTCTTCCACTAACCTTCATAATAATCTCCAAATGAATGAACCAATCTACCATAACCAGATGTTTCATTATTAACAAAACCACCTTCATAATAACTTCCATCTGGCCATAATAATTTACCATAACCATGCTTTTAAGTATCCTTCCATTCTCCAAAGTATATAAAATCATTATCAAATTTAATTGGAGGATTTTGTTCTCCTCTTTCAATACCATGTGGAATTTCAAGTAATGGTAATTAACTTAAGACAGTTCGTACAATTTGATTTGAAACTTCAGGAAAGAACTCTAAACGCTAACCTAATTTTGGAGCTTCAACACTTGCCAATCTTTTTATTAGACATGATTAATTAAATAGAGTATGTTCTTTGACATTATTTGCCTCTGAAAATTGAATAAATTGAATTACTTAAGCCAATCTTAACAAAATCATCTGCTTCATATTCTCTTACATCGCAATCCTCGTTATTTATAATTTGTTTTTCTAAAGCAATTAACTAATTCTTAGTTTATTAAGTAGGTTGTGAACAACAATCACTTGTATTTCCCATTTAATTATTATATTTATAATACATCATTAAAGAGGTATTTTATCTATATTACAATGGGACAAGAATGTTAGAAATGCTAAATGAGGCCAGAAGTACAACATTAAAGTGAATTAAATAAAAAAGAAGAAATTAGTTCTGATTCTGATTCTGATCCTGAATATGAAGAAGAAGACGAAAAACAGCCGTGTAAATATTAATGAGTTTATAATTAGAAAAACCACCTTCAATGGATAGTAAATCAAACTCTTCTACATTTTTTAAGGAGCAATACATTTCTTAAAATTCAAAGCATGAGTAAATTGAAAGTCTTTAGAATTAAATAAAATTTGAAGATGGTGGAATCTATACTGGAATGATTATAAACAATAAGGCAAATGGATTTGGGAGATTAGTTATGCCAAATGGAGATATATATGAGGGCAGTTTTATTAACAATTATTTAGAGGGAGATGGAAAATGTATTTATGCAAGAGGACCTATATACACTGGATAATTTAAGTAGGGAAAATCAAATGGAATTGGTAAAGAAGTATGGCCTGATGGTTCTGTTTATGAAGGAGAGTTCTAAAATGGTAAAAAGAATGGAAAAGGAATTTATAAGTGGAGTTAGTAAAGTACATATAATGGAGAATGGTTGGATAATATGATTAATGGAATTGGTAAATATGAATGGCCAGATGGTAGGGTAATTTATTAGTTATTTAGAACATAGTCTTATTATGGTTATTGGGTTAGAAATTAAATGCATGGTCGAGGATTTTATAAATGGATAGATGGAAAATATTATGATGGAGAATATGAAGCCGATAAAAAGTCTGGATTTGGTATTTTTAATTGGCCTGATGGAAAATAATATTAGGGTTATTGGTTAGATGGAAAATAACATGGAAAAGGACTTATGATTAATAAAGAAGGAAAGAAAAAATTTGGAGAATGGTAAAATGGTAAATTAATAAGTTGTTCTGATGAATCTAATTTATAAATTATTCCAGATGGTTGGTTTCTGAACACTTTTAATTAATGATTAAATTATTTTACTTGTATGTATATTCTTTTTTTATTATTTATTTTATCAGTATTTTAATAATATAATTCTTCTTATCACTTCAAGAAAAGAAAATAAATTAAATATTATATTTAAATTTGTATTTTATTAATTGAAAACATAGACATGATTCAGCATTCATTATTTTTAGCTGTAAAAAAGAAGCATATATTTAATTTTCATTAAAGATTTTTCCAATCCATCAATCATAACTTTCATATTTTAACATTATTATAGTTTTTCAAGGACTTCTTATTTTGAATTTGTGTTTTAAATAATACTTGAAAATATGTCTTTATATAATTTTTTAATTGCTTTATTTTTAATTTTCTAATTCTTTCTAATCTTATTTTTTCTTAGAGGAATCAAAGAATTGATAGAAATTTGATTAAAATCCTAACCCCCTGAAGGCTATTCGATCTATTAATTGTAACTATAAAAATCTTGATTGTTTATGTCATTTTCATATTTATTCTTGTGAGTCTAACGACCAAACTGTATTGGAGACGATGAAATATCAAAGAATTCATTTTCATTCCAAGATTATTGAGGCCAATCATCTTCTGTAGATTAATATTAATCAAGATTCATTATTATTTATTCTAAATTATATTATTAGGCTCCATTTCAAGATTTATATTACTACATAATACGTAATATTTTTGATTTAATTGATATTTCTATAAAAATAAACATAAGAATTTAATTAATTATAAGAAGAAATAGAGAAATTTTTATTAATACTTAATTAGTTAAATACAAGTTATGTCAATTCAAATCTCTTTTGGAAGTGAATTCTAAATTTTTATAAAATTCTTAAGTACTTAATAATATTTATTTTATCCCTTTAAGTAATTAGTTATTTTTACTCTTTGTAAATTTGCCATGGCCTTTACTATTAACCATTATTAATTATGAATTAATATTTCAAATTTTATAAGAATTATATTAGCTAAATTTTATAAAGTTGCTAAATTATGAATAAAAAATTGAGAAATTAACTTAAATTAGTTAAAAATCCAATGTTTTTTTATTATATAATTAGAAGATTTTTATATTTAAGTAATAAAAATCTAAATATTATCTTATAGATATGATATAGTAATATCTATATTAATAATCAAAATAAATATATAAAAATGATTATTGTTATTTCAAGTGGATATATAATTAAGAACATATATTAAAGTTAAGTTGAGATGAGCGAAATTCATTAAATTTAGAGTAAATTCATAATATTAGAATTTTTTAATCATTCATTTATTTATTTAACAATCATCATTTTTTTTGACTAGTCTCTATTCTTTTTACATTTATTTTATATTATAGCATTATTTTTAAGTCCATTTGAAAAGATGTTTTATCATGTTTAATGTATATTGATATTTTGGTTAACAATATTGAATAATATTGAATTTAACATGTTATTATAATGAATTTCCAATTATAGAATGGATTCTGTTTGTATAAGATTTAGAATGGAGTTTGAATTAATGTTTGAATATGAATTATATATTTTTATAATATGAATTAATAAATAGTTTATTTTTTGATGATTTTAATACAACTATTAATTAAACAACGTGCACATTATTGATATTAATTAATTTAATAAATGTCTGAAAAAGCTTAACTAGCCAAAGATGCAATAAAGAGAAGACAAGGTGGAGGCAAGAGTCGTAAGATATTTGTGTTTACATAATTTAGCATCAAAAACAACAGAGAATGGAGGATAATCAGGATTAAATTTCTATTCTGGAGATGTCTCATCTCTAAAAGTTCAACCAAACACCGTACTTATAATTAGTCTTGTATATTTGGGAATCGTTGTGCTCTTACACATATTCAGCAAACTTAGATCAGGAGGAGCAGAAGCAACTCCAGAAGGACAATGATTCATATTATATTATATAAATATCTACGCAAATTTTGTTTATTAGATCATAATCATATATTATTGTAAGTTGAAATCTTAATACTAAATGTTAAAGAGAATATAATTAATAATATAGAAGAATAAATGAAAATGAAATTGGATGATCTTAAGAATATAAATTTGAAAAGTACCTTAATTATCCTTAATTTAGGATATATAAATTAAATGTTATTGTAATTTAACTTTTATTGAACATATTACTAAATGTAGAAATTTTAGATTGAGATAACAAATTATATTTTTTTAAATATTTCTATAAGAGATAAGAATTTGTATATAATGGTTTAATTCTTATTTTTGTATGATTTAAAAGTAATGTAAATTTGTTTATTGATGAAAATGAATAGAGATCAATATAAATTAAATATTAAAATAAAAAATGCATTTGAGGTATTATTTGAATGAGGAAGGAAAAAGAGTTTATACTTTAAAAAACACTCTTGATGATGGTTCATATACATTTAATGCTCATCCTGGTATTGATAAGAATTAATAATATAGCTAGATTTAGTCCTGATGATTTAAATTAGAAATATCGTGTTGAATTAAAGAAGAGATTTGGTTTGTTACCAACTTAAAATGAACCTCATTAATTTTGAAATGTTAATGATTATAAATTTATAATTTTATGCAATATCAATTTACAAATATATATATGAAGAGAGAATAACTAAAGAAGATAATGTAAATATTTTTGTTAAAAACTAATACATTATTTTAATATAATTCGTTTAAATATGTCTTCAAATATAGAATTGGTTCCATTTTATAGTTCATTACTCCGTACAATTTAAAGTATGTACCAATAGAAATTGATTACAGCAGAAGAAAGAAGTGAATTAAAGAATTTTGTTGTTTCTCATGATTCGAAAGATTTAGGGCAATTATTTAAATCTTATGAAAAAGGATAATTGGAATAATTTATTTTGGAAAATTACATAAATCCAAGAAATAATGAATAATTTATAGAAGATGAAGATGATTCATGTTATTCTATATCAGAAATTGAATGTTAAAAAAGTACATTAAGTTGCACTCCTAATTATTTTTTATGGTAATTGAAACAATCCAAATAAACTAAATAAGAAAAAGAAGGTAATCGTAAAAGATCAAATTCATTTACTACATTTAAATAGTTATGATCATTAAAAAATACAAAAATTTTGATTTTATTTGTATATACAACCTATTTTCATATATTCAAATAAAAATACAAAAGTCTGATATTAATATTTTATTATAAATTATTTATTAATTAAATTTAGTACTTTCTAATCTCTTTTATATAATAAATCAATTAAATCTATTTGGTAAAACTTTTGGAGCAATTAAAGTCCAAAAATAAAGTCCAGAACAAATCCAACTAGATCCTATCTTAACATTATAACTGAGTTGACTAGGCATATAAATTTCAAAAGTGTTAACTCTAATATTTGGACTCCCCCAATTTGTAATCATCATAGCCATATACATTGAACAAAAAGACATAACAATATGGAATACAATATATTGATTAGTTGAATAAGGTTGTAATTCAATTTATTCAATTAAAGCTTTTGCTTAATTCATTTATTAAGTAGTAGTCATTTCAATTTCAATCTATTAATTATTTTAAGTTGATCTATTCTTCTCACTTGATTTATCTAAAAATACTAATGATTATTTGCTTTGTTCTTATGTAGCAAATATAATGTAAACTAAAGCAATAAAATTTAAAATTCCATTAACATACATTTAAATTTTCATATTCTATGCAGAATCATAAAATATATTGATATCTGCATTTGGATAACTTGATAATGCACTAAAAGTTTAATAAGTTATATAACAAGATATACAACCTGTTGCAAGTAAAGATCCTGAAGGATTAAATCCAAATAATTACACTACTGTTAATATTATTATTATTGCAATATTTATTAGATTTATGAAGTAATTATGATCAAACCAAATAAAGTTGTAGATATTCAAAATTAATGCTAATGTATATGTTAATGAAGCTGCAGCTATTAAAGCTGATCCCATCCCTTCTATTCCCTCATCATACATTCTTGCCCATTTCTCAGCCCAAAGATAGAAAATATCAATGTAGATTATTATTTAAAATAGTAAATATATTCCAGAGGCTACAATACTAATATCAACAAAGACTTCAAAGAATTTGTTTGACATATAGAGTGTTCCATAAAAAAACACTACTATGAATCTATTTTATATTATAAAACATTACATTAATTTCAACAACCATAATCCATTATTTATCATTTTAGCTAACCCTCCTTTTTCAAACATAAACAATAGTATTATTATATAAAATATAGTAAGAACAAAACTCATCCTATAGATTCCTGATATCCCCAAACATAAATTTGAAATTCCTTCTGGACATCCAAAGTACTTTAGATAATTTATATAAAAATCCTAAATGTAGTACAATGCAATAACAGTAAATGCCATGATTAAATAATTTAGGATTATGTAAGCTAATTTAATTTACTCTTTTAGAGTTGTTTCAGCAAAGTACTTACAGCAACAACAAGCAAGATTACAAATTTATGTACCTGCACAACAAACAGCCTCACATGCAACGGTAAGACACATTATAATAATTATAATAAATAATTTATCATTTTAATTTCTAAACATATATATAATGAGAGATAACTATGGTTTTAATTGTTGTATTGTCTAAATAATAGATAGCTATAGAGATGGAAATCAAATTGATTAGAAGGACCACATCATAGAAATTCTAAAAACTATTGGACTTTCAAATTTAATTAATAACAATAATCCTAGCTTGTTTTAAAGATTAGCAAACATTCTTCTAAAAAATAATCTCATTTAATTATACTTGCTGATTTACAATATAATAAAGACTGAAATTATGTGAATAATTTCTAAAAAATATATTATATTAAATAAATAGAATCACGGTTTGACAAGGATAAGGAATAATTTGTTAATGAATTCAAAGTGTTTGATAAAGAATGAGGGTAATGAAAGTTGAATAACAAATGAAAAATATTAAGATTGATTTAGTATTGAATTAAGCCAAATAAGAACAATTCATTTTTTGAGAAAATATTCGTCATTATTATACACTATTAAAGACTATTATTGGAATCTAACAAAATTTTATTATTTTTTTGAAATAATAAAGGAAACAATTATTCATTCAGAATGTTGATTAAAATATTATTATTAAATATACATTTTTAATACACAATAATTCATAATAATATTTAATACAACCCATATGCAATTATTATTGGTAGCAGAATAAATAATAATTGGAATTTTGGTTTAGTTTATTATTAATTTTATTCCGTTTATTCATTTTCATGCTATGATCGTGAAGGAGAAGCTGTTGTAATTTTATTGGGAGAGAATGTATTTTATTCGATTTTGATATCTGAACCTCTTCTTTTTGGAGAAGACTGTTACTAAATTATATTCTCTTCAGAATTATCTAATTGAGATGCATATTATTATTCTTATTATCTACTCATTTTAATTCCATATTGCTATTTATGATAAATAGGGATACTGTATTTAATGGATTGATTTTATTAGAATTGATTAAGCGTAATACATTATAAGATAGTGAATTAACAATTCCATCAATTTGATCTTTGTCATGATTTGAAATTTCATAAAATTTAGCATTTAAAGAATCAGCAAGATTTCTTCCCTATTATGTTTGTACTTATCTAAATTAAAAAATAACCTAATACCTTTAAGTTTCTAGATCTTAATGTGTTGCAACAATAACAATTTAAATCATATCAGATGATACTTATTTAAGAATACTTAACCAATTTTCTAATGATTTAAATGAATTTNTAGAGATGGAAATCAAATTGATTAGAAGGACCACATCATAGAAATTCTAAAAACTATTGGACTTTCAAATTTAATTAATAACAATAATCCTAGCTTGTTTTAAAGATTAGCAAACATTCTTCTAAAAAATAATCTCATTTAATTATACTTGCTGATTTACAATATAATAAAGACTGAAATTATGTGAATAATTTCTAAAAAATATATTATATTAAATAAATAGAATCACGGTTTGACAAGGATAAGGAATAATTTGTTAATGAATTCAAAGTGTTTGATAAAGAATGAGGGTAATGAAAGTTGAATAACAAATGAAAAATATTAAGATTGATTTAGTATTGAATTAAGCCAAATAAGAACAATTCATTTTTTGAGAAAATATTCGTCATTATTATACACTATTAAAGACTATTATTGGAATCTAACAAAATTTTATTATTTTTTTGAAATAATAAAGGAAACAATTATTCATTCAGAATGTTGATTAAAATATTATTATTAAATATACATTTTTAATACACAATAATTCATAATAATATTTAATACAACCCATATGCAATTATTATTGGTAGCAGAATAAATAATAATTGGAATTTTGGTTTAGTTTATTATTAATTTTATTCCGTTTATTCATTTTCATGCTATGATCGTGAAGGAGAAGCTGTTGTAATTTTATTGGGAGAGAATGTATTTTATTCGATTTTGATATCTGAACCTCTTCTTTTTGGAGAAGACTGTTACTAAATTATATTCTCTTCAGAATTATCTAATTGAGATGCATATTATTATTCTTATTATCTACTCATTTTAATTCCATATTGCTATTTATGATAAATAGGGATACTGTATTTAATGGATTGATTTTATTAGAATTGATTAAGCGTAATACATTATAAGATAGTGAATTAACAATTCCATCAATTTGATCTTTGTCATGATTTGAAATTTCATAAAATTTAGCATTTAAAGAATCAGCAAGATTTCTTCCCTATTATGTTTGTACTTATCTAAATTAAAAAATAACCTAATACCTTTAAGTTTCTAGATCTTAATGTGTTGCAACAATAACAATTTAAATCATATCAGATGATACTTATTTAAGAATACTTAACCAATTTTCTAATGATTTAAATGAATTTTGATTATCTATTTTGTAAAAAACGATAGCAGCAGCAGCACTAGATTGTGTATATAAAGAATATTGATTACTTTTAACAAAAAGTTTTCTATATTGCCATAAATTAAGAGCTTCCAGACTAATTAAAATAGTTAAAATTACAGTATCCCATAATTAATTTTGAACAACAATGCCATCATTAAATTCAATAGATTTACTTTCAAATTCCAATCCAATTGTAGGATCATATTCCTATATGAATTTACCTTTAACATATTAAGACAAGAAGCAAGATTTTCCAACTCCTAAGAATAATAAATATGTGTAACCTGTATCTCCAATCAATACAAATTTAAAGAGATATTAATAATCTTCAAAATTCATATATTTAATAATAGTAAAATATTAAGTAATACATATTTCTAGATGCAATTAACTAAAAGTAATTAAGTTATAATAAGCTTTTATAGTTTATCCAGATGAAATAGAAAAAGAGTAGATTAATCATCAGATAAACTAGAACAATCAATAGTAAAAATATCCCAGAGAGTAGTTACTTGAAAATGCAAAGAACCTAGATTTAGGAGGATCTTATTAAAATTATATATATAATTGTGGTGAATGTTGTGGTAACTGTTCAGCAATTTGTCCATGTAATCCATTTGTAGAATATCCATACAAAAAAATAGAATAAGGCTATGTAGGAGTATACTTAAGATTTGGAAAATATGTGAAAACAAGTAATGAAATAAACTATTTCTTAGTGCCTCCTGGTTTATAGTATTTTAATCCATGTACAGATAAATTAATCAAAATTGATTGTAGAACTTAAATGATAGATTGTGAGAAGCAATATGTTATTACAAAAGACAATATTCTCCTATAGGTTGATGCATCTGTATATTACAGAGTATTAAAACCAAAGAAAGCCATATTTTTTATTTATGATCTATAAATGGCCGTTTCATAAATTACATTAGCATCAATAAAAAGTGTCATTGGTGCATATACCTTACAAGATGTATTAGAAAAAAGAACTGAAATTTAAGATTATATTTAACAATTTGTTGATGATCATGTAGATGATTGGGGAATAGATATTGAATTAATGATGATTAAAGATATTCAAATAGATGAAAGAATTAAATCTGCTTTAGCATAAGCAGCAACAGAATTAAGGTATATTTATTTATTCATTTTTTTAAGAGCTGCATAAGCAAAAATTTTAATAGCTGAATCTAATGTTTAATCAGCAAAATTGATGAAAGAAGCTGCTGAACTTCTTAGTTCCAAAGCAGCTATGTAAATAAGATACCTTGAAGTTATCAATAAAATAGGTTGCGAATAATAGACAAAAGTTATGATAATGTGATAAAACATTATTTCAATCATCTTTGAATACACTAAAGAACATATCTTTTCTAAAAGTAACTCTAAAAACTTCTCTCATTTTGTACTTTCCTTCCTTTTATTTATCCAATAACTTCTTCTTTATTGTAAAATATCCTCCATAACATTTAACAGTTACATTTTTTTTCTCTTTTCTTCTAATATCATTAACCCATCAAAATTGTATAAATTAAATCAAATATGAATATATATTATGGAATATTTTCCTTTAACTTTTAACAGATCTTCTTTCCAGATTAATTAACTCTTTCTTCTAATACCATCAATGATAATTCGATCATCTATTAAATGAATTAATTTTTTAATCATTTTTACTTTTTAAATCCACAAAATTCAGATTCTAATGAACTATATTCTTTTTTTTGTCATGTTTATTTAATAAAACAAATCTTAGATAATTTCATCCAAAGGGAATTTATATATATATCAATCTTATTTATTATATATCTCTATAACCAACCATTTTACCATTTCTAACTTCACACAATTAAAATATAATTGAACTATATTCTTCTGGACACATTATGGTTGCAATATCTATAGGTTATTCATAATGCTTGATAATGGCTTCATACGTATGCTGTGATTGCATTTTCAATCATTTCTTCTTTCCCATTCCTTAAAGTTGCATTATAAGGAACAATTGGTGATTTCAATAAAACACATACATTATATTCATTCTCCAAGCTTACTCTCCAAAAAACCACATTAATATCCTTTTCTTAATACTGTTTAACTTTCTATTGGAATTATTACAGTTGGATCACTCAATAGTAATTTGAAATAGATTTATTTAATTCAGTATAATCATCTAGGTCTTCTGGATAAATGCCTTAATAAAACAACTTTCTTTACTTACTCAAAACCTGCTTCGAATGATGTTTTAAATAAAGAGTGTCTAAATGTATCTCTTATTCTTGCCTCATTTTTTGTCTTTATATTTTTGTCATATGGTTTTAATTTTTTTGAGGGACTTGTTCTAAACTTTCAGTTTTTACCTAATTTTTAATAAAATTTTATACTTCAAAAAAATCATTTTACTTTTTTTAAGGCACTAGATACAATTAAATCATTTAGATAATTAACTTTTATTAATATTAATAATATAACTCCTTTGTCTCTAGCATATAAGCTATCAATCATATAATCTTAAATATTATACTAAACTCTCAGTATTTGCACATGATATATCTATTTTATTAATAAAAGGTATTTACTTTAAATTCTATTTCTTTTTCAAAATATAATTAGATAATTTTTATAACTGGATACTTTATTTTGCATCAATCACTAAGATAATACCTTTACAAAAATTAATTGAACTCCAATTTATCCAAACATTACACATTTTTTCCTGTACTTTCTAGTAATCTATTAACAAAAGTAAATATTCAATGATCAATATGAGTTATTATACAAAAATTAAGAATTTCATTTATGGTTATTTGATATTTTGAAAAAAGATGAAAGGAGGTAATTGAATTTTTATAATATATTTTAACATTACAATTAAATTAAAACACAATTCTCAATTTTGATCCTTTTATTTTGGTTTATTCAATAATTATGATCTTAATTCTCTTGCTAATTTCTTCCTATCATTTGTTTAATAATGATAAGATTTGATATCACTAAATTTATATTAGTTTTATATATTACCAAAAATCATCAAAATATAGAGAATCTATTATACAAAATGTTGTTCCAAGAATAAAGAATACACCCCAACTTCTACCCAATAATTTAAATTTCATCTCTTTTAAACTTAAATTTATCTTTTTTAATTGCATAGCCTCATAAGTATATGCAGCCATAAATGTCATTGGTAATGTGAATATTATTTTATCTTTTAAATTGCTCCAACAAATTGGTAATTCTCTGTATTTTAAAATACCCCAAGCATTATTATAATTATTTAATGTCTCTTCTAATGTAAAAATTTTTCTGCCTTATCTATCAATTGTAGGTATATCTATGGCTTTATCTGCTAATTATTAAAATTTTTCTTTCTTTTCCTCTTCTGTTAATGGATTCTCTTCTTATCTCTTTTTTATTGTATCTTACAACCAATTTAATCTACTCTATGTTAATCCCAATTAATCTAATTTTTGTTATGCATTCTAAATTTTTTAATCCAATTCTTCAGCAAATTATCTCTCTTCTTCTGTCATAGGCTCTTCCTATTATTCATTATTCTTTTCTTCAGAATTATTATTGTTCATTGAGTAAAAGTTATTAATTTATTATTACAAAATTTTAATATATAAATAAATAAATTCAAAATTATTGTTGTTTACATTTTAAGTATTTAGATTTCCAATATTAAATTTCTTATATTAATACATCCTTTTCAATATCATTCTATTTCAATTTTTCTTAATATTTTAACAAAATCTATTTAGTTTTATCTACTATAGTTTATAAATTTTCATCTATTTTAATTTTCTATTCAATTGATATTATTGGATTTTAATGTATTTATGTGGTTGTTGAATTTGGATTCACTAATTATCCTGATGAATTATTAGAGAAATTACACTTGTTTCTTTATTTCAATCTTAAATCAATGAATTCATTTTCTATAGATTATTTTTATGAATAAGATTCTGAATGTTATAGAGTTTATCTTTTTGGTTTTATTTACTTTTAATCTTTTTCATTAAGTTTTTCAAAAAGTGCAATCAAAGTGCTTCTTTCAGTATTTTATATAGGTAATTACTCAGCTTATATTTCATCAATAGATCTAACAAAATTTCCAAATTGCTTTTGCATTTCAAAATTGTTATTTGATAGGAATTCGCTATATTTATTAATGTCCTTATGTTTATTGGATTTAAGTAACTTCAAAGCATTACATTTAAGAGTTTTGAGAGAATCATTATTATCAGTTGTATGATTGTATTTTAACATAGAACCTTTAGATTTTTGTTACAAAGAAGCAGATACAAAATATTATTACTTAAGTGAATTGGTTGGTGAAACTTTAAATATTTTATGTGATTCACTATTCTTACCCAAAATGTTAAAAAGTTTCTTCTTCATCAATTGACAATCTTATTTATTCTAAATTAAAACAAATATACTTCTTATTTTGGGTTGTCTTAACCCTTAGAAGATTGAGGTTGACTATGAATTTAATGAGAATTTGACATTGTATCCTTAATAGATAGCTTAGATTTTAAGTTCTATGACTTTGAGATTGTTGCTTATTTAGAATACATAATATTTATTTTATTGTATATATATACTAATTGTTTAATTTGATAATTATGAATTAATTGATTAGATTTTAGAAAAATAAAAGAAATAAATTATTGATAATACTATTGATGGATGGAAATCGAGTATAATATATAAATTTTTATATATTTATGAAAATAATCAATTATTCAATAACTCTTTCTCTTTGGATTTATATAATGAATCCAATGATTGTGTTTACTTTTCAAATAAATCTTAGATTTATTTTTCTGCTTATCTCATGGTATCTTCAGATGTGACTTTTTTATAAGGTTTTAACTTAGGTTAAATAATTGTTTACATCATCTATGCATTCATGTCTAATTTATCTAAGATTTTATTTAGCATCTTCCATTAATTTCTTTAAATTATTTACTGCTATTATTCTACTCTCCTTTGTATTACCTTAAGCTAATTGACATACTATTTGTTTATCTTATTTCTTAACTTATAAATTAAGGTCTGAATTTTCTAAAGCCTATGAATGAAATTATGCATACCTTCATTACATCCATGATTGTTGATTCATCAAACACATTTAAAATTAACACACCTTATGATTTTTGAGATGCCTAAGCCAGAGAAGACAAAGGCAATTTTTCACCATAAGCTTAAATTGATACTCTGTCAAGCATTTCTGGTGTCAATTTCCCTACTTATAATTTCTTAAGTGCTTCTTAAAATTTTTGGGCATATTGATCAAATTTGGTTTGATATATTGTAAAATCAATTGTTTTAGAAAGTCCAAGATTTTATTTCTCTTGCTTTTTATCCATTCTTTCCTGATCCTTTTTACTAATCTTTGCAAAATTATATTAAAATTATCTTTGAAAACAACGTTATTGTATGATAACAGGTCTGAATGCTGTTGTGAATAATTTTATCATAAGTTATTAATAATTTGTTTTTGTTAATATTATGACATCAATAGAAAAATAGCCATATTATTAAGATCCAAGTTTTTAATTCTTTGTTAAGAAAGGTTTAATAAAATAGAACAAGAAAGGATAAGTTTTTCCAATTTTCACATATCGTGTTAATAGTTAACCATCTCAATCAAAATATATTGAACTTAGAGTATTTCCTTCCAAAATAGTAAAGAGATCAAATATCTAACAAAATAGTCCATCTCCTTTTGTCATTACAAATATACCAAAAAAAAATACACTTTATCAAACATATATAGACAATATAATATAGAAAAAAACTAAGGATAAATCAGAAAGTCGTAAGAGATACTCTAATTCTATTGATGAGATAAAGGGGAAACAAATTGAAACTGTTAAAGATTGTTTCCTTCCAAAACTTCATTGTCTTAATAATAAACCATAAAGGTTATAGTATCGTCATTCATTGCCAAAATAAGATATCTATACAGAACCTAATTTTGAGCCAAATCCTTCAGATAGATTGTAACCATGGGATTCAAGTTAAAAGTCATTTACTCTCTAATGAAATTGATAATATTTTTATAGAGTTACTATTTATAATTTTGATTAACAATATAATTATAGAGAATATGTAAATAAGATTATATATGATATACTAATAAAATGGGATTGGAAAAGTAATACATGACATATTTTTTAAATATGAACTTTAAAATACTATTTTTTATGTCAATTATAATTTATATTATATATGAATATGCAATTCATGTATTACTAACCTTATGATGCTTTATTTTAAAAATTCTAAAAAAATGGGAAGATAACAAGGACTGATTTGATATCAATATTGTAGGCTATGAATTACAATGATATGTAAATAGCTAGTGTGTTATCTAAATTTAATGATGATGAAATAAGTAAAAGTAATTAAGTATATAGCTTAAAATTAGTTTATGCTTAGTATAATGGTTCAAAATATTCCCACTTATAGATTTCCTACACAAATTCAACCACCTATACCTTAATAAGTAGATTAAAATTAAAATCAGCAAAAATTTACATAAGAATAATAGTAATAAATCTATGAGGATTTTAAAACCATATTAAAAGGATAAGAATATGATAAGGCCTTGAATTTTCTATGTAATAAGTGTAATAAAAATATTTTTAGAATAATATAAAGATATGGATTTAGTAAACGTAGTTGATTAACAAAGCAAACAAATTTGTTCCTACATTGTTGTATAATTTGATAATGAAGGTTTGGCATTAAAATTTCTGTCTTTATTGACTGATTTTAGGGTTAATTTAAATTTTAAGGATTCATTAAAATAGTCAATATTATTTTATATATGCAGAGATGGTAAATTGAAATTGCTTGATTTTGTATTGTCTTAGAATGCAGTTAATATAAATGATCAAGATTAATATGGATAAACACCTTTATTTTATGCAGCCAGAGATAATAAAATAGATATTGTAACAAGGTATACCTTATATATTTGATATATATATTAGACTTGTTTAAGTTGGAGCCAATGTTAATTTAGTAGATACTCTTTCAAATCAAACAGCATTATTTTATTCAGCAAGAGAAGGAAATGCTGAAATTTGTAAAATTTTAATAGATGTAAAATATTTAAATATTTAGAATGGTTGTAATCCAAATCATTAAGATTAACATAAAAAGACAGCTTAATTCTTTGCTAAGAGATTTTAGAGAAAGGAAGTAATGGAATTGTTCAATTCTTATTTTGGAAAAAGTAAAGATGATTATAAACAAAATTCTAATTATAATAATGAAAATAGTAAAGGAGAATAACCAAAATAATAAAAGAAGAAAAATAAAGATTTGCCAAAGTAAGCCTATAAATTAATGTTTACTGATGAATATGGTAATCTATAAGAAGTAACATCATCTGAATTTGCTAAATTTTAATAATAATACCCTTAAATAGCTAATCTAATAATAAATGCAGATGAATTAATAGATGAAAATGTTTTAAATTCTATGAAAGATGATGAATTATGGGAAAAAGTAGCTAAAAAAGTGTTATAAATATTATGGAAAACAAAAGGAGCATAATTATTTCATAATCCAGTAGATGAAAAAAAGTATGGTATAAATGATTATTATGATATTGTAAAAAAACCAATGGATTTTGGAACTGTTAAGGTATTTAAATTATCTATTAAAATTAAATAGTAAAAACTAAATGCAAATTAATATAAAAATTGTAAAGAATTCTATAATGATATCATGTTAGTGTTTGACAATTGTATATTATATAATGGATCAGAAAATGATATTGGTTAGATGGGAATTGCATTAAAATAAGAGTTCTTGAATTAAGTAGAATAGACTGGTCTAAAAAAACATTTATCATGATATATTATATGAAAACATATTTAATCAATTTAATGTTTATAAAAATTATATTATTAATTACTTTATTTTCCCATCTAGCTCAATAATCAAATAATCAACAAACTCATTAATTAACAATGTACAAATATTATATAATGGATATTTCTATCTATTTAATTATATTGATAAATCTTATTTGATTTTAATAGAATAACTAATCCTTATAAATGATCTATATGAATATGAAATTAAAAGTGATTAATAATAAATAATAATGATATGATAGTGGAATTTTATTTAGGGATAACAAATAAAGAAAATTTAATTGTTAACTATATATATATATAGCTAGATTATGTATTTGAAGAAGCAAAACTGAGAGAAATAAATAAGTATTATATAAGCTATAAAAAATTAAACAAGTTATAATTTATGATTCTTATGCATAATTGATAAGCGATAAAAATATGATCATAATTACCATAGGAGTTGATTTTTTTTAATTTAAACAGATAAACCAATAAAGTACAAAATTATTTTGTTCCTTAACTTATAGATTTATTAAGGATTACTTAAATAAATAGTTCTATATATATATGCTTTTACAAGAACAAGGTTATAAAAATTGAATATGATAAGATAAGTATATTTTTTAATTAAAGAAGAACTTCGAAATATTATGTAGTTGTTAAAATGAGGAAGAAACATAAAAATCATTATATCTATTTGAATTGGAATATTTAAATAGAAATTGCTGAGGTTGCAAAAAAAGGAGAAGCAATATTTTATATTTCATCTATCCAATTATAATAAAAGAAGATCAACTAATATTAGTTGAGAGTATAATTGTTAGAGTTTTGATTATAATTGGAGTGATAAGGTCAATAATTTACAAATATCTCATATTCAGTAGTTTTCAACTGAAAAGGATTATTTTAGAATAACAAAATTGTTAAATTTAAACAGAGTTTTCAAATATTATTAGAATTAATTATTCTTGTATAGCTTTTAGAGAAGGGGAAAAATATTAATGAATGATTTCATAATATATATAAATATAAATATAATAATTATCGATAAATTAGTAATAAACAAATGAAGAGGAGTATAAAATAGCAACATCAGCTCTAATTAAAATAACTGTATTGTAAATAGAAACTGAACATCTAAACTGAAGTTGATGACACACGTAACACAAAGCCAGTAAATAAATATTGTAAAGTCTAGATTTCTTTAAATTATTCTCCTTTAAATAAGATAGATTAGAGTGTATTTTCTAATAAATGGAAAATCAACAAAGGATTATTGGGTAATAGAACAAATAGAATGTTAACTTAACAATAATCAGATTCAGAGAATGAATTTCCAAATTAATTGAAATTAATATAACTATCTCAAAAAAGTTAAGTATAAACAAAAAGATCTATATCGAACAAAAGAAATAATAGTATTGGAGATTATAATTAATCTCCTAATAATTAAAATAGATCATCATTATATACAAGTTAAAAATAAAGATCGTATTCTATTCAACAATAATAATAATAATAAAGATAACAATAATAATCTTTATTTTAGTCTATTGGAATCAAATAGAATCAAGCAAATGATGCAAAATCATTTATTTAGTAATTTGAATTAACTATAGAGGAATGGGATAAATTTGGAAATAGATTCCCTTTTGGATTTCAGAGAGAGAAACTATTGGGAAGAGGAGGTTTTTCATTGATTTGGTTAGCTAAAGAATAAAAAGGTGGTGCATTATGTGCTGTAAAATAGATCCCAAGAAAATCTAAACATGAAACTCATTTTAAAGAATTAGCATTTTGCACTTAATTTTTTAATAAAGGGGGTTAAATAAAGAGTTAATATTAGTAAAATGAAGGAATTAAATACCTTTGTAAAATGTTAGATTATGTTATTGATCCTCAAGATGTATTTATAATGTATGAAGTATGTGGATTTTCATTGGGCACTTAATTGTATGACTTTGAGTCTCTCAATAATAGTTATAAGGTATAATAAGAATACATGGTAGTTAATTCCATAGAAATTAAGTCTGCTCTTTAAGTAGTTTCCTGTCTTTTTATTAAAGTTTATAAAAAGAATAACCTAAACTATAGAATTGTTAGTCAAAACTGGTTGGGTCCATAGTGATATTAAAAGTGAAAACATTCTTATCTCTTATGGATAACAAGATGTCGAATTCAAAATTATAGACTATGGTTCATCTTTCAAATTTGTAGAAGTCTTTGAAAAATTCTCTATGGCAACACCTGAATATATGTCCCCTGAAATGTTAACATTTATACTAAGAGAGAATTAAATGTCTTATGATAATCAATTAATTGAATCACTTGTTAATTATGATAAATCTTGGGTTATAGATATTTGGGGATTGGGATGTGTAGTTTTAGAAATCATTTCAGGATTACCATTATGGATGAGTTATGATACACAAGTAATCAATTATAAAGGTCAGAAACTCATGGCATAAGGTCTATTTGCTGTTACTGGTAGGAGTTTTAGTAAAATTGTTGAAAAATAAATTAAAATACTAACAAATTTAGAGTTTGTATTGAGAGAATAAAATTATTCTGGTATTTAAGTTACACCTTTATTAACTTAATTATTAAAAGGAATGTTAGCCATCAATCCGAAATAAAGATATTCACCTTAATAAATATTGAATTTACTTTAAGATATCTGATTCATTTTTTATTATATTACACATATCATTTAAATTTTATATTCTTTAATTCAAAAATTATATTCAATTTATTTTAATAATGTTATAAAATTACACAAGACTTAAAGAATAACAAATTATATTATTAAATTTAGTTTATGAGATCTAAAATTAATTCTGTAATATTTAATTAATTTAATGAATTCTTATATATCTAATTATCATAAAAATTACTTTCTTATACTATTATAAATGATATTTATAGAATTTGCAATTAGGATTATAAGGAAACTGTATTTAATTATTAAAAATTAAGTTTAACTTAATTTGACTTCTATAAATTAGATATTAAAACCATTGAAATTTATATTAATAAAATAAATATCAAATATGGCTGCACCTGATTTTGATTGTTTTAGAAAGATTAAAGTGCTTGGAGAGGGTGCTTTTGGTAAAGCACTATTAGTAGAGGATATTAGAGATGGGTACTTTATGTATTTGACTTATAGGACTTAATGGGTGAAAAAATAAATAGATATCAGTGCAATGCCTTAAAAGGAAAAAGAAGAAACAATTAAAGAAGCAAAAATACTATAATGTTTAGATCATCCTAATATTGTTAAGTTTAAAGATGTATTCGCAACTAAGTAAGGTAAATTATGTATTGTGATGGAATATGCTGATGGTAGTTAATTATTTTATTCTTAGGTGGTGATTTAGCTTTGAAAATCAAAAATTAATAAGGAAAGTTATTCTAAGAATCATAAATATTGGATTGGTTCACATAAATTTGTTTAGCATTGAAACATGTTCATGATAGAAAAATTATTCATAGAGATTTGAAAGGATAAAATATCTTTTTGAATAGAGCTGATAGAGTTAAGTTAGGAGATTTTGGTATAGCAAAGGTTTTAGGGAATACTTTAGAAAAAGCAAAGACTTGTGTAGGAACCCCTTATTATTTATCTCCAGAGATAATTGAATCGAAGCCTTACTCTTAGGCTGTAATTTATTTCAATAATGTAGAGCGATATTTGGTCTCTAGGTGCAATTTTATATGAATTATGTGCTTTGAAACCACCTTTTCTTGCAGATAGTTTACATTTCTTAGCTTTAAAAATTATTAAAGGATAATTTCCATCAATACCAAATACTTTTTCTAAAGACATGAATAATTTGATCAAAGCCTTATTACAAACATCACCATAAAAAAGACCAAATATAAATTAAATATTAAGTAATTCCTTTTATTAATATTAGAAATGCCAATAATAAGTGCCAGAATGAAAGAGTTCTTAACTGAAAGTTAATAAAAGGTAGAATTTGCTCATACTATTTTACATAAATAAGTAATTAATAATAATCGATTATTAATAGAAACTAAATTGTTTAGCTAAAATATCTGATTTAAAACTAATAGATGAAGATAATCTTAGACCACCACCTAATTTATTAAGTAAATAAAATAGTAGTCAATCTTAATCATAATCATCATTATTACAATAACCACAATAATAATAATAATAGTACTAATAACCATAATAACCATAGTAATAATAATAGTAATAGCAATAATAATAATAATAATAATAATAATAACTAGTTCAAAAATAATAATAGTATGTACCTTAATAATAATTTATTCCAAAATAAGTTGTCAATTAATAGTAATAATAAATTTAATAATAAAAAGTATAATAAATACAATAACCACAAGTCTAATAACAGCAAAAATAATAAAGCAATTAAATATATTCATAATAGTAATAGAATAAAAAGGTTTAAGGTAGATAAGAAAAACCCTTAGTTCAATAACATGTTATGTAACAACCGAAATAATATGTATAATAACCAAGACGTGAATAATCAAAGCCAAATTCTGCTGTATAACCATAAAAATAAAGAAATAGCAGCAAGAATAAATTAGTGGATGTGGAAAAACAGGAATAAGAAAGAAAAAGAATGTAATAAATTAAATTGGAAGCTGATCTTAAAAGAAAAGAGGAAGAAAAGAAAAAATTATTGAAAATTCAATAAGAAGAAGAGGCAAAAAAAAGAATAAAAGAGGATTAAAAAAAGAAGAGAGAATAACAATAAAAAGAGATGAGAGAAGATTTACAAAAAAAAAGATAATAGAAACAATTATAATAATAAAGCTAACCTAATCTTGAAAGTGAACCAAAATATATTGTTAGACAAACAATTTCATAACCAGAAAATTTTGAAGATGATTTCTTGGAGGAATACAATAGTGAAGAAGAAAATCTTGAAACTGAGGATTAATAAAGTAATAAAATTTAATTCGAATTGGATCTTGAAGATGAAGATGAACCAAATATGGATTATGGATTAGTATAATAAGAAAATGATGCAGAAATTGATGCATTATAATAAGCAATCTTATGTAAAGAATATTAGAAAGTGGTATGTTGAATTCATTTATTATTAGCTAGAAGAAGTATAGGAAACTAATAATATCGTCAATTAAATAGAAGAAGCTTAATTTGAAAAAAAAAAGTAATAGTTATGGGAATAAGTTGATCTTGAGGATGTTATAAATGTTGATGATTTAGAAGATGAAGATGATGAAGATGATTTAACCCTAACTAAATCTGCTATATAAACAAATTAAGAGTTAGGATTGAATTACTTTAGTAATCCAAATGGCTTAAGATAATATTTATCACAAGTGCTTGGAAAAGATGTATTTGAAAAAATCTATAACATCACTTAAAAGTAAATATTAAATGTAATCTGAGTGATCTTTTGACATATCCAGTAGAAGAGATTGAAAAAATAATTAACAATAACACGAAATTGTTATCATAATTAACATAATAAGAAGCAAAAAAGTTTATGCCTTTGATGTTGTAATTAGTAATATTGGAAAATATTTAATGATTTTAAATTGGAAATTCATTCTAATAAAAAACAAATCTAATTTATTTTTTATTTTTTATTATACCATTATTTTTATTCCTAAATTGATATTCTTTGATCAATCTTTAAACAATAATAATTTTATATAATACATAATTAATGGGGGCATTCATCTATTCTAGTAAATTGAAATCATAAATTGAATATTTAGAAGAGGATAATACAATTACTGTAAATGTACCTAATACCTTCTAATATTATCCTAAACTCTATTAGAAAACCTATGATGATGAAATCGATGACATAAATTTCGGAATTCATGACATACAAGTTAAAAATCAATGTTTTTTGTTCTTTTAAACATCCAAAAAGGAAGATTAACTCAATGATATGGATGATAGTAGAGAAACTCCCTCTTGGAATACACCATAAATATCTAATAAACCTGATTATACTAAAAATCCTAGAATGAAAAAATCACGTAGAAAATCTTAAACTAAGAAAAAATAAGGAAACAAAGTTGTTTAAAGAATAAATCTGGAAGCCATATATTGATTTAAATGTTTTATGTACATAGTGTAATTTATAAATATTCAAATAACATCCTTCTCATAAATTTTTCATCAATTAAAAAAATCTTATCTCTTAATACTTATAATCAAAAGATAATTAAATATTAATTAATTACTTAATATGAAATTTAATACATAATATAAAAACACAAATTACCTTATAATTTAATTTATGCTTAGACTCAAAGGCTAAATTCTAATTACTATTAATAAATAAAGACTTACTTACTTTTCTAAAACAACTAATAATTAAATTCAAATATATAAATTAAGATGAATCTAATCAAAAATTTGCTATTAGTATTTTGTTAAAGCTATTTCTTAAAAATTATAATTATTTCAATTTAATTTAATATAATTAAAAGAATTTTTATAAAAATTTGTTTAGTATTATTTTGAATAAAATCATTTATACAAATATAAATTTATCACTTCTCATAATTTTAGTTCTTATTTACTGCAGAACTCTTTATCTTCCAGTTTGCAATTATAACAATAAAAATTTAGTGAATGCTTTTCTCAAGTTACCTATAATAAATTATCAACAACTTCTAAAAAGACTCATCATTTTATGATTATTAATTTTCACTCAAATGTAAATTGAAGGTAAAAATTGCTCTTTATAAAAAATTAAAAAAGCTTTTAAAGCCTTAAAAATATTTATACAATCATCTAATTTTTCAGATTTAATATATATTTTTATAGATTATAGAACGTTTCTTAAGAGTCATCTATTAAATTGTATGCTTTCTTATTTTCTAAATAAATAATTCCAAACATAGACCAATGCCTCTTCTTATCTGCTAATAGTTACTTTATTTATCTAATTCTTTTTTGTCATTTTTTGCTGTTAAATCTATTATGAAGACAATATCACATTCTAATTTCAGATACAAACATTTAAGAAAGATTTTCAATTAGTTTTTTTATCTAATGTGTTTTTCTTGCTGATAAAATTCATCTAATAATCTTAAAAAAATGAAATCAAATTGCTAAAAGACATTTTTATTAGTTTCATTGATTAATTAGATATTTCTACATCTACCAATATATTGCTAAGAATGTGAGTATTAGACAAATACATATTTTAATTTTTTTGAAAAAGTTAAACCCCATTTTTTTAACTTTAGCAATTAATTTAAAGTTTATTATTGAATGATCATTAATAATTTTTAATACACCATTTATCTTTTTATTTAATTTTGTAGAAATTTATTCAATGAGAAATAATTTATATTGTGATGGAAAATGTAGGATTATAAAGATTTAATATTCATTTAAGAAGATTATTTTATAAGTAATACATTGTTAAGAACCTTAATTATTGATAAACCATATTAAATAGTTTAATAATACCATTAATATTAGAAAGATTATAGATATATTAATAATTAATATGTAATAGACTTAATTGATTAATGATAATTATTTATAATATGTATATATTATTTATTTTTTTGAAAATTTAAAGATTATTTAAGAAAAGCACTTAAATTTATAAATTTATCACTTGATAATAATAATAAATAATTGAGTTTTAATATATTTATTAAAGATAATATATAGAAGATTTATTTATTCATTTAATTAATTAACAAATGATTTTTCTATGCTCTTTATTCATAAGTTTG